ACGACGATTTTCTCGAGACACCACAGAGCGCTTCAGGAAGCCTGGAGATTTCTCACCATGTTCCCGCCAAAATTTTCCTGCCTTCAAGATCTCTATTTCTGCAAGAGAGTGCTGGAGAGATTGAATCTGTTGATTAACCGTGTCCAAGCCTTGAAAAACCAAGCCTCTTGTCTTCTTATGCCGCATCATCTTGTTTCTCTTTGATAGCAGTCGGTGTAGCTGTTGTTTCCGCCAGTTCAAATCCTCCATTTGATACTGTTTGATAAACATCTTTACTTCGGCTTTGATCCAATCCCATTGTTGTTGGGGAGTGGAGAAACGCTTGATTTCTGCCAGACGCGCCTCACTATCAATGAGGAATTCTGCCAATGCCTTCCTAAATGTTTTGTTGCAAGCCAAGAACGGATTTGCCTTCCAGTTACCAGGGCCACGGCCATTCGCATCTTGATATCGAAAAGAGAATCCCAAGAGTTCATGGTCGGTCCAGGCAGGAGACAGATACTGCTGGTTGGTGCTAGTGACTAGATGATGGGCGTTTGAACTACAAAAGATGTAATCCAGAATCCCTGAATTGTTTCCACTATGCCATGTGTTGTGTTTGTCTTCCCCAAAAACGTCAATAAAGTAATCATCGAGTAGATCGGTCCATTCTACTGGTGCACTGGTGAGGGTGCCATCGACTCGACGATCCTTGTACTGGTAGTTGAAGTCTCCCATGATAAAGACGGTGTTTGTTGTAGTAGTAATAGTTTCTTTGACAATTTGTGTGCCAATGAGTTCTGAATAGAACGCTGATCGGTCGGTGTGAGCGGACGCACGGCCGTAAATATTAAGTATTGTTGCTATTGGTGGTGAATTGGGTGAATTTTCCAGGTCTCGAGTAAGATGAAGGGAAGCCAAGATAAATCGACCCCCATCAATGCCTTCTGAGATGTGTTTGAGTGAGTAGTGAGTGTTGAGGGAAATGATGCCGCAATGTTGAGTCCAAAGACTCGACTTGCAAGTAAATTGAGTGTTGAGTATGTCTATAAATGTGTTGTCTGTTGCATGTGTTTCTTGAAGCACTAAGATGTCATATCCTAATGTTCGAAGATATCTAATAAATTGTTGTCTTTTTTTGGTGTTATCTGTTTTTTTTAGGCCACGGCAATTGAGGGTGGCTATTTTCACTGTATTTTGCTGATTAATCATATTAATGTTGGGGAGGTGAAGGAGGGCCTGTCAAGCCGAGTTGGTGTCCAGTCTCTACTTCATTAGATGCAGCTTGTTGTTTGGCAGAACTAACATCATCCGCGCCATTAAATTTACCGATCTTCTTCGCAGGGCGTTCAGGGCGCTCCTCTCGTTCATTAGCAGAATGGGTAGAAGAGTCGTACATGATAATATCATTGGAAGCCCCTTTCCCATCGACTTCTTTAACTTGGAGTTTTGGAAGATCATCCATTTGAACATCTCTATCAACTACCTGCTTTCTAGCACCTGTTTGACTATCAGCGTCACCTTGAGTGCTACCTTGCTGGGTAGCAGCAATTCGATTATCGGAATCACCTTGGGAACCACCAGATGCAACATCCTGGCCTTTTCCTTGGGCATTACCTTTGTTTCCAACTGGAGCACCACCAGGAGTTACTTTGGAGCCACCCTGAGTACCCTTTTTACCCTCTTTGGCCACCTGAGAGCCCTTTCGGGGTTTGGCAGGAGTGTTTTCCACCGCACGGACCTTGTTTGGGCTGTCATTGCGACTGCAGTTCTTCACCACATGTCCAGTTTCATTGCAATGATGGCAGCGGACCCACTTCTTGTAGTCAGGACAATCAGCCCGACAGTGTTCAGAGCTCTGACAATTACGACAGAAAGCCGGCATTTGATCCCATTGGAGTAAAACTTTTCTTTGATCCGAAGCTGTCAAATCCCAGACAATGACACGGCTGAGTTTCTCCAAATGGCGATGGCCAGGGCAAGATTTCCCAACGGGATGTAACTCTTGACATTCATAACCAGGGCTGGAAGGAACCGTTAGATTAAGTGTAGCATAACCTTCTCCTTGATAGATCCCATCAGTTCTCGAGATGCCGTGATCCAAGACATCCCCGAACGCAGAAAGTCGGGCAGCCATTTCCTCCTTCAACTGAAGGGCAGGCAAGAAAGGAAGATTCTCCAGGGTCAGTTTCACAATCGTAGCATCAGCATGGTACGAGGCAAACCCTTTCACAAAGGTGCCATCCTCTAGAGTGATACCTTCTTCAATGAGAGTCTTACGACCTTCGCTGTTGGGCAGCCACATGGTTTCCAAGAAGGCATGGTTGAGGTAGTGTCGAGGTTGTTTCCGGTATCCAAGAAATTCTTCATACATGTCTTCAGCATTAGAGGCTTCGTTGAATTGAAGAAGGGCCTTGTTCAAGAGATTGCGATCCTTGATAGGTGTCAGATCGATGAAGACGGAATCCTGTTCCACGCCTTTGAGGAATGGACGGATAACCGCCTGAGGAGGTGGCGAAGTATCCCCATTGATGGCCTGTTGCGAGGCCTCTGCTTCCGTTACAGGTCGTTTGACGATAGTGGGATTGAAAGAGACGATGGATTGTTGTTGTCTGTTGTTCCCTTTGCGGCGTGAGTTAACCACATGAGTCCACAACAGTGGAGCCGCAGTTTCAGCTTGCGAGGAACGTTGATGTACTTGACTAGTGTCTGACATGCGAAAAAGATGACAGAATAGATTAAAGAAGTCGAAAAAGACAAAATCTGTCCAATTTTGAACAGAAAATAATAAACTGAGTTTGAATCAATTCTGGTGGTGGCGGCTTGCTGCTGGCTGACCCAAATACCTTTCTGATGATGACAATGATGATGCCAATGATGATCGTGAGACTTTTATTATCTCTGTTTTGAAATAACTTTGGCGGGAGCCCGCAGGGAGACGTCTTCATCGAGCATAACGAGATTGATCGGCTTAATAGGATACCTGAGAAAAGAAATTTGGATCGATATAGAGTCAAAGTTGTCCTACAGACAAATTGTGAATATTTTTACAGCGTACATTGATTCCGAATCGCTGTTACCGACATACGTTTTGTGCCGAGATGTCATGTTGTTATTCAAAAATATGCGGAATCTGGCAACATTTGGTTTTTATAGCCTTTAGTATCTCTTAAGATCATCAAATTCACAACCGCTCGCGTTGAAGATATGATGCTACCAATGCTCTAGAATGTGTTGAAAGCTAAAAAAATGACGCCATGAAAACACTAAATTAAGCTTATTCTAGTGATACATAGCTGTTTGGCTGTAAGTGTATCCAGGAACTCGTTTGCTGTATGAGCTATCATCACAGTACTCGCAATTATACATTCACATTGAATAGTAGTATGATGGCTTCCGTAACTCGCAGTTTAGCAAAAGATCATGGATATGACACACTGGCTTACATGTCCGTAATACTCTGCACGCAGTGAAGTGCACCACTGAATGCTGCAAATATAGATCAGGCCAAGGAATACTGTTTGTTCAGATGCGACAAGCGATTACCCATTTGTGTTTCATAATCGTGCATGACAAGCTCGACATCATCACAATTCTTTGCCAAAAGCTAGATATATTTGGCATGGCGGATCAGCGATCGCTGCAAAGATTTGGCCAGGGTTTTGGTTTAAAAAAAGGCCATTATGAAGGCTTCTGTCTTCGATTTACATGTATTTGTAATAGTAAAGATTTTTCTCGGGTTACACCCATTTCTATTCCATGTAGGATACTATAATAAACGATCGATCTTTTATGATTGTCTAGAGGATCCTCAATTTCCTTTTGTTTGGCTTATCGAGATTTTGTAGAGAAGGCTATACTCTAAATGTTAAAAGCCTGGAACAGCCCTTTTATGGAGCTGTCAATTAAGGTTATATTGCGCTGTAAAAAAGTAGAGATGTAAACCCTACGCTTATTAATATTTGCCGAGATTACCGTAGTAGGTAGGTGGATCTGTTGAGACGGTTTCATATTGTATAGATGTATATGTTTTCTCTCTTTTTTCTTACTACCGTCAAGAGTATCGACCCTCAATTGTGCAGTGCCAAAGAGCCTTTCGTTTGATACAAATCAAGTAAAATATTAAAAATATATTTGTGCTACACCCCCAAAGCAACACCCATTTGAAATGACGTTAAATGGTCGCACCAATTGGCAGACGACCATACTCCTAAATAGAATGTGTGTCCATTTCTCCTTTCGAGATATGCCCTAGTAATAGCCTAGGCTGTCTGCTTCTAAGCCTATTTCAAAAAAAAATTCACTGGATGAGCAATGTGTGTTGTAGCGAATACTGGGTTAATTTTTCAATGATGCACATGATGGTAGCAAGAAATAGGTTCTTGAACCATCATATCGAGATGAAATCTAGATTCTTTGTTTTAAAGACTGGATGTAACCATTGATACGCTGTACTACGTTCTCATGTTTTTACATCAGTCAGTTGCAAGTAAACAGCACAAGACGCGAGCTTGTGTAATGTTCTCTTTTTCCATCAACAAGACCATTCAAACAATTGAGTGGAAAGGTGATTGGGTTGCATCTGGTGGATTTTGTATCCATGGGATTACATATGCAGAACAACCTGGCCATTTTCATGTTGGTGATGCTATCAACATGGTGCGTCAGTCTTTACAATAAAGGTAAGCGAAATCAGATAGGGGTCATGCTCCTTATTCCAGATCAATGGGATTGATCCAGAATAAAACGCAAATCAATTTGTGCGAAAAGCGAATATGCTTGGATGAAAAAGCTTAAATCAGTCAGACGAACGAATACTTAACTTCTTGCCGTTGACAGCCTTGTGCGTTCCCTGCAAAGAAGCTTACTCTTGGCACATAATCACAGACATTGGGTGCTTTTCTCGGGCATCTTTCAGTAGTGACTAGTAATTAGTGATGAAGTAGGGTAATGTGTGAGTACAATCATCGGCAAAACAAAACATTCGAGAAAAAAAAAACTTCTTGGCTATTACCTGAACCATGAATTCCAAAAACAACGAGTCGACCAAGCTTGAAATTCGGCAAAGAAGCGCAGGAAACACCCCAGAAGATATCGTCATCCATGAATCAAGCGACAAGGATGAACAACTCGATTTAGACCGAGAAAAAAAGTTGCTCAAGAAACTAGATTGGCGTATTGTTCCCTGGGTGTTTTGTTTGTATTTCTTGTCTGTGGAAGATCGATCCAATGTTGGTTATGCCATGACGATGAATAAAGATCAAGGACACACATTGATGGATACAGCCGGACTAACAGCTCAACAAAACAACATTGGCCTTGGTCTATTCTACGTTGCATACATTGTAAGGTTTTACATACATGTAGAATCCTGCATCTAACCTCACTCTGAATGATAGGTGTTTGAAGTGCCTTCTAATCTGATGATGGCTCACGTCAATCCTGCATTATGGATTGCTCGCATCATGGTCACTTGGAGTATTGTTACAGGTTGCATGGCTGCCATCTCCAAACCATGGCATTTCTATCTGCTGCGTTTCTTGTTGGGAGTGTTTGAAGCTGGGTTTTGGCCAGGTAACATTGCTAATTCATGCAAAATGGATCACCCTTCAACTAACGCTGATTCTTATTGTGCATTTAGGCATCAGTAAGTTAAACATGAGCACAACAGCTGCCAGTGAATTCACACTTTGGGTTTAGCTTTTTACAACACCCTTTGGTACAAACCTCAAGAGATCTCTACCAGAATCGGTGTCACTTACCTTGCTGGCCCTGCATCGGGTGCTGTAGGAGGCCTTATATCAGCAGGCATACAACTGATTGACACCAAGGGAGGTTTGTATGGTTGGCAATGGCTGTTTTTGATATCAGGCGTTGTGTCCGCTCTATTTGGGCTCGCTACCATATTCTACTTGCCATCAACACCCGAGAAATCAACCCGCTTTCTGAATGAAGACGAACGAGCACGCGTCAAGAGAAGATTGGAATCATCAACACAGCAGGCCAAGACGGTCGAAACTGTAGAAGAGCGCAACATGAAGCGAAATTTGAAGCAAGTCTTTGGAGAGCTCAGGGATTTCAAGGTGTGGTTATTCTGCGTTTTGTATTTTACACCTGTCATGGCTGCTACATCTCTGGGCTACTTTCTACCCAAGATTGTTCAACAGATTGGCACATTCAACTCAATTCAAGTGAGTTTAATGAGTATTCCGCCCTTTGTGTTTGGTATGATCATGGTCTATGTGGTGACGAGATTGAGTGATCATTACCACAGTCGCAGCTGGTTCATCATTGGAGCATCGTGTGTGTCATTCATTGGATTCTGTATCTTGAGTTTTGCTAGACCCATTGGAGCTCGTTATTTTGGATTGATGGTAGTTGCAGGAGGCACATATCCTACCGTGCCATTGGTAAGCGCTTGAGTGGTCTGTTCATTGATCTCATACTGATATAGCGTTTAGAGTATGGCATGGACAGCTAATTCAAAGGAGGATCCCGTTGCCGTGGCATCTGCAACAGGTATTGTGTCTTCTATAGCTAATTTCGGTGCCCTGATTTGTACATTTGCATTGTACTCTGGTTGGCCATCAGATGCACCAAGGTACATTGGATCCAATATGATCAATGGTGCCGCCATGCTGCTTGCTGCTGTCAGCGCCTTTATTCTAAGAATCCATCTGTCCAAGCTGAACAAGCAGATTGATAGAGAGGGCGGCATTGGCGAACGTACCTATAGATATATCTTGTAAAATCTAATTTATTCCCCCGCAGAACTGTAATAAAGTGTATCATGTTTAATTTTCACACGTTGCTCTGCTTTCTCTTTACTCATTTTATCTTGTTTGCAATATGTTCAACTTGGCTCGAAAGATCTATTCGAATAACTCCAGATGTTTCTCATCGAGTGCCCTTATTCAAAGTAAGTTTAAATTTGTTCCCATCCTGGGGGGTTTTTTTCTCTTGCTAACAGATTTCAAAAAAAAAAAAAAAAAAAAAAATGGCAGACAAGCATCATTTCATGGTCGTGCTTCATGATTACACTGATTCTGAAGCATTAAATCGTCGCTTGAGCGTTCGCGATCAACATTTACAAGGTGCTTTGAAGGCTGAAAGTGAAGGAAATCTGCTCGTTGGCGGTGCCATCTTGGACAATCATGAGGTAAGCATGGCAGATTGTTCAGTAAAAACATTAGCTAATTGAAATGGCTATCAGTCAAGTAAAATGAAGGGAAGCGTTCTGTTATTAGCCGCCAAATCAGTTGAAGAAATTGACGAAATGATTATTCAAGATCCTTATTACAAGGCAAAGGTTTGGGAGAAATGGGAGGTATACCCTATCAAATGGTAAGTAATGAGACATCTTTTGTTTGCAAATACGAATTGAAATTAATCCATTTGATCTTATAGCGCTATTGGGCCAAAATAGGATCATCTCATAGTATGATGTCAATAGCTGTTTGACACGATGGAAAATAGAAGTGTACCTTGTTTCATAACTGTCAAATAAAGATTCTGGTTCCTTGATCATCCAGAGCATTTCATTTCACACAGTGTGACGTTTGGTACTGCCTTCTGTGGTGGAGATGAGCCTGCCTGCAGTGCTCAACATTTTTCATACATCTGCCTAGTCGCGCTATGAGATTTTCTCATTAACAATTTCTAGAATACCATGGATAGCACAAATAATACTACAAAGAATACCGCTGATAAGCAACCCGCATCATTAAAACAAATTCTGGAGCGATCCAAACTCACAAACAGCAAGATCCTTCCACAAGAATTACCATCCATCGAGAGAGGCTTGAACCAAATTGATTCTCAAACACAGAAGCTCTCTGCAAAGACTGCAACGAGCGATGAAAAGACTGATATAAGAGCGTATGTTACAGATCCATCAAAGCATTGCAGTGCTAACAAGATGTTATTAGACATTATTTCTTGGCACAAGGTGGAGTCAATACTCAAGTATTGATTAAGGAATTGGGCACAATTCATTTGGGCGGTTTAGAGGAGCATCGACAGCCTATTCAAGATACAGATGTGGAAGGCTATTTACAACAGCAAAATACAGAGACTGTAATGCAAATTGTGCAAGACGGTAGACAAGAGGTAGAGATCAGAGGCCCCATGCATACAGCATTGGATTTTGACATTCTGTGTAGGTCGTATCCAACATGAATGCTACATTCGAAGAGGACGTTGACAGTTTCTGGGCTGATTTTACAAATAACACCGTTAAAGTAAATCCTACCCAAGGATCTTCATTCAAACTATCAAAGGCAAAATTTGACCAATCTCGAGTGGTCAGTGCTGGAATCATCCATTGAAAGGAGGCAAGGAAAAAAAGAAATTTTGTTCTATGGCATTCTTTCGTCACATCTCTGTAATTGCCATTCCTAACTAAATAAAGATGCTTATATGGAGTTTCAATGGATTCGAAAGAGAGGAGAGGAGATGGCTACATGTTGTGGTTGTGTACCGCAAATAGCAGAATGCAATTTTCATCATCAAATGAAAAGTTCAACCGAAATTAGGGGCTAAAATAAAAGGAAATGTATACCAAGCCTTTGGATATATTATTGTCAATACTTGCAGTGATTTATCACCTTTTTTTCTAACCTGACCTCACTCCTAGATACTGCTAGTTGTTAGATATTCATATTTCGATGATAAAAAATAGGAAATGACTACGGAGACACAAGCATCTCCCATTGTGTGTGTGGTTGTGCGGGGCAAATAGAAGAAAAAAAAAAAAGAGGGGGGGGGGAACACTATATGAATTATCAACTACGAACGAAATGGGCCAAAAGAAATCTTTCATTTGTTCCACAGAACCTTGTCTATTTTTTTTTTCTGAACAACGGCTCGAAAGTTATTATTTCCAGGAAGATTTTCTATAACCCAAATTTCCCCTTTTCCTCTACTTTCTCTCACTTTTTTTTTAGTATTTTTTAGCATTTTTTTTTCCTCTGTACATCTACTACTCCATTTAATTCTACAACAACATTTGATATAATCATGTCCAACTCAGGGTCAACAGGGTCATATACCGACTCAACTGGGTTCAGTCTTCTCGGGGATGCTTTGCAGATTCCAAACTATCATTTCAGAGCAGCTCCAGTACCTAGCCTAGCTCATGGCGAAAATGTAGACATAGTATTTGGTTACAGGTATGATAATCTCGGCTGCTTCTGATATACCATTCTTATTGACTTGCTGCCTACGTGTAGAATCTCCAATAAGAAACCTGTCGTAGCAAAAGTATCGCCAAACTCATTACGATTAGAAAGAGAATACTACATTATGAAGAGACTATATCAATTGAGTGATGGATCATCTTTTTTAGGTAATTATCCATAGATTTCAAACAAACGGCGGACCCTCAACTTGACATTTGGTTGCCCCTCGCTCCTTTGATTGATAACTCATTCTCACCTCATCTTTCTTTCTTTTTTTTTTTTGATCTAGTTCGACCGTTGGAATACATTCATTTACCAAGCGGACTCACCATTGTCATTTACGCAGACGAGGGACAAAACTATCTTGAATTCAGTCGACGACAATCTGACGAATCCAACTCGAAATACACAGCCAGTTCTGAAAAGAGCTCCTCATCCGTCAATGGCAGCGATACCACCCTTAATAATTATGACGACAAAAAACGATATAGACAATCACAACTCGAATCTGTGGACAGTTTCTGCTACCAGCCATTGCCTTCTGCGGGATTACCGAGCAACGGACCGACCTATGATCTCGGTACATTCCTTCGATTTGCCATCAAATGCACAGACTGTTTGGAATTTATACATCGCAACAATGTTGTTCACGGAGAAGTTCGATTGTCTGCCTTTCAATGGACTGGAGAAGATGCGTCTCGAGTGAAAATGTGGAATTTTGGCTCTGGTACAAAATCATTGGAAACCTACTTGACGAGTGAGGGATGGAGAAAGACAGCCACCAACAAGGATTCAATGGACATGTTGAAGAATCTCTTAGTCTACATGAGTCCAGAACAAACTGGGCGTACAACCTACGTGCCTGATCACCGATCTGATATTTATTCATTGGGTATCGTATTCTTTGTGCTGTTGACAGGCAGAAATCCATTTGACGGCGGACCATTGGAGATCTTGAACGGCATTTTGAGTCGAAAAGTACCTTTGATTCATGAAATTCAGTTGGAAGTGCCTGAAGTGATAGCACGCATTGTTGAGAAGATGACAAACAAGGTAGACTCGTGGATTTTTGTTTGGGATAGCGTCATGATACTAAACTTTTAAATGATCAGTCTCCTGACGATAGATATAGTAGTGCATATGGTATTCGCGCTGATCTGAAAGAATGCTTAAAACGCTTAAAGTACGCCTCTGAATCCTGTGTTGAAGTAAGTATGATTCAACATGTTGTCATCGTTATACACGCTCTAAACACAACACTAGGTGGTCGAATCTTTTCCACTTGCAGAAAGAGATGTTGCCTCTGTCTTCACCTTACCTAAAACTATCTATGGCCGTCAAGGGATCATTAGTGAAATGACCTATATCATACAACGTGTTGCTGGTGTATATAAATCAATTAGAAATCGTCGTGACAAGTCCTATTCCACAGGTTCTACTATGCCCACGATTACCAGTGGAGGTGATTTTCATGCAAGCAACGCAAGTGTGAGTGATGGCTTGAGCGACAGGCTCTCAACCAATGAAGGCAGTGCCTTGGGTGGCACAGTGGGTGCTGGTCCAAAGTCAAACGCTTCGCCAAGCTATTGCAGTGGATTTGATGGAAGCGATATGTCTAGTAATAATGGAAGACCCCATTCCAGCAAACAAGGTGTTGAAATTGTGTCCATTGCTGGTCCTGGCGGTGTTGGTAAATCCACTGTATTCAATGCTGTACAAAACGTAGCAAGACAACATGGGTAAGTTTGGTTGAGGCTTACCATTGATATGCATTGTACTGATTATGTGATCTCTTAGCTATGTAGCCACCTCTAAATTCGACTCAAGACACAAGGTTCCTTACAGCTGTATTCTGAAATCATTATCCCAAATCTTGCAACAAATCCTGTCTGAATCAGAAGACGATATCCATGTGTTCTACAACCATCTCAAATCACATTTAGGCTCGCAATTTTGCAAAATCGAATTATTGGCTGATTTGGTGCCTGAATTGAAGCCATTATTGGATCCCGTTGATAGCGAAGACTCGGAAGAACCTATAGATCAAATTCACTTGGATAATGTCGAGACTCGCATCCGATTCCACAATCTGTTTGTTGAAGTGTTTCGTGCGCTAGCTCAATGGCGTATGGTGACCTTGGTAAGACTTACCCTATACATTCAATAAGCTGTGAACTTACACAAGGACTGCATAGTTTTTGGATGATTTACACCTGGCAGATGAACCTTCATTAGAGTTGATTGAAAGCATGATTGGATCTCGTCTTAAGATTTTGATTTTCATGGCTTATCGAGATCAAGAAGCCACCGATATATTGGACAAACTACTGATCAACGACTACGCCACCGTTCATCATCTTCGCATTGACGCCCTCGATTTTGATTCTGTGGTAGATTATATCAGCGATGCACTTCATCGCCCCTTGGACTTAGACCGAGACTCCATCCTACCCTTAGCCGATATTGTCTACAAAAAGACACGAGGAAACGCTTTTTACACTTCACAGCTGCTGGCCACGCTTGAAAAGAAGAGGCTCATCTTTTTCAATTGGGAAGAAAACGAATGGGACTACAATCTAGCCGATATCCAACAGGCCATCATGACACGGGATGGTGCAGATCGTGATGCTGAACTCGACATTAGCTTCTTGGTGAATCGACTCAAAGAGCTGCCTTTGGACGGTCAACGTCTCTTGAAATGGGCCTCTTTTGTAGGTGACACTTTTTCGTGGAATACTGTGAAATACTTGATGCTTCATTCAGATCCTGAATCTGAGTTCTCTGACAATGATGCTGCTTCATCCGATACAACCTCACATGCTGGAGACGATGATGCTGCCTCTACAAGCTCTTCTGGGCGTCATCATATGAACGGTTCTTTGCACCCGCTCATCAGGTTTTCTCACAGCACAAGCGGATCCAGCAGCAGTGTCGCTTCTACGAACGCCAAAGACGTATCTCGTGCGCTGCGATCTCACCACAAGCCTAGGGACCCTATTAATGGTCTGCAAGCTGCTCTACAAGAAGGCTACATCATGCCGTTGGAAAGTGACGAGTTCAAATGGTCGCATGATAGATACTCTCAAGCTGCCATGGAACTGGCTAACCCCAAGAGTCGCGAGAAGATTCACTTTAAAATTGCTAAATATCTGTTGCACGGTAAGCATCCACACATGATATACATTTGAGTAACCCTACTAAACTTGCAATGACAATAGACGAGAGTGCTGATAGCTTTCTTATTGCCGACCACTTGCTCAAGTGTCTCAACTTGGTGTGCGAGCTGGATCACAAGTCTTGCTACAGAGACATCTTGTATGAAGCTGGTAACAAGGCACGTGCTTCTGGTGCTCACAAGATGGCATTTGGCTATTACAAGGCTGCCATTGCATTGCTAGGCGACCGTGCTTGGGAAGGAGATGACTATGCTCGTACGCACTACTTGTATACCAACGCCGTGTCATTGAGTTGGATTGTCGGTGAATATGACACGACAGAAGCGTATTTGGACGCCATATTTAGCCATACGTCTGATCCGATGGACCGTGTTACAGCCTACCGCATTCAACACAAGTACTTCTTTTCGCGTCAAATGCATGAAGAGGGTGCTCAAGCTTTGCGCAACTGTCTTGCAGAACTGCAGCTGGACGATTTCAACTTTTTCAACACGCGTGAGGAGCTCCATAACGTCTATACCAAGGTCATTAGCATGATCCGTGAAATGGGCGTAGATGAGATGTGTAAAATGGGTCCTTGTGATGATCCCAAACTCAAGGCAGTTATGGTGATTATCGAGGAAATGTGCACTGCTGCTTACTGGCTTGGAAACCAAACTGAAATGTTCTACTTGGCTGCTAAGTTGGTCTACCTTTCTCTGATAGACGGTATGACATCTACCACGGGTATTGCGCTGACCTTCTTGGGTCTCTGCTGTGTCGAGTACTACCAAGAGTTCTCTTTTGGCGAGGAAATTGGTGCTGCTGGCTGTGTGTTGGCTGAAAAGTATGGCAGCAACAATGAAAAGGGTCGTGCCATTTGTCTGTACAGCATCTTTCTCAACATGTGGAAGCACCATCATCGTGAGGCCATCCCTTGGTTCAATCAAAGTCTGAGGTACTCCATGTCGGCTGGTGATCGCATCTACGCTTCCTTTTCCCATTTGCATATAGCAGATACCATGTTCTACACGGGCTCTTGCTTATCAAATACCTTGGCGGAAGCAGAAAGCTGCTACGATGATATCCATGCCTGGTCCTCTTCTGCTGATACCAACATTTTGATTATGTCTATCATTCGTGTCATCAAGGCGCTTCAGGGCCACACATTCAACAGCTCTGCCGAAGAGATCTTTGACGGCGATGACGGCTTCAATGACAGGCACTTTATTGCTGAAAGTTGCAAGCAGAGTGCCAACATCAACGTCCCCTTGAATTGGTATGACTCCTTCCGTATGCTCCCTCTGGTGCTGTATGGCCACTACGATTATGCTATTGCTGTTGGCTACATGTGTCACCGTGGCGCGCACAATCATCCCTGCCATCGTCATACCCGCATGTTTGTCTATCTGCAATCGCTTGCCATCTTGGAGAAGATCCGCACTGAACGCGACACCATGACTCAAGAAGAAGTCGACGTGTATTTCGAGCAAGTCCAGACAAATCAAGCCATGCTGAAACCGTGGACCGAGCATTCTCGCATCAACTATCTCATGTGGTATACTTTGGTGGAAGCAGAGATTACTGCTACAATGACGAGTGACGTTGGTAAGGCTCTCCAGCTCTACGAGAATGCCATCGATCAAAGTCGTGAAGGTGGCTGGTACCTGGAACTCTGTATCTGTCATGAATACGCTGGTGGCTTCTATTATCGCACTGGTTTCAAGAATGCTGCGTATGGTATGCTCAAGAAGTCTGTCAATCTCTATCTCAACCACGGCTCTTATGGCAAAGCTCAGCATTTGAATTCCAAGTATAGCAATCTGTTGGCTGAATACGAAGACGACCGTGTAGAGTCGCATGAAGCGGGTGTGCAAACGGATCCCTTCCCTTTCTTGGGCCCTCAAGGCACTTGGAGCACTTCTTCCGTGGGCCCCATCAACTCAATGAACGAGCCCTTCATTTCAGAGACAATCCCTCCTGTCACAACTGAACAAACCCTGCTGACACTGGACATTCTTGACATGGCCTCCATTCTCAAGAGTTCGCAAGTCATCTCGTCTGAAGTCAAGTTTGACAGCCTACTCAAGTCAATGATGTCCATCATTTTGGAGAATTCGGGTGCTGATTGCGGTGCCATCATTGTCAAGGAAGAAAAGTATGGCATGTGTGCTTATGGAAGCCAACAGGACGGATCCATGACATTTGACCCTCCTCGACCCTTGGCGGAACACGACGAATTGGTGTCCAGTCGCATCATTCACCACACCATCAATACGAGCGAGAGCATCTTTATTCACAATGTAGAGCAAGACTCTCGATTTGCCGTGGGCCCCTGGTACGAACGTGTTGGCGGGAAATCAGTTATTTGTATGCCCATCATCCACAAGACTGCACTGGCTGGATGTGTGTTCCTGGAAGGCTCCAGTGGCATCTTTACACAACGCCATATTACTGTGCTCAGCTTACTGTGTCAGCAAATGGGTATCTCCATCACCAATGCATTCCTGTTCAAGTCAGTACAGCGTGTCACTATGGCCAACATGCGCATGATTGAGATGCAAAAGAAGGCGCTGGAAGATGCACGCAAGAGCAAAGAAGCAGCTGTACGCGCCACTCGTCTCAGAGAGATCTTTTTGGCCAACATGAGTCATGAAATCCGCACCCCCTTCTCTGGCTTTTACGGTATGATCTCCCTGTTGGCAGAAACTGAACTGGATCCTGAACAGCGTGATTTGGTCAAGACGGCCAAGGAGTCTTGTGAGATTCTGCTGCAGATTATTGACGACCTGCTAAACTTCTCCAAGCTGCAAGCTGGCAAGGTGACACTGGATTTAGCGCCCGTTGTAGTGGAGGATCTGATTGCTGATGTGGTGGAAATGCTGATTGCTATGGCCATTCAAAAGAGCATCAATATCGCTTACATGGTTGCCGAGAATGTGCCCCCTGTTGTGATGGCTGATGGAAACAGGCTGCGTCAAGTGCTGATCAATCTGCTGGGCAATGCTATCAAATTTACACACGAGGGCGAGATCCGTATTCAATGCTCGCTGGATACCACACATCAGCCCAACGGCAAAGAAGCAGGTGATCAAGTGGCGCTCTTGTTTGAAGTCATTGACACGGGTATTGGCATCAGCGACGAGCAGAGAAAGGTGCTGTTTGAACCCTTTTCTCAAGTGGACGGCAGTACGACTCGAAAGTACGGCGGCACAGGTCTCGGTCTCTCTATTTGTTTGCAGCTGGTTGAACTCATGTCTGGCTCCATTAATGTCTCAAGTGTGCCTGGAAAGGGGTCTGATTTCTACTTTAGTGTCAGAGTATCCAAGCTTCGTGCACAGCCCACAAAAAGCATTCAGCATGATGGCTACTACGACGAACGCACGGCGCTTGCACGTTGTCTGTCCTCGCTCAAGGTATTGGCTATCTCCAAGTATGTTGCCACTACAGACATGATTCGTTTCCTCTTGCCTGGCATGCATGTGGACGGTGTACAGCAGATTTATGAGTTCAAGAAACTGCTGGCCAAGACCAAGTACGATGTGATTATCGTAGGCCTGTTCATGAACCCAGACCATCACTCATTCTCCTCAGCCTGGCTGGAAGAGGCTAGCAAGGTCAACAAGGACTGCTTGATCATCATCATGAACTACCCTGCTGGCGGCATCGTCAACAAGTCTGGCTCTGGACTGATTGAGCACATCTCAAACCAGAAGCTGTCCTGCAAGGCCATTCGCATGGCTGTGCCCTTGAGACGTGTCAAACTGCTGCGTACCATTGGTGAGGTGCTCAACAAGAAGATGCCCAGTCCAATGGCCAACAATGTAAAGTCAAATAACGTCAAACTGATCACAGATGAAGAACGAAGCTTATTTAGCACAATGCACATCTTGATTGCTGAAGGTAAGAGAGAGAGAGACAGAGAGATGATAGCAAGTTTATTAATCACAATTATGTCATTTATAGACAATCCTGTTGCACAGAAATTGCTGCTCAAACAACTTACCCGACTTGGGTTCCAAGTGGAGTGTGCCAACAACGGTCTGGAAGCAGTGAATAACTGGAACAATCAGCCAGACGGATATTTTGTCATGGCATTCTTTGATCATCACATGCCCAAGTGCGACGGTGTAGCTGCCACCAAGCGCATCAGAGAAATTGAAAAGGAAGAAGAGCGAACAAACAAACTTCCAATTGTTGCTTTAACAGCAGATGTGCAGGAGAGTGCCAAACAAATATGCTTGAATGCAGGCATGGATGGCTACCTTACAAAACCGCTGAATCAAAAAGTACTGGCAGAAGCATTGAGAAAGTACTGTCACCCTCATACAACCACATCACCAGCATCATCATCAACCTCTTCTTCTTCTTCTTCACCGCAACCATCTCCACCAGCACCTCCACAGATTAATATTGTCACAGAGGCATTGGCTATTACAGAGACCTAACATTATTTACACTTTACTTATAGCATTTATTTCAAACAAAATAAAACCCTTTAATTTGAACAAACAACAACAATCAACCAATGATTCCCGAACCAAAATGAGGAGTAACCACAAATGTATCATCCATATTAAGGGAAGTTTGCCATGAGCATCCCATGCGGTCACAAGCACGAGCTTCAATTATCATAAAGGTAGTTTTACGCCCTGCCTCTTTTTCTCTGTATCTTTTTTTTTTTTTTTTTTTTTTTTTTTCTTGCTAGTGTATGCAGTTGCATCATCCATGATCATATCCTTTCGATTCCTGTTTGCCTATGTGCTAGGTGGACTTACGCTGCTACCAATTACCGCCATCACACTGTACATCATTTACATTGTACATGACAAACTATTTATCTACAGCCAAAAGATATCAACCGAAAACAAGACACAGGACAAGAGCGAAAACGAGAGTAGTACGGGACATCTATATAAAGTGGGATGGCTGCGGGTGTCTCGGGATGAAGACCAATCACTACCCGATGCCTCAATCGGTGATATGGTCAAGAACTACATCTCTGGTAAAGCCAGCAAGAGAGAGAATGCCAATGTTTACTTCTCTGTCCTCAAATACAATACGCTTTACTTGTACGACTCTGAGAAACAATTGGATTGTAAAGGAGTTATCAATCTCTGCAACCACACTGTCCAAATGCACCCACCAGGACTCCAGGACTACGAACTGTATAGCAAGCCCCATTTAATCAAGCTACAACAAGCCGACGCCGATGCTGCCTACTACATCAACTGCCATAAATGCATCGATAAGGAAGACTGGTTCTTTGCCTTTTTGCGTGCATCCAAGTCCACATTGCCTAGAAACGAATTCAAGCATGACAATACTCGATTTGACCAGTCCGCCATGAATCACTTGATTACCATGGTGCATAGTGATGAGCATCATTTCCAGACACAGTGGCTGAATGCCATCCTGGGTAGAATCTTCTTTGGTGTGTATCGGACGCAGGACATCAAGGACGCCTTGTACAAGAAGGTGATTACAAAATTGGACAAAATTAATGCAAAGAGACCCCCCTTTCTGGGCGAAATTACGGTTCGATCTGTAGATCCAGGCCATTCATTACCCCGTTTTACGCAGCCCAAGCTGCTTGGCCTTAGTCCCACAGGTGAGCTCACAGCAGAGGCACACATGCAATATGATGGTGGTTTTCGCATTGAGATTGAGACGGTACTCAAATGGAAATACTCGGATTTGCTGAGGCCGCTCACTGTAGATCTTGTGTTGGGCATCACACTGAAAGAGATCCAAGGCAAACTACTGATCAAGATCAAGGAGCCTCCTACAAATCGGTTCTGGTATGCTTTTTATGAATGTCCAAAAATGGAATGGAAAGTGGAGCCTGTGGTCTGGGAGAAGCGAGTAGGCTATTCAGTGGTTGTCAAGGCGATTGAGACCAAGATACAAGAGTTTATCATGGAGACCATGGTGCTGCCTCACTTTGATGATATTACCTTCTTCCCAACAGATGGGGTGGGAGGCATTTTTGAGGTACCACCATCAACATCACAACAACCAACTGAAAAAACAACATCAGAAGAAAAAGACAAGGCCACCAAGACAATGGATGATACCTTGTCTACATCACCGCCATTACCTACACCACCCGCCAATATCAAGAAGGCTCGCAAAGATAGACACAAAGCGGATGAGGCATTACTGACGACAGCGAAATCACTACCCGTGCTGTTCTCCAATGTACCAGACCGAATGCCACCACCTTCTAAATTACGTAGCCATGCCGTAGTAGACAAAGACAGCGATCATATATCCAACGCGAGCGCACCTACGTTATTACAACAACCATTAGATACCCATCAAAACCACAATTCCCCCATATTGATACCTGCTGATAAACACCAACAGCCAACAATAACAACATCACCCTCATCACTCATGGGTCAGATTGCAATTCAACATCCAAACAACCATCATGATACAACAGCTCCTTCTTCCTATCTATCCACATCCCCAGCAGATGATTCTTCAGTCCTCAGTTCATCACCTTGCTCACTCGTCGAAGATCGTGCTATATCGCATGTATTATCTGAAGATACCAACCTCATTGTGACACCATCCACATCCTCTTCGCTCACATGTGATTCATTATCAAACATACAAATCACGTATTCACAAGACAGTACCAGCAGTGAACATAGTAGTAGTAATGATAGTCTTGCAGTGGATCATACCAATAACAGCAATGTGAAACTAAGGAAATCGAGCTCCTTGGCTCTCCTTCGACCGAAAACAGGAGCCTCCACTGCAGTCAACGTATCACCTGCTATGGCTCATAAGGTACAACAACAACAGTCCATTTCAACATCAACATCAGCATCTACTAGAAAGAAGGACACGGATTCCATCTCTGTCGCTGTTGTCTCTGTGTAGAATATTTCAATTCATCAACTTATGTATAGTCAATCCAATGTACAAAATAAAAACTCTTTATATATATTCTACACAATCTTCTTTTACATGCTATTTGAAAATGCATGTTTTTTCATGTGTTCAAATGAGATATTTATAGTTGAAGATCAGCCTTCAAACCAATGTGCTAAACTTTGAGAAGCATATTCATACATTATCAGCGATTCAAAGCGGCCATCATCTTTTATTACAAACTACCACTTGATCTTGTAGGGAAAGAACTCTTTAATCAATTCCGTGTAAAAAGGCTTCAGCTGGTTGACATCGGGTTCACTGTCTGCTTTTGAATAGAGATCATATTGATTGAAGACCTTTACCCATTTCATCATCTCCACATCGTGCTTATTCAGCAACCAAGAATATTGGCCTTCGGTATGGCAAGAGTAGAATGAATGGTGGCGAATAATATAAGCAGCCTCCAGAGGTAAATAATCCTTGACAACATGGTAAAAGTATTCATCATGGCCATAACTAAGATGCACATTCTCCAACCCACAATGAGGACTGTAGATGCCATACCGAGTCGAATACACTGGATGATGGTAGTCTGGATTCTCCTTGAGGTAGTGTGCATATACAATCTTGTCAGAGAATCCACATCCAACGGGAAATGTATCACCCACCACCTATACATTTGAATCAGATTCGACAGCCCAATAGACCACTCCCATAGGGATCATGACTTACCGTCCATTGCGGCTCACCCAAAAAAAACAGATACTTGCCCAAATCATGAATAAGAGCTGTTAAAATCATCCATCTTGGTTGATTATCTCTCCTAGCGGCTTCTGCTGATTGAAGAGCATGTGCGATTTGAGACAATTGTGTATCTGGATCCGATTCATCCACCAAAGTGTTCATCAGTTCAAGTGCTTCCCAAATACCCATTTCGCCATGATTCAAATCACCATAAAGCTTCTTTTTTTCCAACACATGAGCTAATGATTGCTTGGCATGGTTTTCCTTGTAAAATGCTGCCACCAGAGGCTGCTCTTGATCGGCAACCTCGTAATCACGGAAAGCAGATGTCTCTTTGTTTTCATTTTTGCTGCCATATTTTGTCTTGACAAATCCTTCCCAAGCTTCAGCTACCTTTATGGCCTCAGAAAGTTGATTGCTTTGTAGTAGTTTCATCTTGAAAGCGAGAAGAAGAAGTGAAGGAGAGGATCATCAACGTGTTCTAAATAATTATTTATATGCTGTGGTTGAGCGAAACAAAAGCTGAATAGATCAATTGATTTTTTTCTCACACTTACATCCATGCGCGCATGTATTTTGATGTTTATTATCTATTATTTCTTTGTTTATGGCTAAACAATATGAGCTTATTTTGGGAGTGGCTAACGTACCAACCAGGCTGCAGAACTGCCTTTCTAAAGAATTTCAGCCATCTATCGAAGATGTGATTCATGCTACGTATATAAAAGCTATAGAGCAATACATAACTAAATTTGACAGCTTTCAAACCTTCATATCTTGACATGTAGACCTTTCTGAGCCACTGGAGTGACACTAAATAATTGCTCTCGATTAGTACTTACTTCCTGACACCTTTGCTCAATTTTTTGGGTCAAAAAAAAAACATAGCCAAAAATCGACCAAAAAGCATGAGATACCTCATAGCTTTTGACGAAAATCAAACGATCGCGTTTTTCACCTTGAAAACGAAGACTTTTATTATGGTAGATATTAAATCAAAATGTTTCTCTCGATCCAAAGCAACCTATGAAACCACTGTTATGAGGCTTTCATATGCAAAATTTCGACATTTTAGCCAAAAACCATATTTCATATTTTCTGAAATTGCTCAATAGTTTTATTCAAGACACCTGTTACAATTAGCACCATTGGAAGCGCCTTGAAAAGTACTACAAGAATGCATAAGGAAGCATTTTTTTTTTGTAGGGGAGTCGAGCTCCAGGTTTTAATTAAAGTCCTTTAGATGTCGCATTAGGAAGCATGAGGATCATCACAATTTTTATAGTCGAATCTTGCAAAATAGTTGGATCGAGTCGAAAAAGGACACAATTTGGCCAATCTTAGACAGAAAAAATAAACGGCATTTGAATTAATTTGGCGTGCGTCGCTGCTGCTGGCTGACCCATATGTCTAGGAAAACTTGTCTTTTCAAGGAGCCTTTAGACACATAATAGCCACTTAAAAGTAGTCTATTTGTTTCTTTACCCAATGGCCTCTTTACTAAATAGCTTTCTTTATCCTATATTATCCAATACACAATGGATTTTGATCCAAATACTCATCTGAAATCAACTACTCCAACTTTCCTTTTTTGGAAAAAAAATGAAGGGATATGATTGGTTGTAATTGTATCAATATGCTCTCTGATTGGCTAGCTAGTACAAAGAGGGTAATTTGATTCGTTTTGCTATCCTTGGCAAGAGGGAATCTACCAGTTAATGAAGATAAACTAGTTCTAAAGCGTTTACATGGTTGATTCTATTCCATTGATTTCCTTGTGCTCCAAGATAGTTGATGTGAATAATTGCCTTGCTTGGAGCATTCACAGCTTCAACGCAAACTAGTCATAAGATGTCATGGTACAGTTGCATAGCAGACACAAAACTTCCCGAACGAGCACACTATATCAAAGCAGAGAGTGACTTGATGAAAGGGAAAAGGCCGTGTCGGAAACCAATATGCCATCGTCTGCTACAAATTCTAATTTCATTTTTCTGTTCTTGATATTCTGTTCGTTCATCTACCTTTAATTTTTTGTACACAACGACTATGACAAAAGAAGAAGCTGAAGGGAAGTCGCAAGAAGAAAAGAAATTGAGAAGACCCAAAGGTAGAATTGAATTGAGATGTGAATATCATGGTTCTCACATTTCATTCACTGATAATTAGATGGTGAATTTAGACAGCAGAGATTACCAGCTTGGCAACCCGTCTTAACACCAAGAACAGTGCTGCCTACACTATTTATAATTGGCATCATATTTTGCCCAGCAGGTGGTTTATTATGGTGGAATAGTAATAAAGTAATAGTTGAACTGATAGCAATACATGGCTTGCTCACATTTCTTTTCAATTGATAGGTTGACCAGATAATGATCAATTATTCATATTGTCAGCAATACACAAGTCCAGTCTACTTAGCGCCAAGCCTTTACGATTATCAAGTGTCCGATAAAAACTTCAATGCATCAGCCATGCAAGCGCCAGTATACTCATACAGAAACGAGAGCAGCTTCCTGGATCCAACATGGGGCAATCCCAACAATCTAAATATCCCTCGCTGCACAATTGATTTTACCATTCCCACTACCATGAAGGGTCCTGTTTTCTTGTATTACAGACTGACAGAATTCTATCAAAATCATAGACAATACATTAAGAATTTCGACGCTACTCAATTACAGGGTAACGTAGTTTCACCCAGCACCCTTAGAACAAATTGCGATCCTTTAGCTTTCAATGATGCTGGAAAAGCTATTTTTCCATGTGGATTGATCGCCAACTCAATGTTTAATGGTAAAAATTAATTTAGAAATGTCAAATTTCCTCATGTCTAATCATCTTGGTTCAGATACTGCGTCTGACTTGATTTCTGTCGATTCCCAAACACCTCAAACCTATGTATTGAGTCCACACAATATCGCATGGCCATCCGATCAACAAAAGTATGGTCCTACAAAGTACCAAACATCAGAGATTGCACCGCCACCAAATTGGGCTCTTCGTTATCCTAATGGGCAGTACACGGATGAATACCCTCCGCCAAATTTATCCACTCAAGAACGCTTTATGGTTTGGATGCACGTGGCTGCATTACCTGATTTTCGTAAAATTTGGGCAAGAAATGATACGCAAGATCTCCAAGCAGGTCGATGGAGAATATCGATAGATTCCAGTAAGTAGTTTATGAGATGCAAGTGGAGATACAGGTCGCTTTAACACGTCGTTTTTAGATTTTGATACGCTGCAATATGGTGGTCAAAAATGGCTCGTTTTAACAACGACTACTGCTATGGGAGGTCGCAATCCATATCTTGGCATTGCTTACATGGCTATTGGCGCTTTGTGTATTTTGCTGGGCCTCTTATTCACGATTAGACACTTGATTCGACCAAGAAAATTAGGTGATGAATCGTATCTCTCTTGGAATCAACCTGGAGGTGGATTACCAAGTAACAAGCGCAAACACCTTCACAGGGATTAACGTCACATTAGGGCGGGTGTGTTTGAGCAGTTGCTCTTGATGCTAGACCCGCTTTTTTTTTTTCGTTTAACGTATATATTTCTCTAATAAATCATCATCATGAAAAGCTCATTCAATTTAGCCTTGATCTTGTTTTCAGGCGCTGCTTTGGCTATCCAACCCTACTGTCAATCTGGCTTCAAGCCCATTGCAGATAAAGATTTACAGCTGGATTTATCTAAATTGAACAAGTACTATCACCATCATCATCATTACGTGTAATGATATATATGCTGACATTTATGGATCTATACAGTGTATTCACTATCTCTCATGACGAAAAAACGCCTCCTACTGTTACCACTACTGAAGTTCAAGTGAATTTATGTGATAGTCTCCCAGTGCCAGGTGAAAATACTCAAGATTTTTGTGGAAAGGATACGGTAAGTGATCATCTGCCTTTGCGAAAATAGGATAAGCTTTTCTTAACACGGAAGGAGAGTAGCTTATTTGTAGAAGAATCATTCATACCAGGGGCGAAACAAAGAGCGTTGATTATATCCAACCCATTGCCGAAAAGTAAGTTTCATGATGAGTGTGGGATTTGACATGATTTGATTTACAATCGATGCAGTAAGGATAATACCGAATTTAAGCCCATCAAACCTGAAGATGATGCTACAAAGAGTAAGGATGAGAATTTCAGATAGAGGATGGAGGATGAGGAATTGTTGACGCAAATTTTCTTATAGGCGGCTATCAATATATTTTGTCATTGAATGGTGGTACCTGGGCCAACAGACCTCAATCAGCTCAAGTCTTTTTAGAGTGCGATGAAAGTGAATCAAAGGTAATAGAACAAGACAGTGGGTTCGTTAGAAACGGAGATACTCATACATGGGCTGTAGGACAAGCCATCTAATCCTACTGTCGTTTCATACAATCATGACGTCCTGACGCTTCAATGGAAGACCGTGTTTGCCTGCGCGTATGTGTATACAATGTCTAAATAGGCGGATCAAAGTAGTCTAATCTCGAACTTATAGTACTAAAGCGGGCGAAAAGAAACCCGACGACGACAAAAAAACCAACCCCCCTCCTTCCAACCCCAACGATAACGAGAAGAAGGGTATGTCAGGCATTGGCATCTTTTTCACTATTGTATTTGTATTGGCTGCTGTTTATTTTGTTGGTGGTGCTTTCTACAATTTTAAAATGTACAATGCTAGAGGACTTGATCTTATTCCTCATCGTGGTAAGCATTATGGATGGATCATTGCATGGAGCTGTAATTATCTAATATGTACACTGCCCATATTACAGAATTTTGGTTTGATCTCCCTTATCTTATCAGAGTAGGTATATCCAAATACTAAGTTGTCCCTGTTACTCACTGCTTTTTGATAGGATCTCTTTGCTCATATTGTCGATTCCGTCATGTCACATCGTCGTGGCACTGGAGGATATGTGGCTGTTTAGATTGACTACAAAATTATTTATAAAATCTAATAAAGGCTTCGGCATTGAATAAGCTGAGCATTCCATCAAATCTATATATCATATATCATACGATCATATGGACCTGTGATTACATCCACCGTTGAAAACAACTGAATTCCTTAAAAGAGTGCAAAGCTCATGCAGAACTGACAGGAAAAACTCATTGTGGAGGTTGCTGTTGCCGCTCCTGTCAGTGGGTCCGCGATTACCTGTAGTGAAGTAGAAATGAATACCTCCATCATAAATTTTAATGGCACGAAGTGCATTCGCTTACTTCACCCTTTCAAAGAATGAATCGTTGATCCAATGTTGCTATATATATATATATATATATATAAAGCATGATTCGTTAGACCAAAAGCTTATAGTTGTAGTGTCAAATGCTTGAATGCGAACATTCAATTCTATGTACTACATCCTCACTTTCATCTGTTCTGAGGCATACTGATATTACACATAGTAAACGTTACTTCCGGCCCATAGTAACTTTGTAGAGAACTAAAATGCGCATCAAATGATACCAAGCTTGATAAATATGGTACAAGTTGTATTCAGGCAAGCCTGCTTCTCACATATTTTGAGGGATTTCAAAGAAACACATGCACTGCTAGGTCTGTACAAAGTTAACTGTAACACTACTTGCTGTGTAGACCTAAGAATTGTCTGTTGTTTGAGGTCTTACTCCAATATGTAGCATCAGTTCTCAAAGATCCACAACGCCCAATAGTCAACTCATGCTATATTGTCGAAAACAGTCGCTCAAGGCTAACATTTGCTACAATGGCGCAAATAAAACCTTTTTTATGCACTGCTTTTAATGATATCATACTCCAAGCTTATTTCATTAACTTGAGCACCACACAGGCGATTCCGTGGTGCTACTAAAAAAAACGTGTTTTTGCCACTGTAAACTCCAATTTGGGGGTTGCAAACCCCATATGTCAAGTATCTATTGATAACTTGTAACTAGCAAGTTAATATGGCCCTTTTCGTACGCTCCAATTTTTAAAATGCTCAGTCAAATGCATACATGTGTCGTGTGCACATGCCAAGGCTAAACGGAGATTCAATTTCTATTGTTCTGAATGATGATCCATGGGGTTCCGAAATCTATCGACCTTAAGATTACGCGTTTCTTGATAGTAAACACCCCTTCAAGCCTATATGAAACTTGTAAAGAATTCAAAGGAAAATACAATGGTATTTATATCAAGTCTCTGGTGTAAATTGTTCACCTGGTATTTGGTACGATTGTTTTTTGCAATTTTTTGACTGTTTTCTAAAGTTTAGTCGGCTTCTGTTATCAAAACATTTTGTTAAGCATTACTAAACATTATAGAACCAAAAATTTCCTATCGAATGAGCTATTGCTTGAAGCTCTGGCATGACTCTATCATAAAATATCGACAATAATGTCCTGACCAAAAAAAGGTCACCCAGTTTTTTTGCTTGCTATCACAGGCAGATTTTGAAGGAAAATCCATGATTTTGCATGATACCCTTTTTTGACCATATCTCGACAAATACTCCCTGGATTTACACAAAACAAAGACCATTCGATAGCTCCACGTTATATCTATTATAATATGAGGGTTTAAAGTACCAGATGTACGTTCCCTTGATAAATTTGCTCAAAATTTTATATTTTATGAGCTACAAGCAGGGGATATCCAACTTTTTTTTTTATTTTTCTATAATAACTATACCATCGTATAGAGAATTGAAAAAGAAACAGAAGCTATTAAGCTTTAAGCTCATGTTCACTTTGTGCAATCAACCGGTACGGCCCTTTGAAATTTGTCCATTTTTACTCTTTTTCCTCATTACTCATCGACATCGTTCTCAGCAAGCCCAAATACAACATTCCCTAATCAACCAAACTATCCTCTACAAATTTTACTAGACATACAACCTGCATTCATATAGTAATTCATTGACTTTTATTAGTAGCACCTGCTCAAAATTTGCAAATTTCAAAAATCTCTGCTTTCTCAACATCAACGCACCCTATCTAAAATCCAATTGCTCCATCGTTTAAAGGGCAAAAAACTGGTATAGAAACAAGCTACTTTCAATGCGAATTTCAAAATTGAATTTCAGAGAATTCAAAAGAGATGAAAAAGAGAAAAAGGGGAAAAAAAACTTGAGAGCGATGATTTCAAGGTATACACACTCTCTTCAGGAATGAAAGAGCAAGCCATTTAGGACCGTTTTTACAGATACACAAAAGCTTTGGAGGTCTTTTCCTATCTTGTATTTTATTATCGCAACATTTTGTATCCAAGGTACAAGGCAGTGTTCATGAGGAGATAGATGTCGTCGTTTTTCTGTACATAAACACAAAATGCTGCCTGAAAGTCCTTCAACGAATGATGTATGAAGAGACAAATGCAATCCATATGTAGTGTGCGTCTCATCTTCATATCATCACTCCTTGTTAATAGTCGACACGGTATCATCGGGCCTCAATGAGACTTTATAAAAGCATTCCCAACTCGCTGAAAGGATGGATCTAATCAAGCATCAGCGGCAATAACGACTGCACAGTTGGCATATCATCATTTTCAGCGTCGAGATCCCGAACTTGAATGATAGCAGATTCATTTCAAGGCAGCGTATTTGTTCGCTTTGGTCAGAATATAGCTATGTGCGATACAGCAGCTGATGCGATGTACAGCAATACTCAGCGTCATTTGGATGGAGATTGTAATGAAACAAGCGATATTAGGCTGCACGTTGTTTTTGTGCATTTGCGTATCCTCGCTTTGATGATTAAATTTGGCGGATAAGTTTGCATATGCACATGCTGTGGTTCCAAATCCAGGTAGCAATATATCTTTCTCTTGAGATATGTAGAATTCACTTTATATTCAATTCTGCTGTACAATGAGCAAATGTATGGAGATGGTGCGGATCATCAAACTTAAATTGTATCCATGACGATAGACATGTTTAATCTAATAAATGGTGTACATCATTATAGATCGTTCCATGATGATATCCGTGTAACGATGGACGATCAGAACGAGAAATTTATATTAGGTGCAAGAAAATGGTAAAAAGGGGAGTGATGGCGCACACACAGACACACGTTTCAACACAACACCACCTACAAAAAGAGCAAAGAGAAAGGGGGGTATTTTTTTAATATGTAAAAAGTTATGCGTAATAATATAATAAATTCTAATCATGGTGGCTTCCTGTACAAGTTAAAAAACCAACAACATTTTTCCAAAAACCATGCTTTTCCTTTCGTTCATTCGCATTGGATTTTTTGGGGTCATTGAGGGGCACATAAGCAGGTACAGATGGCATATCATTGTTGTTTGCTTGAATCGCGGTAGGTTTGCTGCGATCGTGAGCAGTGGGTGTTCTTGTTCTTCTACTGTTTTGATGTTTTGGTTGAGATTGGTGATGATGTCCTGATCTTCTAGCACGAGCTTCCTTCAATTGTTTGAATCGATTCTAAATAGGATAGAGCAAGGATTTAATAATCTCCTTTTGGATTTCATTGTTGGTGTTGTAAAAATTACCTCCCATCCTTTTCCTTCGTTCAGCAACATCCAGTCGTATACGCCATCATCTTGTTCATTTTGACGTTCTAAAACCTTGTCAAAGAGCTCTCTCAAGAAGTCATAGTCTGGAGTTTCCTCAAAGCCTAATTTTCTGACGTATTGAAGATAGATGCCAAATTCCTCTACAAAGAAGCAAAAAAAGATTGCTGTCAAAAAAAGGGCAAATCATCGTTATTCTGATTTGAAATGTACCTGGAAAACCTCCACAAAGGTCTTTCACTGCTGTTGTTTGCTTTTTCTCTCCAATCTTTTCATACTTTTGCTTGTTGGTTGCTGCTTTCAATCCCTGCCACGGTAAGGAGCCTCTCAAAAAGTACATGAAAACATGGCCCAGAGCTTCTAAATCATCACGTCTTGATTGCTCTATAGATAAAGGAGTTTTTCCTTTAATAAAAGGAGATTCTCGATAAAAATAAATGGTGTGTTAGAATACATACCTCTTCCCAAATGAGTATTGATACTCATGTATCTTGCAGTTCCTGACAAGCTCCTGCGCTCCCTGTAAGGAATATGCTTTTTTGTCTTTGGATCACGGTAGGATTTGGCCATGCCATAGTCGACCAAAAAGACCATGTTTGCGTATTTTGTTCCCGGTCGTCCAATCAAGAAGTTGTCAGGTTTGATGTCTCTGTAAATCAAATTACGTTCGTGGACGCTTTGAACACGAGAGATCTAAATAAAATAGATGAGCAAACATCTCAGCAAGCGTAACTGAAAGGGGCTCACCATTTGTTTTGCCACCATTGCAACAGTTTTGATAGATAGTTTGCGGTTGCACATGTCGAATAGATCTTCCAAACTTGGGCCTAGCAAATCGATAACGAGCACATTGTGAAGTCCTTCATGGCCAAAATAATATGCATTCGGAACACCGGCTGATAAACTTCATTTAGTTTTATGATCATCGCATCTAGTTTGTATTGTTTTCTTACGAGATCCTGCCATGATTTTATATGATCTATGCTCATCTCGTAGCTATGAAATCGAAACATTTAATTGATGATTCATGTGTTGCCGTCATAGAAAGCAAAATTACCTGAGGCACATCGCTCTTTCGAGGCTCGAACTTGATGGCCACTGGTTGGTTGTTCAGTAGATTAACACCTATCAATACAATTCAATGTTGGCATGCGATGAAAACAGACGCAATGGCATTCTGATGTTATTTACCCTCGTAGATGACACCAAAGCTGCCTTCACCGACTTTCTTGCCCACTTGATAGTGAACACCTACGATCGTGCTTGCTGTGGATGTAGCACTATGGCTACTGGATTTATCTGGTATGCTTTGCGATAGTTTTTCCATTATCAATAAAGATTATCTTGCAAATCGAATGCTAGAATCAAGTGAGGTGATATTTGGATATGAGAGAAAAGAGAGAGAAAAGAGAGAGAAAAGAGAGAGAGAACGAGAGAAAGAAAGGAAACAGGGAAAAAAAAGATGAATCAAGAAAATTTTGTTACACGGAAAAACGAGTGCGGGAGTTTCAAAGGACCAGATGAAAACACAAAAATAGGGTTAAAACGAGTTTGGTATTGACTGATTGGTTTAAATCAGGCCATTTTATTTTAGATGTGCACTTTTATTGTTGATATTTATGATGATAATAAATATAGGTTAAACGAGGAGAAAAGAGCAATGTTTGGGAAAGAACCAAACAGGGAGAGACGCAGTGACGGAAATAAAGAAGAATGTGTGGGTGTGGATCGCCATCAGCATTGCGCTCTTAACGTTACAATTTTTAGCAGCAATGTAGATTTAGGAAATATATAGAGAAAAAAAAGCATATATAAAGGGCACACGGCAATTTATTCCATGAACCACTTTGACCTTACTCCAATTCGTATCATGAGGAAACATTTGTTGATTCCATTGTATATTACTACTCTCATCACTTTGACTCAGGCGAAACTACACCAGTATGAATTCAACATCACATCCACTTATTTGAACCCAGATTGCTATCTTCAAGGCTACTCTGTGCCGCTTGTGAATGGGCAATTCCCTGGACCAGCCATTCATGTCAATCAAGGAGATGAAGTCGAAATCCTTGTCCGGAATCTTGTTCAGTCCCATAACACCAGTATCCATTATCACGGCATTCGACAGATCGGAACAGTGGAGGCAGATGGCGTACCAGGCATCACGCAGCACGCTATTTCACCCAACAATACTTATTTGCACAAGTTCAAAGTGCATGAGCAAGCAGGCACGTATTTTTATCATGCGCATGTGGGGTTACAGGATGATTCCGTCAAGGGTGCTTTTATTGTTTATGAATCTGATAAAGCCAACCCCGCCTCTCAACGAGCCGAGCTTCAGGCAGGTCCTTACAAGTACAAGAAGGATTTGATTTTGCAGGTGAGCGAATGGTGGCATGACGACCTCAAGAACCGTGAAGATTACTACTTGAGCGACCAGTTCAGATTCGACCATGGAGCTGACAGCATTCTTATCAATGGCCGCACTATCTTTGATCCCAATGTCAGTGGCCTGTCCGAACAGAACTGTCAAGGCTACACCACATTTGATGTTGAGCCAAACACTGCATATCGCTTGCGCATCATTGGAGCAACTACTTTCAGAACATTGGCTATAGGTGTCAAGGATCACAACATGACATTGATTGAAATCGACGGTGAACTGACACATCCCTACAATACGTCCTTCTTGGAAGTGGCCCCAGGTCAACGTTATTCGGCATTGCTGCAAACCGGAGATCACCCACCTGGTACCACATTTGCTATTGGTACTAGCTATGTTTGGCGTCAACGAGGACATGGTATTACAGAAAACGGGTTTGGTTATATCCGCTACACAGCCCCATCCAAAAAGACGACTTTGGATTCAATGCACACCAACTTGTTTAAGCCAATCCACAGGTGGGATCAACATTCGTTGGAACCTCATTCTCTTGAACCTCGCGCTGAATGGCTCGGTGATTACCATGACCAAGACTGTCCTTCTAATTATCAAGATCAAGATCAACAGGTCAATGTACAAGATTTTCATGCCAAGGATACCAAGGCTGCTCCCATTGAACCACCAAAGCCTAAGGCTGGAAATGGCAAGAAGAAGCGATGCCTTAAGAAAGATGCTCAAGGTAACAAAGGTGTCCTTAGTGGCCCTGATGGCCCTGGTGGCCCTAGTGGACAAGGACTCGGCGGCCAAGGTGGTGCTCAAGGCGAACAAGGCGGTCAAGGTGGTGGTCAAGGTGGTGGTCAAGGTGGTGGTCAAGGTCGCCCAGGCGGCCAAGGTCGTCCAGGCGGCCAAGGCGGTGGCAGAGGTGGCGGAGGCGGTGGTGGTCGCCCTTTCAGGGAAGAAAAAATCTATGTGGATCTACCAGCATTCCCCAAGATCGATCAACCAGATTGGTTCTATCACAATATCAAGCCTTTAGCGCCTCGAAGCCCCATTCTAGACCACAAAGATGTACGAACAATTGAACTTTCCACCAGCTACATGAAAATGGACGATAATACCACACGCTACATGGTGAACAACCGTATCATATCTCAATCCCCCGTGCCTAGATTACTAAAATACGATTCCAGCAAGCAAACCAAGATGGCAGCCAACCTTGAATACAACCCTCTTTTAGATACCTATCCTATCATGGCCAATGAAACGATTGATTTGGTATTTCAAAACACGGTCAATGCTGTCGGCGGTTGTTTGATCCATCCTTGGCATACACATGGTCATTCTCATTACTTGATTGCGTCTGGCGAAGGCAAATACGAACATGCGAGAGACAAGGATATTCGAAACTTTGAATTCCCCATCTTCAGAGACACGACTTCTGCTTATCCCTCGCTCCCTACGAATGATACCGATGGCTGTGGGTGGACTAAAGTGAGATTTATTGCTGTAAGTACACATACATAAAGGAGTTGTGATAAATCATTGTTGTGCTGACATTTCTCGCTACATAGGACAACCCAGGTTTCTGGGCAGTGCATTGCCATATCACTACACACATGATTCAGGGCAAGATGATTGTTTTAGAAGAAGCACCTGAATTGATTAAAAAATACCAGCGTTATAAGAAATAAAGCACTTTTCATTTATTTAAATACTATCAAATACAAGTGTGTCTACACTTCGGACGGCTCTCTACCTTCGCTTCGCTTCGGTAAGAACCAACCTGCGCAGTGGCAGCTTGCGCTACCGATTGCCCTTGTGTATCTTATCAAAATGCTGCTACTTTCATTTTAACCCTCCACTGACACATGAAACTCCTTCATATTATCTGTGGACCTGATTCTTATGTGATGCTCTAAATCTATATACACGCAGCTACTTCATATACGGGCAAGTATCATACAGATATTTCCCCTTTTTAGCCCTTAGTATCCCTAGTACAGCAAAATCTAAATGCATTTGAGCCACGTTTTCTCGCGCTCAAGGCCGTTTTAGATCGTCAGAATAGCACCAAACAATTGCTCTCATCTGGCAGTTACTTTCTGACACGTTTGCTCAACTTTTTGGGATCAAAGAAACATGAATGAAATTCGACCAAAAAGCATGAGGGGTACCTCATGGCTTTCACCGGAAATCAAACGATCGCGTTTTTTACCTTGAAAACGAAGACTTTTATTATGGTAGATATTAAATCAAAATGTTTCTCTCGATCCAACGCAACTCCTGAAATCATCTTTGTGGGACATTGATATGGAAAATCTCAACGTTTTGGCCAGAAACCTCTTTTTCATATTTCCATAAATTACTCAATAAGTTTAATCAAAATGTCTATCTTACTTGATACCATTAGGTGCGCATTGAAAAGCACTCCAAGATAGCTTAAAGAAGCATAGTATGATTATAATCGAATCTGGCAGAATAGATCAATCAAGTCGAAAAAATATTTAGATTGGGCCAATCTGGAGTAGACTAAGAGTCTGAGTTGGAATTAATTCTGGCGGCTGCTGAGGCAGGCTGGCAAACTCAATGCAATAATAGATGCTTTTGAAGCCAACAATGGAGAATAGGCGACGAGATATATAGTACTACCTTAAGCCATGTTATTTTCTTTTGAAGACTGGCATTTAATAATGCCAATCCACTGAAATCCTTGCAAGAGATCAACTTTTATCATTTTTGGGGCTGCGAAAGTGTATAGGGACAGTAAATTTATTATGTTATGTTGCTTCGGTCTAATGTTTCTATCATGTTGTTTCGTGTTACTCTTCCATGGCATCGCCATTCTTTTTCTGCTTGGCTTGCTCTCCAATGGCTATTAAGAATGACTCAACACTGTTACCAGCAGAAGGATCCAAGCCCAATTGAGATAATAAAGGTCCAAGCTGTCCTGTCTGAAGAGCAGCACTCAAACTTTGCAATGCTTGACTGAACTGAGGACTTTTTACAACCTGTCTCACTTCTTCTGCTGATCGTTCTGATTCCTCTGGTAAAAAGGGGAATAATGATGCACAAATCTCTGGGTCATTCAATAAGGGAGTAAGGGATTGTGTTGTCAAAATGTCACTTAATGCGATAGGTGCTGATGCTTCTATTTCAAATGTGAGTATAGGTTGATGTGGGGGTCAGTAATACTAGTAAAATGTCGATACTCACCAGCAGGTCTGACATTGGCAAGCATTTGGCGGAGTTGCTCCAATTGTTCGTTGGATTGCTGTGGAGTGGCAACAGGAACATGTGCTGTAGAGGCAGCAGGAGCTTCAGAAGAGGGGGCAGCAGCAGGAGCAGCAGGAGTCTGCTCAGACACACTGGTGGTGGGCTCGGCTGCTGAAGCATGAGTAGTAGCTGTGGAAGCAGCAGCAGCAGCAGCAGGAGTAGTGGTTGCTGTTTCCATGGACTCATCCTCATCATCCTCATCATCTTCGTCTTGTGTATCACCAGATCTAGAGGATTGCTGGATAAGAGTGCTGCTATTTATATACCCATAAACACTGTACATACCCATTCATACTATTTAAAAACTGCAAGAGGTTCTCGGGAGTAATGTTGGGATCTAAATCACACATTTAGTACACGAGGCAATCCCATCTCATCTACCACAGTTTACCTTGACTTTCGACACCGTTCAAGAGTCGCATTAATTCTGCATGAGAGCTAGATTCATCCATGTCAGAAGCAGCATTCATGTTGGCATCAGGATCACGAATCAGCTCATTCACACGCTCAACAATCTCCTTATCCTTTTCGTCGGTTTTGCTTTGCATCCAGTAGAAATGACGTTCATTTGATGTTTTGAACTGTAACAGATAAACACGGCCAGTTGTACATTGAGTGATTTGGCGAAATTCAGCTTCATCAGGAAATATGATGAGATCCTGAATGTACATTGTATTAAAAAAGTGCTCATCATAGTGATCTCTCTCTCTAAGTCAGCTTACATCTTCTGCAACGGATTGGTTTTTGCGTTCCTTCCAGTACAGGTGCAATAATCTATCTTCGCCCTATATCCATCGCATGTCAGCGCACTAATCAAGAGTTCTAGTGTGTCCACTGTACCTGATCCATGTAAACTTGCCTACAATGCGTAGTTGTCGTGTTAGTTGCTATCCGTATTGCAGTGACTACAACCATCTTACCCCTTTCTGGTGTCAGGCTTAATCCAAGTACCATCCACTATACATTTTCCAGCATTGAATTGAACTAAATGGGTTTCTGCAGGAGTAGTTTGGAACAGATTCATTGTGTATACTCGATATGTTTGACTTGAACAGCAAAAAGAAGAAGAAAGAGGAAAAAAACAATTTTTTCAATGCATTACAAAGCATTCTATACTCTTACATCTCTGCCGCGACGTCACGTATACTGGATTTGGACTCGAAATAGCTGCTGAAGGTGACTCTTTAGGGTATAGATGTCTCTTGAGGCTACACCTTTGCAGATCTGGCATGCGCAAAGTGTAAGTCATCCATTGGATGGCTTGAAAAGGCCCAAGCAATGCTGAAAACACTCAATTTCATGAATGGATTGATCCAATCGTGAAGATTGCTACATTGAATCACTAACGATTCCTTCACATATCGAAGCAGTGTATACAGTGATTCAATTTCCGCTAATAATGGCTATTGCTGTAGTCTGATGGATGAGAGATTGCTTTCGGGCATAATTAATAGATCAGAATCATTCAGTTGATAACAATAGCGCCATGGAGTAGACCCTCAGATCTGCAGGCCTTATGGCGCACAAAACGCTGCTGCCATGCCAACATGGCCAGATTCCGGCCATTCGGAAGGCATCTTACATCACAACCTTGGGCATATACACCCACTATATTATAGAGTATAGCCTCATGTGACCCCAATGTAAGTTGAACGAGAACATCCAGAAGTAGTCCCATCATAAGCTTGTACAAAGTTTCCCACGGCAATGACCTTTTTATATTGTGTTTAGATCCCCAACGATGTTGGTTGTTCTTCCATCATCACAGCATCTTTTGACATTCAGGGCCATTGTCTATCAGCTTTCAATCACCCGAGACATTCAAAGATCTATCTTATAAATCAACAAAAGCATCATGTACTTGAGATCATTCAAATCCATTTCATCCTCCGTTGTCTCGTCTTCTTCCCCTTTGACACGTTGCCGTCCTTCAAGCAAACTATTTCTCACGGTAAGAAACATCTTTTGTTTTCCATAGTATAGCCAAAAGCTGAATCTTGCTCCAATAGCCTCACAAGTACCATCGATTTGCTCGTAGTTTTCATGCCGCTGTTGCTAGAGAAGCTATCAAGCCTTTTCTTTTGGCCGATATTGGCGAAGGTATTACCGAGTGCGAGGTGATTCAATGGTAAGCTGGACAGAAGGAAGCTCAGGTCAGTATTTGAAACTGAAGGCAATGATGTTAGGTTTGTGGAGCCCGGGTCTACAGTAGCTGAATTCGACAAGATTTGCGAGGTGCAATCAGATAAAGCATCTGTCGAGATTTCCTCAAGATACGCTGGCAAAATTTTGAAATTGCACCATGGATTGAATGATATTGCCAAGGTCGGATCTCCCTTGGTGGATATTGAGACAGACGAAGGCGATGATCAGGTGGCTGCTGCCCCTCAAGCTGCTGAATCTGTGCCTGACGTGGCCATTCAACAACCCGCACAGGAGGAAGCTGGCTTCATGAATAGATCAGACAACAATGCTTCGACATCTTCTGGCTCCGTTCTCGCAACTCCAGCCGTGAGAAAATTGGCCAAGGATAAGGGAATTGAAATTTCAAGTGTAACAGGCACTGGCAAGGATGGCAGAGTTTTGAAGGAGGACATTTTGAACTTTGGTTCAACGACGGCAGAGGATATCAATCAAGGTGATGTGAGCTGAGCAAGGAAAAGTGTATCATGTATCACTCATACTGTGTCGTATAAAATAGAGAGCCATCAAAGCGCCAATGCTAGTGATTCTGCTACTACCTCTCAATCACTCAGTATGGTCCAAAAGGCCATGTTCAAGTCCATGACACAATCGCTCAGCATTCCCCAACTGGGATACAAGGATGATATCGAGATTGATGCTACTACCAAGTACCGTGCTGCTTTGAACAAGCACATCTCCAGCCATCCCGATCGCTACCCCTTCACCAAGATGACTTACTTGCCCATCTTTGTCAAATGTCTGTCTATTGCTCTTCATCACTACCCTCTGATGAACGCCAAGCTCTCTGGCAACTTGGACGATGTGAATTCCATCAATATTACCTACAGACCCTCTCATAACATTGGCATTGCTATGGACACACCTCAAGGTCTGGTTGTCCCCAACATCAAGAATGTACAAGACAAGACCATCTTTGAAATTGCCTCTGAAATCCATCGTTTGTCAGAACTAGGCAAGAAGAATGCCATTCCCATGGCTGACATGAAGGGAGGCACCATCACTCTCTCCAACATCGGCACCATTGGCGGCACATATGCAAACCCTGTCATTGTGTCTTCTGAATTGGCTATTGTCGCATTGGGAAAAATGCAGAAATTACCTCGTTTCGATGCTAATGATAATATTGTTGCAAAGCAAGTGATGCCAGTGAGTTGGTCGGCCGATCATCGTGTGATTGACGGCGCTACCATCGCACGCTTTGGCAACCACTGGAAGAACCTGATTGAAAACCCTGCCTTGTTGGCTAGTGAATTGCGATAAATGAATAATAAAAATAGAGATTTGTATACTAAAAGCAATTGATAAGGAGTTTATTTCATATACTGGCGGCAATGGCCATAACGTTTTGCGTTGCTTCAAATCATGCGAATGTTTGTCGTTTTCTAAGTGTCTCCATGTTGCTTCATTTCAGAATATATAGAGACCACATTTGTTTCTTGCAGACTGATGATATTATAAACTACTTCTGTAGATAACGATGCTGTACACCTGCATACCTTTCAGGGGCACACCTACTATCGACCAATGTGTATGTATCAAGCCAGTTCTTCTCAGTTTCTAGAAGAGCCATATACGGCTGGCCCTCATGGCAACGTAGAATACAAGATAGAACACTTTTATGATATCAGAACTGTATATTGCATGCATTAGTAGAAAGATAATGCGCATTGCAGCATTAGTAGAAAGTTAATGCGCATTGCGTATTTACACGATGCTGATGCATTTTAGTGCTGGTATATAGGAGGAATCCTGCTTTCGTCACTCTTCTTCTCTTGTACAATTGTTTTCTTTTAAAAATGGGTGGAATCGCTTGCTACTTTCAGTTTGATTCAAGTCAAAATAAGGCTGTGCTTGACGATGAAAATCTCAGCAAGTCTCTCGAGTATATCAACCACCATGGGCCAGATTCCATAGGCATATATTTCTCGGCATGTGGTCGTATAGGTAAACGGTTCTCTCATTACATAGAATGATCAAATGCTAATGGATCGTAATGCAGGCCTTGGCTATGTTCAACTATCCGTCGTAGGCACGGATAACGGTCAGCAGCCTCTCTCTAATCAAGAAAGTGATATTCATGTCGTTGTGAATGGTGAACTTTACGATTACAAGCGTATCAAAAGCAAGCTTCAAGCAAAGGGCTACCAGTTCAAAACCGAAAGCGATAGTGAGATTGCTCTGTGTTTGTATCAGGAATACGGCCTCTCTTTTTTTGGACCATCTGCGTGGCGAGTTTGCTGTTTGTATCTGGGACGCCAGAAAAAGTCGCTTCGTCTTGGCGAGGGATAGATTTGGTGCCAAGCCTCTGTATTATACTATAGTCAAGGGAGCGCTCTTGGTAGCAAGTGAAATCAAGGCTTTTCTTCCGTTAGGATGGCAACCAGAATGGGATGTTGATTCTTTGATGAACAATGGCGTGATGTTTGATTGCAGAACAGTTTTCAAGGGTGTTAATAAGCTGCCAACTGCTCATTACATGGTTGCTTCGTCTGCTGGAAGTATACAAATCAGACCTTATTGGTGTCAAAAGTATGCAAACAAACTTATCCAGGACACTCGCACTGTCGAGGCCATGATCAAAGGCGTCCAAGTCCATTTAGTGGATGCTGTCAAGCAGCGGTTGGAGGGAAATGTAGCTGTGGGAATTTATCTTGACGACAATGTGAATACGTGTTGCATTGCTGGCATTGTGAAGCAAATCAGAAAAGAAACCAACTCAAAAGAGAAGATCAAAGCATTTTCCCTTGCTATTGCGGGTGGTAATGAATTGAATGAGAATACGATTGTTAAAAGAACAGCCGAGCTTTGTGATGCTGATTTAGAGATACTGCAAGTGTCTGAAGAAGGCCTCCTGGATAAATCTGAAGAGTCGATATGGTATGTGGAGCAACCTCATTTGAACTTATACGGTGTAGGAAGATTTATGCTTTCGAAATTGGTCAGAGATCAAGGCTACAAGGTGATGCTCACTGGTGACGGGGCTGACGAGCACTTTGCTGGACACCCTCATTTCATCAAAGACTACCCTCGAGAAGCTGGCAGTAGTGTACCTGATGGCTTTGGTTCAGTATCCAATGATGAAAGAGCAGCACCTGCGCAGAAAATGAACACTACAGAGAACAACATTGGAAGAAAACACGTAACTGGCAGCATGCTGAATGGCTCAACTGCCCCTGCCTTTCTGGAAACAAGCATCACTCTGGCACGGTCATTTTACTCTGAAGAAGCAATAAAGAAATACAGCCATCGAGATCCTGCTCTCACCGTGGCAGAAGCATTGAATGGTATATCACGCAATAACGCAAACAACAAGTGTCATCCTCTTCATACAGCAATGAGCGTTCAATGTACAACCGTGCTTGCAAATCATGTGTTGAGTTCTTTCAGTGATCGTTCTGCAATGGCTCATTCTGTAGAGGTCCGTATTCCTTTTCTGGACCACCAACTCTGCGATTACGTGAATAGCCTCCCTCCCTCTGTCAAAATCAAGGCTGAAAAGGATGGAACGCTTATCGATAAATGGATCCTGAGAGAAGCGGTTAAACCCTATGTGACAACAGACGTCTATGAAGGCATTAACCATCAGTCCTACTCTGCGTTATCATCAGACAGCACTTTTATCAAATTATTGAAGAAGCATCTTACAAAGGAAAAGATTGAAAGACTTGGCTGGATCAACTATAACACAGCTAAGGCAGCCAGAGAAAGCTACTGCATCACCAAGAGCCATAAAACGTACCAGGATCTTTTAGTCATCATGTCGTATGTGGTGCTCTCTAAACAATTCAATGTAGCAACTGCTAGATTTGAAACAGTGACATTTAGTAAAACCAAACAAGTCAATAGCGTCGAGAAACAATCCTCTGAGCCACATCGCAATACCGTAGTGTCTATTTTGCTCAAGAAGATTGTAATGGCCGTAGTCGCCATTGCTCCTATGGCGTGCTCCTACTATCAGCAATAATTTTAATAAAAAGCATAGCCATCATTAAGTAAAAGATATGCGAGACAAGCCTTCTTAATCTTCACTATATCTAAATCTAATCTACCACTATATATACTGTAAAACGTTCGAAAAAAGTAGACAAACAAATCATGTTCTTTCAAAATTTTAAAGAATTGTGTACCGTACAAGATGAATAAAACCACTGGCAAAGCCGGCAATGGGAGAGGGTTTGGGGGGAGAGGATAACGCGTCTAATTCAACACTTGATAGCATTAATTTATAGGGGGGTTTTACCGTAGCAAAGCAAAGGTGCAAAGCTATGGTAATAAAGCGTCTAATCCAATACTTGGTAACATAGATCTATATGAGGGCTTGATCGCTGCAAAGCAAAAGTGCAAATATATGGCAACTAAGCATCCAATCCAGTATTTAATACCATGGATCTATACGAGGGCTTGATTGTAGCGAAGCGAATATGCAAAACCATAGTATCTAAGCAGCAAATTCGGGTTTTCATTTCCATTGTTAATAAGCTTACCAGTAACGTAGCGCATCAAAATCTGCATGAATTAGCTTTACCAAAATCAATATGCCTCCTATTTGAATTAGGAGTTGCACAGGCTATAGAACTGCCCTTCTAAAAGAATTTCAGCTACCAAAGATATGATTCATGCCGTGTAAATAAAAGCTATAAAGCAATACATAACTAAATTTGACAGCTTTCAAACCTCCATATCTTGACATGTAGACCTTTCTGAGCCACTGGAGTGACACTAAATAATTGTTCTCGATTAGTACTTCCTGACACCTTTGCTCAACTTTTTGGGTCAAAAAAACATAGCCAAAAATCGACCAAAAAGCATGAGGGATACCTCATGGTTTTCATCGAAAATTAAATGATCGCGTTTTTCATCTTGAAAATGAAGACTTTTATTATGGTAAATATTAAATCAAAACGTTTCTCTCGATCCAAAGCAACCTCTGAAACTACTTGTATGAGGCTTTCATATGCAAAATATGGTTATTTTCGCTAAAAACCTCATTTCAAATTTTATTAAATTGCTCAATAATTTCAGTCAAAACACTTATTACAGTTAACACCATTGGAAGCGCTTTGAAAAGTACTTCAAGAATGTAGTAGGAAGCGGGGTGATTATCACAATTTGCATAGTCGAATATCACAAAACAGATTAAAGAAGTCGAAAAAAAACAACATCTGTCCAATCTTAAACAAAAAAAAAAAAACTGAGCTTAAATTAATTTTGGCAGGCTTCGCTAATGCTGGCTGACCTAAATACGTTTCTGTTGATGACAAGGATGATTGCGATGCTGATTGAATGAGGATCATGGAATTAAAAGGACAATTGAAAAGCACAAATACTTTTTTCGGGGAGCTTTGCCTCATGAATATGTCTTTTGCAATGGCAATATCTCAAAAAAGTGGCTGTAAATCTTGCACAAGTCCTATATTTACTTATCACCAGCTATATGTCGTTATCTATTAAGAGCATCAGCAGCAGCGAATGATATGGCAATTCTATTATCAGAAAATGACGATTATGATGTACAAATGCTGCATAAAACTTGAATTTTCTTTCATATCGTCTCAATAATAGGCTTTGTTTGATATCAGTGTAAGCAAAAAGGATGCTGAGGGAGATACCTCCTCTCCTCCTCCTGGTGGCTCTAATATAACCTTTCTTTTACTAACTAATAATAATAACAAATTGTTTAAACACTACTTGATATACCAAAATTTTAATATATCTGATTTAAAATGTCTTTGACGAGAGCTCGCAGGGCGACGCCGACATCGAGCGTAGCGAGATAGGTCGGCTAGTATCATTATACCAAGAATATATTCATTGCAGTAGTCAGGCATTACCTTTCCCCTTGCTGATTTGTATATAATAGTTTGCAGATCCATTCTTCTCAATGCTAATTTTTATGTGTATAGTCTATGAGTCCAGGCTCAGTGAAATACCAGCTTTCATTACAATTGATTAAATACTTCATTCAGTTGTTGTAGATAGTTGATAGCACTATCTACGTGATTAAATGTGCTGCCATAGCATTTACCTCTTGCTTGAGTGATAAGATGTCTTGGGCACAATGGGAAGGATACCACCATTGCTTCTATCGAGCACACTTATTGAAAGCTAGCTCTTTGAAAGTTTTATGAAAAAAGGTTGCTTGTACAATCACTTTGAATATCAAATTCTGATGGTTGACTATCCTTGTACAAGCAAGAAGCCTAGATTTCTTTTTTACATGCATAAACATCATTTTCATTCAAATTACATAGTTTTAATAAATGGGAATATACACAGTTTGTATAATGAAATTACGCATTAAAATAGTTTCTGACTTTACTAGTAGCATTTTCAGCCAAATCCTTGACAGCATCTAAATCCAGCGCAGCTTGATCAACAAACTTTCTTGCCATAGCTACGGCTTGATCCTGTACATTATCCCAATCACCGAGTGACACCATATCATTGCTGTTGCTATAAGATCTGCTTCTTTGATCGTCCATATCAGACTCTCTGCCAAAATACTGATCGGACGAAATAGCCTTGGCGCTGGTGAATTGAGACAATCGACTGGATTCAGCAGCAGAAATAGCAGGGTCGTATTCGTTTCTGCCAAAGTACTGATCAGACGAAATAGCCTTTGCAGATCCAAACTTGTCTCGAGCGGTTCGACTATCGTCCTCTTGTTGCTGATACGATCTTTGAGATGGCATAGAGATGCTGCTCTTTTTATCATCCATGTTCATACGACTCATGCCAAATCCAAGCTTTTCGTATTCATCTTCTTTGTTTTTGCTGTTGGTGTCCATATAGGCTAGTCGAGAAGAGAGTGGCTTACTGGTAGCAGCATCAGCAGTATATGGTGATGAGGAAATGTCGTTGTCGCTTTTCTCTGTCTCTTCGTCTTCGTCCTGGCCGTATTTGATGTTGCGCTCCAAATCTTGCTTTGCCTGAGCTTCAGCAGCCTCAAAATTGAAGTTGACGGGTGCCTTTTTGATGCCAAGTTTACCTGATTTTGCAGACTTGCGAGGACCACGAGCGCCACCAACAGAAGAGCGTGCTGCGCGCGCAGTAGGTGTGATTACCTTGGCAACAGGTGCCTTTGCTTCAACCACAGGTGTTTCGGGTTTATCCTCTTCAACAGGCGTGATGCTGATGCTGTCCTCTTTGATGATGTTGATGGGCTCTGGCTGCTGTTGAGGCTCTTGAATAGGCGGAAGAGGTGTAGCAGGAGGCTCCTCAATGCCAGAATCTGCGCCATCGTAAATATCAATCACCACAGTTCTTGGATTGCTAAATGATCACATGGATTTAGAGTTTTGTTGCATTTTGCATAAATCCCACTTACGCAGCAGCATCTTCAGCAGTTCTTTTGGCCAACAGCTCCTTGTATTGTTGTCCGGTTCTGCTAGTATATTTCATTCTAGCATCATTGGTGTTCATGCTGCCACCGTTCTTTGAAAAGAACTCTGAAGCAGCTTGATTGCCACCCATCTTCATCATGCGAAGTTGTTCCCAGCTCCAAGAATCGAGCACAGTGGATCTATTTGAGAGAGAGAGAGAGAGAGAGGCTTAGTATGGTACCCATTGGTTTCTTCACTGAAACCCTTACCGAACAAAACTGATATGAACACCCAGGTTGCGGTGAGCAGATGAGCAATCGGTACAAATGTAAACACCAAATGAAACAGAAGCCCAGTTGGGATTCTTTGCGTTGCAGTCAAAGCATGCCTTTATAAATGAAAAATGAGTTACATGATGAACATCTAGAGAAAAAGAGAGCAGAAAGACCCACCTTGTTGTAGCGGTTTTGCTTGAGTTTTCTAAAGATGGTTTGGATTTGTTCTTTCGTAGGCTCTGGCATGTTGGTTTACTTGAAAGAGAGAGGGAAAAAAACAATGTTTTGAAACGAGATAAAGCGTTCTTAACGAATGATAATGCGTCACGCTGTGTGATATTCTCGCTGCGATACACTTGAAGGTACTCAAATGCCAAAAGCTGTACATTTGGTTCCGCTATTGTTCTGGATGATGTGAGCAAATGTGTCAACATGTCTTTCCAATGTTATAACCTTTTCTTGGCATGGGGCTTAGCATGGCTATTCCATATGATATACTGTACCAGGAGAGACTGTATCTTGGCTGCAATGGCGAGTTGATGCCGAGTCTATACAGAGATGACAAGAGATCTGGGACTTAAAACGGGATTCAAGAAACACAAGGTATAAAACAAGCTGCAAAAAAAGTTTTCCGTGCTTTTCTCTTTTCTCTGCTATCTATCACAAGCATTCAAAATGAAAAAGAAGTTTTCAATGCCTACTTCCATCAACTCACCCTTGCCAACAAGTTTGGCCGGTAAGATCATGCTTGTGAGTGTTGTTGATTTAATTGATTTGACTCGATTTGATATCCTTGCTAGGTGAGTGCAAGAAAGCCACAAAGATCCTGAATGCATTTGTCGGTAAGAACTATGGCAAGCGTTAATAAGGAAGAGGATACTGAGAGAACGACTGTGTCATAGACCCAGGAGAAGGTCTTGATAAAATTATTCCTAGCTCGATCTTGGAAAAGGCACAAGGTTTGGCCATCTTCACTGTGTTGAAGGCTGGGTTTCTCTTTTCTGGAAGAGCAGGCAGTGGTCTAGTCGTAGCTAGGTAAGATAGCAAGCCCATGCTTACATCTAATTGTACTCATATACCTTGATTAGATTACCTGACGGATGTAAGGATCTGATTGCGGATCTTGAATGGTGTAATTGCAGAATGTAGAAAACTCATCCTTGATTTATACTAGCATGGTCTGCACCTTCAGCAATTATAACAGGCGGTATGGGTGCTGGTGGGCAGATTGGTAATACCAAATAGGCTTTTTTTTTTAAGCGCATACAGACGTATTAATCCCGATAAATTAGGTGCCGAGCTGACCGATTTTGTGCTTGTACTCAACACCAAAGAAGCTGTGAAGACATTCAGTCATTTTGGTAATATTACATTAGGCGGCAATGTGTCCAGTAAGTAGGGGTACAAGATAAATCGAGATCGGTATAGTATATGCTTACAGTGTGAATGATAGTCGCTGCTGGACCTGTTGGACGAAACGCCGAGGCATCTGGATCAGCCACATTAAAGCATATTTCAGCCATTTACTCTTACAGCAAAACCAGAGGGTTGTTTGCAGGTGTGTCATTGGAAGGATCAGTCATCTTTACTCGTAACGACGCCAACGAGAAGTTATATGGGGAGCGTGTTACTGCAAAGGAATTACTGAATGGCACTGTAGCGCCTCCTCGTGAAGCCGACTCATTGTATCGTGCTCTCAATGCTAAATTTCACACACTGGGTAGTACAGGCGCCATGTATCAACGTACCATTCAGCATGAAGAAAGTAAAGGAAATACGTATAAAAGTACGTCTATCTCTGCACCAGGTACGCTACGCATTCCTGGCGTGCGACAAGTGGCAGGTGGTTACGGTGCACCTATGATTGCTCCGCCTGCACCACAACAGGATCAACTATACAAGCACAACACGGCTCCGTCAGTTCCCTATCAGCCGCACCCACCACCAAGCCCTATTCCTACATACAACATTAATAACAACTACAGCAACAGCGCTGCTTCTAATTACACTAATAACACGACATACAGTAAACCTGATTACAAGCAAGCAGTGCCACCACCATTATATGAAGGTCAGCAACTTAGTTTTAGTAGAGATATCAAAAAGAGCGTGGCTGTGCCGCCACCACCTCCTCCACCAAGCCAACATTCCAAACCCCAAAGAGCGAGAGCATTGTATGCGTTTACAAGTGAGCAGGAGGGTGATTTGACATTCCAAGCAGGTGATATCATCACAGTTACTGAAAAGACTGAAAGTCAGGAAGATTGGTGGACAGGTAGATTGAATGGACAACTTGGATCTGTGAGTAGACACTATTGTCATTTTATACAGAGATTTGAATGCTAACACAATGTTTTGCTTTAGTTTCCTGCAAATTATGTGGAATTGATATAGCCACGAGGTTGATGAATAGTATATACACATTTAGACGAGTCCTAATAAACGGAGATAGCTGTAGGAGGATGCGAATACATGAACATTGCCACAGCATTGGATGCTGTTGCACTAGTATAATACTTGAAATGTAAAGCAGGCACAGAGCTCGGAATTGTACCTGATTTCAATCATTCAGCATTCACAATGTTGTTTCACTCTCATTGCTAGTGTGATGATAATAGGATCGATTTCATCATGCTGCTATTTATAACGGCGTCCAAACTACAGTTGACCGACCAACGAATGCTAGCAATCTGCATGATTTTTGAGATTGCTGATCTACAGTCATTGATAGCCAAGCACAAGGTCATATCGATTGCAGGTGCTGAAGAAGGTAAATAGCTGTTTGCGGTTCAGTTTTTTATAGTACTTTATACACCCGTTCGTTACGTGAGACAAGCGGATGTGTACTTGCCATTATCTTGTACTCATCACTGGATTCGCGTCAAATTTCGCTTTCCTTTCACCTTCCAGTCCTTTCATCAAAGGTCACAGCTTTCTCTATTACGCTCTATAATTTATAACAATACTAGCATCAACTACAAATATAGTAATTTTCTCCCATTTATTTGTTTTGTCCACTGTTGGCAAGCAAGCGTGGGGACAAATTCAAAATTCGTGGGAATTTTGCTTCTATTTTGACATTACTCTCTCCTGCACTAGCATATTGGTTACCTTGCAGCAGCAGCAGCAGCAGCAGCAACAGCCAAAGCACAAGTAGATATCACCAGAACCACGGCAGGTATAAATTTCGACATGTTGCATCTTGATCTTCTCTTTCTTTTCTTTTCTTCTTTTCTTTTCTTTTCTTTTTTTTTTCACCTCTTTTAAAAACGAAACAAACATGTTGGATGTTGATGAAATACGTTGGTACTCGTTGATCTACTCACATATACGCTTTACTCATACTTACTATAGCTGAAAAACCTAATGTAAATACTCTGGATAGCGTCATCTCGGGCTTATTTGGAGGTAATTGATGACTCGCTCCACCATTTTGTTTTCGACCTTGTTGACCACATTGGTTTTTAGGTTTAGCGGGTTTAGCAGTGGGTCATCCGTTTGGTAATAACAAATTGCATTTCCATGGTTGATACGAAACGTCAATTCTAATCATGTTATTATACACATACACAAATACACACACACACACACACACACACACACTTATAGACACAGGTATATCGCATAACGATTCTGACCATATCATATCTTGTATCTAAACACTTACTATAGTCAAAGTAAGATTGCAATCTCGAGAGTTGGCTTCTAGATATAAAGGCACGTGGAACTGCTTTATTACAACAATCAAACAAGAAAAAGTTAGTATTTGAATGAAACGCTAAAAAGAGATCTGCTTATTTATGCCATTTGTATATTACAGTTTGTAGGTCTCTACAAGGGAATGGTAGTATAGATATGTCCTTAAATAGATAAGATAGATAAACTAATATTTTTCTTATCAACGTGAATTCAGGCCTCTCCTGCCGTAAGTTGAATGATTTTAACATGGCAACTACACAAGCTGACTATTCATACTAGGTGGGTGTTGCTGGTGTAAATGCCCTCGTCTTTGGGTCATACACATCTTTGATGCAATATCAGCAAGAATATGATAAGGACAGTTCAAGTTCATCAGAGCAACTGCCACCTTTACGGCATGTACTCTTTGCTGGAATGGGTGCTGGTGTCATTACAAGGTAGCAATGTACTCTTGCTATAAAGCTTTGTTCGTCATGACTCATTCATTTAATAGCTTTGTAACATGTCCAATGGAATTAGTCAAAGTGCAATTACAAAGCCAAACACAAGTAACTGCAATAAAGGGCCCCATTGATTGTCTAAAAAACTTGTATACAACAGGTGGAATCCGGTACTGCTTTAAAGGCATGCTACCCACAACGCTACGAGAGCTCAGCTTTGGACCTTACTTCCTCACCTATGAATTTATTTGCAGAATTATGACCACATCCGATCCAAACAGCATCAACAATAGCACCTATGAGCTGTCTGGTCCCAAAATAATTTTAGCAGGCGGATCTGCTGGTATTGTTGCCTGGTGCTCAACGTATTTTGCAGGTAAACGCAGATCTAGTTGCACATACAAACTCGATTTACACAAGTTAAACTTGCATTTGCCCTGTAGATGTTGTAAAAACACGTATTCAATCCGAACCTGAAAGATACAAAGGCTTTATAGACTGCATAAAAAGCTCCTATCGAAATGAGGGATGGCGCATCTTTTTCAGAGGGCTTACACCAACAATCTTAAGGGCCTTCCCTTCAAATGCTGCGACTTTTGCTGCTTACACATGGACAATGAAATTATGCCAATCCAGCCAATTGACTGCAGTGAAACAACAACACAACAAGAATGATGCTATTCTATTGTAGAAAAAAAAAAGGGGAATGAAACAATACCGATTGCTATAACTCGCCAGTTTTCAAGGTGGATTTTCTGATTTCAGATAGGGCTGTTTGCTTATCGTATTTGTTATTGCATGTGCTCATATTGGCCTAATGTGAGCCTTGTTTGCTGGTTTCTCTCGTTTTACCTTTTACTGAGTGCAATAAATATATACATTTCACCATAGCGAGACTGGTATTACATAACCAAAACCTTAGATCTTGTGCTTCAAGACGGCTGTAGTGTATCTGGTCCACATGTAGAGACTTTAAAGTGAGTAGGTACAAATTTCTACTATGCATTGATGCCTTCTATGTATTCAGCACTGAAAATCAATCAAATGGAATAGTTCTTTTATCCATACTATGTCGGATATGCACGTTCATTGATCGGGAAAGTGGATAAAACTTGTATTTTTCCATGGATCAGGGCCAAAACACACACTCCATAAGCCAATGGATGAGCATTCTTTTCACGGGGGGCCGAGTACCGAGAGCAATAATGGTAACACTGCCTAGTATTAATTGCTGGAATCGTTTACATTTTAAGCAATAAGGTTACATAAGATAGCATATATATATATAGCAAATGCAGTTGATATCCCATGAAATGGAGAACCGAGTAATGAACTGGAAATATATTACGAGTACTAGTGTACATGATAGGCTTGCCTGTTTATATTGCGCATGTAACAAACACATTATGATAGGCTCGGTCTCCCTCGCCCCGAAGAAAACATCTATTGTTCATCGTCTATAAAAAGCGACGATTTCGTGGCATGCCCAACTCTTTTCTTCTCTTCCATCTCCAATTTATATTCTACACTTACAAGATGGACTATTTGCAAACAATCAGTCAATCAACACCTATTCATAATGCTATTAGACTCATTCAAAACTTGCCTTTGACTCATAAATTAGAAGAATTTTACAAGCGTGCATCTAGAAATGAGTTGATATTCGTCGGGGCTGCTGCATTTGTGACACTGTACAATCTCAAGGCTTATGTCAATGCGAAACGACAAAAGCTGAACCTGCCACCCTATGTACCTTACGGGTTGCCTTTGCTGGGCCACACCTTGTATCTCATGGCTTCGCCCTTCAAGTTTGTGGACTGGTGCAATAAGAACTATGGCGAAATCTACGACATCAATTTAATGGGCAAAACAATTACTGTTACCAGCAAAAAGTGTGCTGAAGAGACATTCAAGGCAGAATCAAATGATTTATCTCTCAACGAAGGCATTGTTAATGGTTTGTGTTTCTATCACCTGTATTCATGCGCCACACAAGTAATTGGCTGACTCTTTTGATAATAGACATGCTTCATCTCAACTACTTATTCACAGACAGAGAAATGATCTTGTCATCCAAAGCCAATGCTGTTGTTGTTCGAGCAGTACTTACTAGCCAACGAGTGCCTTTGTTGATTCCCACCATTCAAGAGGGTTTAGAGCGAGGTGCCAATGTATTACTCAAGTCCAATGAGCCTACCATTGTCAAGAAACCCAGCATCTTTTTTCAAAACTACGTTGCCTACATGAGTGTTGGCTCCTTGATCGGCGAAGAGATTGCAACCAACACAGAAGTCATTCAATCTTTTGCTCAATTTACGGGCGACATTATTGGCAATATATCTTACTTTGTACTCCTTCCCAAATTCATGCACTCTTACATTTTACCCTTCTTGCAAACATCTTACAAGCACCACCATGTCATGGAGAAATACGTCATGCCTATGATTGCCGAGCGTCGTGAAAAGCAGAGACTTGCTAAAGAAGCTGGTAAAGAAGATGAGCTCGAGCGCGATTTTTTGTATGGTCTAGCCGAGTATGTTCACGTCGATGAAGATGGCAAGGAAACACTGTTCTCTGAGGAGGAGCTCGCTCACAATGTCTTGATGATCGCTTTCGCTGCTGTCCACACGACATCCACCAATTTAAGTTACTGCATCTACTGGTTGATTGCTCGTCCTGATCTCAAGCAAAGGCTATTGGAAGAAATCAACCGTGTTACTCCTGGCAAAGCTCGGGTCACTCATCAAAACTTGCTGGATATGCCCTTCTTGAATAACTTTGTGCGTGAATCACTTCGTCAAAGTGTGGACAGATTGGCCGTGCAAAAGAAGGTCATGCATGATTATACCTATTACAACGGTTATCAAGTACCCAAGGGACGCATGATTCACACTACTACACGTCAAATGAACTTTGGTGAAACTGCTGGTCGTTCATCTATCGAGGAGATGAACCCTGACATGTCCAACAACAAGCCTTGTTCTGCTCCTGCTAGAGATTTCCTTACGTTTGGTATGGGTAAACATTTATGTCCAGGTAATCATAATAATGTGCTTTTGATTTATCAAGTGAATACTCACCGTTCAATGATCTATAGGCCGTTTCTTTGCTATTCAAGAAATCATGATGTCTCTTGTTTATCTCTTGAAGAACTATGACTTTGATACTGTCAGTGGAAAGAAGCCACATCCTGTTTCTAGTATTGCCAACATCGCTGTTACCAACTGTGAAGAGCCCTTGGTTTTCACACCCAAAAACTAAATCAAATGTATATTGTATTTATTTATTTATTTATTAAAAAATGTTATTATAACTTATCAAGTATGAAATCATAGCTTTGGGAAAACTCTTTTCGCTTTTAGTAACTACACTTTGTTTAGTTCAACAAGTGCGGAATGACCACATCAGGTTGTTCAATAAGGAGCATGTGAGTGCCCTTCGAAACATCCAATCTGAGCAAATTGCTATTGAGTTTCCAGGTTTCGGATGCAAAAGGTAGACTGTCGCAAGTAAGAATTGCGCTGGTATGGTGAGCCCTTTGATCGCTTTGCTACATATATAAGATTCGTCGAAACTGTTTCCAAAGATGATTTATTTAGATCTTCTTGCACACTTCAGCTTGAATATATGATCATCCGTTTCATGCAACCCGTAACTTGCATACAGTTCAAAACCTTCTGGATGAAGTGTCTTATAAAATTCCTTTGACAAAAGCGATTCATGCAACACTTCGGTCACCTCCCATTCCTCTATTCTTTTCTGGAAACCCTTGGCCACCATCTGTGAACCAGAAATGGCCTCTTTGATTGAAGCTCGCACAGGAGGTTCAGATAGGCACAGACCGCTGAACGTTCCTGGGCAGTAATATATAAAAGTGATGTCAGTCTGACCATACTCTCTTTGATCGCGAAGCTGGCCCTTGAATTTCTTTATAATAGAATGGGGCTTTCTCGTGATATCCTGTGGCATGGCTAAACAGAAATGCTACCCTTCGATGCTGTTGTTACCAGGAAGGTTGTGCTTATGGACATATAACAGCTGTGGTCCTTTTTCTTCTAAATCAGAAGAATAAATGAGAACGATGTGAGTAGATGCTGGTTTGAGATACATGTTGGTGTAAAATGATGGGAGATTTCTCACCCATAGCACAATGCCCTGTATATCTATACCTTGTCAAAGGGTGTTTGCAATGCATTATTCACACCAACCATTGGACATATCAAAGCAATATGATGCAATTGTACTGTCTAAAAAGTCTCTATCGGCTCCTCCGGCCTTAAAAGTGCAATAATTCTATACAGACACCTGTCATAGCAATATAATTTGAACAATGCATTACGTACAAAGAGTTTACAGAAGAGAAATAGCGTGTGTATCATCTCTGAGAAGCTCCCGTGGATAGCAAATCAAGGAACATGCTTGGTCTTGCTCTAGAATGACAAATTACTTAATGATGCTTCATTGTTTTCCATGTCATCATGTTTATTCAATCTATAGGCACTCTTCGCCCAACAGTATAGAGAATAGCTAAGCCTTAACGAATAGAGTCAAGATTCATAAGATATGTAGCATGTATAGAATTTTATAAGATAACAAGCATCGTGTGTATAGAGTAGATGTTTTAGAATTCATCTGCATCGTCAAACTCATCAGCCTCATCAATCAAATGCTCCTCTGATCCATCATAATCCTCTAACAGAACATCTGTGTGTTCATCTTGACCCAAAGCAGTATAGCCAACACCACCACGTCGTCTAGACATGAATGAGGGTAAATGCCAATTACTAAACAAGTTGATATCAGATAGTGATCGAGGTAATTGAATACGGGAAAGGATGCCAATAATGGCAACGGGAATAACCACAGCAGCAGCAGCTATCTTGGTAATAATAGGGCTGGATAAGAAGTTTGAACCCATTTGTTGCGTGCCGTCAGGAAGTCGAATACGACTGTACATGTGTGTGAATGATAGATGAGTAACAGTTTTAATGTGCTTTTTCTCTTTTACTTACCCAAATCCACCACGTTTGCGGTAGTGCAGTGCAGCAAACACTAGACCAGCTGCGATGATGGGTGCAAAAATGAAGGCAACCCATCCACCACCTGAATGACTGGCACCAGGACACCACATTTGCTCAGCACCAATCTTTTCAAGCTCTTTGCCCCCTTGACAAGTGGAAGCAGCAATCTTACGATAGCTAATAACAGCCATGTAAGCGTGTATTCGTGTATACATGAATGCGCAACTTACCCAGTAGGTGTGTAGTAAAAATCTCTCGTACCATCGCACGTAGGCTCCAGAGGAGAGTATCCAGGCACCAAAACACACTTGTTGTTGGAATCACGAACAAAGTTGAAATCACTACGTATAATTTAGAGGTGTTAGATGTGATGTAGTTTCAGTGCTTTCAGGGCAAACTTTTACCATTCATAGTCTTCTTCAGTACAGGTACAATTACGCACAATTTCTCTGGGCTGAACCAACTTTTCGCCAATGTAGCAATCACGGTCCTGAATACGACGGAAATACTTGGTTTCTCTACCAAATAGACACTGCTCACCTCTTGTATCTTCAGGGCTCCATAGCTCGAAATCGTCATCATTGGGATGATCGCTGTCCAAGATACATTTTGTAGGATGCAGTGAGCTGAAATCGACGTGGAAAGCAACAGACTTGCCGTTCTTTAAGCCAAACAAGACGTATTTCTGGCTGGTGCCATCAGGTTGAGTAATGATATCCTCAATAATGACCTTTTCACCGCGCTTGGCAAATTCAAACATGTTCCATGTCATGCCTTCGTTTGTCGTGTACTTGAGGACGTTAGTAGGTTGTTCATTATCGACCAAGATCAACAAGGCACCCTGATCAGCGAATTCCCAAAGATGAGCACCCTTCTCAATTTCGTTCCATGTCTTGCCAGCATCGCGCGTCAAAAACATGTCGCCATCACGATAAGCAGACAGGCTGGTGCCGACATTACCAACGCCCACCATGAGACCGACTGCACTGGACAAACTAAACAGATCACGCGAGTTTTGTCGCTCAGAGTAACAGTGCAAGTGCAAAGCGCAATCAGCACCGTGGCAGTCATATGCTTGGCCCTTGCTGTCCTTGTGAGGAGGTGCCAATAAGCTCCAATGACCACCAGCATCTGCCGTCTTTCGAGTCACCAGCTTCTTGGGATCGCCCTTGTTGGCTTGGCCAGGATTGCTCACCACATTAGCAATGGCAATGCCCTCAATGCCTTGCATCTTTTCAAAGTCGACAATACCCATTTCATTGCGATTGGCATTCTCAAGTGAAGTGACATAGTAAGTACCATTGGAGTTGGAGGTAAAGATGGTACCATATTCACTGCCTCTGTGTGTGTTGGTCGACACATGGATCCACATGGAGTTGGCAGATTCCATGATAGTGAAGGCCTCGGGAGAGAGGTCAAAGGAAGCAGGAAAGGAGGCAGCAGCAAAGATATCACCATCCAAACTGACGTGCAAACGAAGATTGGCGCCGCCGTTCTTGGAAGCAGCAACAACCATGTACTTGCCAAACACAGTGACGCCCACAATGTCTTCAAACAAAACCTTCTTGTCGTGGAAATAGTTTTGAGAGGAAACAAACTGAACCGTGTTGCCAGCAAGAGTCAACTGGTTGCCAGATTGCTCGCGGTACTGCTCACAGAAGATAGAATTGCGGTGAGTAGCATCAATAGCGCCTTCTCTGCCCCAGATACAGCTACGCATGTAGGTGCCAATGGAGGCCCAGCTACGACCATGATCACGAGAGTAAAAGGCTTCCGAATGGCAGTTGCTGGCAAGGGCGTCGCAGTTCTTTTCGCCCAAATAAAGTACATAATCAGGATCATCGTTGTGGAAACTCATGACAGAGCCAAAGAGATAGGTGAGAGGTGGAATAGGCGTCCTGATTTCATCAAAGTTGGATGCTTTATCGCTGGTTACAAAATGAGTGGTTCCCTCAGTGATAAAGAAGGCACGTTGATCAAAGTGAGGGTTTTGGTAGATTGCAATGACCTTGTGTCCAGAGAATAGCTCCTTCCAGCTGTAGCCATCATTGTCGCTGCGCCAGATTTTGCCATCTTGCGTACGTACAATAACACGATCTGTGTCAGTAAAGTAAATGTAGTCTACCACACGATCAGTGAACTCTGTGGAGCTGGAGAGAATACCGCCTGTTGTACCGCAGGGCCATTCCTTTTGATCCTCGAGGTTGATGCCGCCAGAACAGGTACTCTTGGCGTTCTTCTTGTAGCCAGAGCGTCCTCTAAAGGTGCTTCCAGCTTCGCATTTAGGTGGTCTATCAGGATGACGTCCCTTGAACACGCACTCGTTCTCTTCATTGCGCCAGAAGCCAAACTCGCATTCAAAATCAATGTCACGACATTCACAGTTTTCAGTAATGATTTCGGGTTCTTGGAATTGCGCATTGACGATACACACTCTGTCTTTCTTGCGACGCCAGTGCGCTGTCTTTTTACCGAGCAAGCATGCATCATCGCCATCGTCATCTTTAGGAATCCAGCGCTCAAAGTCGCTCTTTTCGTCATTGTGCTTGTCAATCACACATTTGCGTTGCTTGGTTTCTGAAAAATCAACCGTAATCACCACTTGCGCGCGCTCTACACCGCGAGAATGACCAATGATAACAAATTTGAGCGTGGAAGACTTGGGGTCTGTGGTAAGCGTGTTGACACGGATCTCATCCGCACTGAATTCAAAGAAATGCCACGTTTCTCCTTGATCCCATGAATACAAGAGCTCCTTGGTAGGCTTTTCGTCGTTGATTAGTACCAAAATGGAGCCTTGATCACCAAACTCGTAAAAATGCTCGCCTTCTTGGATCATGGTCCAGGTATGGCCACCATCGCGGGTCAAGAAAGTGTCGCTTTCAGTGTAGGCGTTCATAGAAGCACCTACATTGCCGACGCCCATAGCAAGACCAGGAGCACCAGAGGAAGAGAAGATGGCACCAGGACCATGAATATCTGTGCGACTGTGCAGGTTGAGCGTGCATTCCTTGGTGGAGCAATCAAAGTTCTTGGGTGGCTGAAGAGGCTGCCAGATGCCTCCATCATCCCAACTGATCATGGTGCGCACCTTCTTGGTCTTTTCAGGGCTGCCAACCAAGTCATCAGCATTCCACACTTGGTTAGCAAGAATGATGCCATCTACGCTTTGGATCTTTTCAAAATCAACGTATCCAGAAGCATCGCCATTGGTGTTATCAAGAGCGAGATGATAAAACGTGCCGTTCTCATTTGACTTGTAGAGTGAACCGTAAGCAGTGCCAAATCCAGTGGATTTGAAAATGTTGAGCAAGATGGCGTGAGTGGTAGATTGCAGTACGGTAAATGTATTGCGGTTGATGTATTGGTCAGGAGGGAACTGAGCTTCAGCAAATGTCTTGCCATTGACACTGACAAACAGGGTGAGATCGCCCTTGTTACTGGATGCGACAGCCATAAAGTCCTCTACCACAAAGAACTCGACCACATTGTCAAAGTAGGATTCAGTGGTGCGGCCCCAATCCGTGGTGCGCAATAGTCTCAAATCACCCCCAATGCGATTCTTGTCATATGCAGAGCAGAAGATGGTTTCCTTTTCAATATCGTACTTGGAATCACGGCCAAAGATACACTTTTCCACATACATGTCGAGGGAATCCCAGCTGTTGCCATGGTTACGAGAGATGAATGCTTCAGAATGAGGTTCGGGGTCGTTGGATTCGCCCACAAACAAAAGCCAATCTCTTTCTTGAGGATGGAAATCCAGGGCATTGCTGGTACGACGACTGGGAGGCAATGGAAGCTTGATGGTACGCCAAGAAGCACCTTGATCATCCGTCAAGTGAATACCGTCTTCCAAGAAGGCATACGCACGGTGGTTGTCAAATTCATGTAAGACCACGTTAGTCACTCGGCCATTCTCCTTGAGCACAGACTCCCACTTGACACCTTGGTTGCTGGATCGCCACAACTCGCCATTTTGAAGACGGATCAAAATAACTTCAGAATCACGGAAATATATAAACTGTTCAATATCATCATCGAATACGATAGTATACTTGGAGATGGTGTCGTCAGAGGGTTTCGCCATGTCATTACCATGGCCAGGCGTTGCAGGGTTGGGAGTGATACCGGCAATATTCTCACTGCATTTGCGGTCCACAGGCTCGTCCAAAGGAGTTCCGTTGCCCAAAACACATGTATTACCAGGGATTAGACGATAGCCGCTGGACCCAGGATAGAAATCGTCCTTGGAGCGACAGACGTCTTCCGAGATACGATCAGGACCCACACGGGTACAAGAGCCATCTGGGTTGCGCATAAAGTTGTAATCGCATTCGTAATCAGCACGCGTGCAAGGACAATCCTTTAGTTCGACAATGGGGTCTTGGTAATCACGGCCCACGTAGCAATCACGATCTGCTTTACGACGGTAAAAGATCTGCTCATGACCCATCAAACAGTCAGGACCACTGGTGATATCACGCGCTACAAAGCGTTCATAATCACTCTTGTTTTCATCCTTTTCGTTCAGTTCACATTGGCGGGAGAACACGTTGGCAAAGTCGAGTTGGATGGCTTGGACTTTAGCATCCGAGGAGGAGCGAACAGAGCTGCCGACTAACAAAAAGTTGCGAGAAGAGGATTCTGGATCCGTGGTCAGCATGCGAGCGCGAATAGAGATACCGAGATCGAGTTTATCCCTACAAGTGGAGATTGAGTGCTTTGTGCATGCTTCAACTGATCCTTACACTTACCAGGTTTGGCCACGATTCTTGCTCCACCAAACATGATCAGTTTCCTTTTCATCATCCACAAGCACCAACAAAGTACCCATATCGCCAAATTCATACTTGTGAGCACCCTCACGGACCATTCTCCAAGTCAAACCATAATCCTCTGATAGGAAAGTATCGCATTCATCATACTCCAGCAGATTGGCACCATAGTTGCCTACGCCCATCATGACACCGACAGCAGACTCGGCAGAGGACACTTGCCCCGTATTGTGGTTTGATGTTACCGAGTGCAAATGAAGCGCACAATCTCTGTCTGAGCATCTCATATTGTTACCATTCATGTCCTTTACGACAGCCAAATCCTTCCAACTGGCGCCATCATCAAAACTCATACGTGTACGCACTTCCTTGCCCACGCCTTGAGATTCTACCTGTCGAGGGTTCATAATGACATTGGCGATCAAAATGCCTTCCACGCCTTGGATGCGCTCGAAATCAATATAGCCCATGACATTTCTGTTGGTGTTTTCCAGACTCTTGATGAAAAAAGTGCCGTTGGAATTGGATTTATACATGGAACCAAATTGATCTGTGCCACCGCCCAGTACATCAATCATGAGAGAAGCGCCAGGACTTTCAACAATGGTGAACGACTTTTCATGCAAATTAGCACCTTCTGGGAAAATAGCTTCATGCCAGTTTTCACCGTCTTGAGAAATGTAAAACACCATATCCAACTTGTCGGGTGATGGCTTGACGACAGCGACAATAAAACGATTGATGGCGCTGACAGCAATGACGCCCTTTACTGGTCTACCCGTGTTGAAATCGACGACCTTCTCCGTGTGGAAGAAATCCTCAGTCTGAACGAGGCGGAATTCATCCGGGTTCAAGACGCTGGTCAGTCCAGATTTTGTAGGTGATTCAACGCACATGATTTCCTTAACAGGAGCATTTTCAAAGCGAGGGCTGGATAAGCTCCAAATACAGGTGGTGGTGTGTGTGCGCAATAACGTCAGTTCTTCGAAATTGTTGAGTGTGTAATGAGTCTATTGCGATCGGTCAGCATGGAAACTGGATGCCATATTATATAGCAAACCTACCTCGTCATGACAGTCAACACCTGTCCAAGAACCCAATTTACACTTGAATCCGGTGAACAAGATATAACCAGGTCGTTCAGCGTGGAATGAGAGATGAGGTCCAACAGCAGCGGGCTCTACAGGTGTAGAAAATTCCTGCCATGATTTTCCCTTATCGGTTGTCTTCCAATGTCTTTTGCTTTTGCCAATGATATAAGCCTACGTACCGTAAGTACTCACGCCAAGCATTCGTTATATTTTTCAAAAGCCTTACTCTATCGCTATCAAAGGGATGTTCATACAAGAAGTTGGCCTCATCTTGACCAACATCTTTCACTTTCTCCCACTGTTTGCCTTGATTCTCGGAACGATATAGGGTATGTGCTGATGCATCGAGCCAAAGAACAACCTGTTGAAAAAAACAGTGAGCTTAGCATTCTCTCAAAATAGCCATTCCCTTTCCTCCATCTCTCTTTACCTGTGAATCTTTGAAGTAGAAAAACTTGTTTGGAGTCTTATCGAACCCTGTTTTCTGTACAGTTTGAGTTGATACCCCTTTTAATAATAACAGACTGATCAAGAGCAGGTAAATAAAGGACAGACCCCTCCTCGAGGCCTGCCATAGCATGTTCATTTTGTGTGTTGTTGTAGTTGTTTGAATGGTATATCTGTATAAAATTTCCCCTCTTTCTTAATGCGCCGCCTTCTCGTTGTAAATTGCTATCGCGTAACTATATCCTTGTTACTCACTGAAAGGGTGCATGCTACAACTAATGAAAACTTACTATATAAAGAAGGATTTTATGTTGACAAACAGCAAAAAGGAAAAAGAAAGAGAAAAAGGGAATTAATTCAGACCCTTTGTTATACAATTGGCAATGTGGGAAGTGCCCGCGCGTTGCAATGTTGCTTTGCAATGTGTGAGTGACAAGACCTCAGCGTCATGATGGTGCGAGATATTGAACCGGAGTTGATTGGAGTGGCATTGATCATTAGTATATTACCCCAAGTTGAGGAATTTAAGTCCTCACATCAAGTTAACGTTGATGATGTATCACTAACAGCTTGATCAGCAAGATAGAGCTAGAGCATTTACTTTGATCTAGTTTTGATTGCTCTTTTTAAGAGTCGTTAGTAGCGCTGCTAGCTACAACACTTGAATCATATGTATTGGCTACCTTCCGTCTTTCTCGTCCTTTTTGAGAGACAATACCATGGTATGTCATTCGATTTTTATTCAAAAGCACAGACTTGGTAAGTATAACCGTTTTTCAGCACATCTCCCAAGCGATCCACATCAGAAAATGTTTCACCATCAACTGCTACGTATAAGAAGGCGAGAGAACTGTGTGATCTATTGATGTGCCCATGGTCTTGATGTTGTTGCTGCTCATCGAGCATTGAACAGTTACAGATGCAAATAAGGTGGTCGCTGACCTATCTAGGGCAGCACTTGAGTGTCGATTTCAGTAAATTCAATTTTCAGCGTCTACCATTAGGCGTTTGCAATAATATCTCCATACTGTATCGTTGTATCTCGAGTTCCAAGTGCTTCAAAATGGGAGAGTTGTCGAGAATATGGTAAAAAGTAAGCATTGTCAGGTACACGTTGAGTTCCAGGCATTAGTACATCCAAAGAGCTTATAAACGCTGTAGCGGTCATTAAGCATTGTTCGGAGATGCTCCAGGATGTCTCTTAATACAGTACTTGATAACTGTTAATCTAATGCGATATCCAAATGGAGCATCTCGATGTCTTTTATGCTGGTTTCCGCTACCATTGAAGCACCGTAATCCTCGCTTATACCTGATATAACTGTATTTGAAGCTAGCAGTTATATTGTGTGGTATACCATTTAATGCGCAAATACTTGAGATGGAAGATTGAAGCTCTTGATGTCCATGATAAAAGAATTGTGTGTAGAATTTTCAACTCTCTGAGAGGTTGGCTGAAAATGTGAGCTGCATTGGTGTAACATCCATCGTATATCTTGTCGTTTTTGATGAAGGAAGTCTCTTGAGCCTGAGATTTGTGTCGTTCAAGCTCTTAGCTGCGTCAATCAATGCCGCAAAGAATGCAGTGTTGAAATAGGCTGATTTTACTGACACATATCTGTTGTATTGCAATGTTGAAATGCATTGATCCATATCTCCAGTGGCATGCGATATAATTTATCAGTCATTAAGGAAATAGAGAGAGAGAGAGAGAGAGAGAGAGAGAGTTTCATTCAGCATCTGTAAAAAAAATTCAATCAAACACGATTCATCAAGAGGTGAACTTTGATTCGCAATATGATATGATCAATCATCTTTGTGAAAAGTAGTGCCTGGATAAGGCCTTGTAGGCAATGGTTGTAAATGTTCGTGAGTTTCTTCAATCCAGATCAAAAGAAAAGCACAAATTGCATTATCTGCGGTTTTGAGTGCGGCATTTAGACAAGCAATGGTTGTAATTAACCTGGCTTTGTTAGAGAATCTGCTATTAATGCAAGCTACACATCTGTACCAATGAAAGCAATTCATATATTGGTAGACAGCATAATTGTATACCTTTAACTATTAAAAAAATAGATAAATCACAGCAAAATTTAGGTGCATTGTAGTTGTGTTTTCTCGTGTTAGAAGCCGTTTTAGACTGCCAGAATGGCACCAAACGATTGCTCTCTTCTAGCACTTACTTTCTGACACTTTTGCTCAACTTTTTTGGGAACGTCAAAAATCAACCAAAAAGCATGAGTAGATACCTCATGGATTTTGCCGAAAATCAAACAATCGCGTTTTTGACCTGCAAAATGGAGGCATCTGCTATGACATATATTATATCAAAATGTTTGTCTCAATCCAAAGCACCCTGTGAAGCTATGTTTATGATACTTTCATATGTAAAATCTTGACATTTTCGTCAAAACCCTCAATTTATGAAATTATAAATTGCTCCATAAGCTTGGCCAAAACACAACTTTTAATTATTACCGTTAGATGCGCCTTGAAAAGTACACCAAGAAAGCTTAAGGATGTCTGAAGGAATCATCACATTTTATATAGTCGAACCTCGCAAAATAGTTCAAAGAAGTCGAAATTTGATCAAAAAATTCCCATTTCCAGCGAAAAAATCGATACCGAAGATTAAATGATTTTGGCTGCCAAAATGCCTTCCTCATGAAGGCAGTCTATGCTTTGGAGTTAACAAGAAGACGATTACGAAATAAAGAGTGCTAAGTCTAGTCCAACTACTTTCTGGCGTCTCAGTTGCAAATTTCTACATCTGATAAGGACATTTGCAATAAGTTGCTCATCCAAATGCGAATCTCAATGCGGAATATCAAGTTTTTGTTTTGCAGATCAAGAATTGCTTTGCACAACAACCAGAAAACTTTGTGTGTATTTATTAAGCGATCACGTATGATGAGCTGTGTATCTCTTGTTTCTACGTTGAGTGATTAATTTTGCCTACACAATTTGATTTTTCATGTCTGATGTTGCTGTTGAAGAATGCTTGCTCATGTCAGGCGATGATCGTGTGCTGCTCTCTTGCCCAAACATCTGATGTTGTATGGCTGAATCTTTTAGATATTGAGGAAACATGGGGCTCTTTGGCGTGGATTGTGCGCTACTGTCGCTATGGTACATGCTTGATCTCTGCGCATTTGTCACTGCCAAGTGCAGTGATGATCCTGTACTGTCACGCCATCCATCCATATTATCATTGAATCCGACCCATTGCACCGAGGAAACCGATTTTGCACTGAGAGAGACTCGAGATTGCAGGTGAGGATAACGGTTGTCTGTCATGTTGGGCGTTGTTGGTGTGTTTGGTTGTAGTAAACGAGAGGATCGCAGCTGGAATAGGCTGGAGCTTCGATTTTTCTTGGTGTCTTGGGGATGCCGTGGGTCTGTTGCTGCGTTACTACTACTGCCAAAGAGGTTCAGTGTAAGTCGATTGAATCCAGTGCTTCCTCTTCGTTTATAGCTGACTGATTTTCCTTCTGTCAATGGCTCCATTTGAAGCTGTTGTGGCTCCAGTTCATACTTGTTGCTGTCGGATGTATCGCTTTTAGTGGTAGTGCTATGATCGTTGAATTCTAATTTGGGTATAGTGTGCTGTAGTCCTAACGATGATGAAGCTGAAGCAGCAGCAACAGCAGAGGAGGCTGTAGAATGATGTGATTGACGACGGTACTCTTCTGCTGAAAAGTGAAATTCAGTACCAAGAGAAATGGTGCTAATGCGGTTACTATTATTGTAGAGTGCTAGTTCAGGGAGACTGATGAAATTGGCTCCTCCTTCTTTTAGTCCAGCTCCTTGAAGCTTATGAGTGTTCTTCTCGTTATCGTCATCTACAATAGAAGATGAAGTATAATGAAAAGCGGATGATCTGTTGGCAGTCTTTTCTGGATAGTGTTGTTGTGATGGTGGAGATTGACTGAATCTTGCAGCTCTGCTCTGATTTAGATTTTGACGACGACGTTGATTTCTTCTTCTCCACACAAAATAGGCAATGCCTAAACCGAGAATACAAGCAATACCGATCAGAATGCCAGCAATGGTGCCGCCGCTGATCCCGTTTCGCTCGTTTTGTCCAGTCGAGTTGTTATCGAGATCAACACCCAAGTTTGTCTGAGGGTTTGAATTTTGATTTGTAGCGAGCATCCATTCCTTATTAGTGATGTTAAAGTAAATTGGGTCGGCTGCTAAAGAAGAGGGACTATCCTGTCCTCCGTAATACAATATCACATTTTCATCTATCAATGCACTTGCGTGGGCTGATCGTTTATAGTTTGTCAGTGTGTTGGTTTTGGTCCATTTCATATCGAAGGGTGCATTGATATCCAGGAACCACATGTCGTCGAGGATAGCAGTGTTATTTTGACCACCAAATAAGACATGTGTGGTGCTGGTGAGTGAAGTCATACTTGCATATTTACGTGCAGTCGGCCATTCTTCAATCTGTGGTGATATCTGCTGCTGAGTGATATCGAAGCTGACTGTATCTAACCAAGTACACTGCGAAATCAATTGACTGTTTGTATTCTCCCCAAAACAAGAAATCAACCATTGGTGGTACACAATGGTAATATGGCCCGACATACTGTTGTGTTTAGCAGCTCGTTGTTGGTGTGTCCAGGATCGAGAAGCAAACGAATAGCTCCACATCACATCACTGACCTGTTCGTGTGTTGTTGCGTCTTTTCCACCAATGACATGGAGGGTCTGATTAAGTAAGACAGATGTATGGAGATATCTCGGATTTGGCAAGTGTGTAATATTGAGACGTGGTTGAGCCGAGGGTGGTAGGCTGACGAGGGGCAAAGGAGATGCTGCTTGATCTTGCAGTAATGGCAGGCCTAAAACAGAGATGATAGCATCATTCACTACATGGGAGGTATGGCCAGCAATGGTTGGATAGTCAAAATCAGGCGAGTCTGCTGCTGCTGGTGCATTGGAATGAAGGGAAAAATTCTTTTTGTCGAGACGCAGGGCTATCAAAGAGTGGTTATTTGTCAAGGCGTCCAACTCAATGCCGCCAAGAATATACACTGTGCCGTTCGTAAAGTAATGTGCAGTTGAATGCTTCCGTTGTAAAATGGGTGCATGCACAGATGGCTGCATCTTGTTTTTCTTGTAGAAAGATGAAAAAGAAAGAATATGCAAGTTTATATCATTAAAAGGTTGTAAAAATAATACTTCTTAGTAACACGAATCCATGCGGATAACTTCCTCAATTTCATTATTTGTGTCACTGTGTAAGGGTCAATTAGAATTGAACAACCAAATGAACCATGATGGCTATTACATGATACGTTTGTTTTTTGAAAGCAGGGATTATTCTAAACTTTCGCTTTCCAGTGTCTCTCCCCTGCATCTCCTCTGTTTCTATACTCTGTGGCAAACGTATTAACTGCATATTTTCATTTGCTTAAATATGAGCTAGCATTTCATTTCTGGATTTCTTTTTGTATTTCTCTTCTTTTCTAAAAATCATGGTCAGTCATTATCAAGCAATTGATGTGGACATCAATTCCCGCGATAACCTCCCTCCAGCAACAGAGATCACTGCATTGCTGTCGTCGAATGACATTGCGGTGAAGAAAGGTAATGATTGGCAGTGTCAGCAGTTTAAGGCACTCTCAACTCATAGATCCATCTGAAAATCTAGATTCTACATGGACAAAATTATCTAAAAACAGAACATTTGCTTTATTACCGTCTCTGCTGCTCGGTGCAACAATCTGGTTTGGTGTTACACCCAGCGAAGAACTCACTTTGACAGCTATCCATTTGCTCGCTGTATTTTCCAGGTACGCACACAGCAACCAAACCAGAAGAAAGCGCCGTGTATTGACGTGCTTGTTTGTAGTTGTATCTTTGCATTGATTACAACATCTGTCGATATATCCATGCTAGTATTGACTGGCCTGATCTTGTTGGCTCTGACACATTCTTTTGAATGTGTGGATCACGCAACAGGCTTCCTAACAGAGTGTCGATTGTGCGGTGAGACGAACCCTCTGACGGGTGATCTGTTTGAGTGCAAAGCAGGCAAAGAATCATTCAAGCAGTCTTTGGAGGGTTTCTCGAGTTCTGTGGTTTGGCTTATTTTCGCTGCCTTTCATCTCGGCAAAGCTGTGCAAGTGACCAATCTTGGACGGCGAGTGTCCTTGGTGATGATCAAGGTATTTGGCAAACACACACTAGGCCTTGCCTATGCTATCGTGATATCAGGTACATGCCTTATTGCTAAACCCATTGACTGCTAAAAGCTAAAGCCTCCTTTATAGAGCTCATCTTGGCACCATTCATTCCTAGTAATACGGCTAGAGGCGGAGGCATTGTGTTGCCTGTTGTCCATTCAATTACTACTACTTTGGGATCCACACCAGATACAAATCCTGAGATTGGTGCCTTTTTGATCCTGGTTGGCAACCATGCAAATCTTTTATCTGCCTCCATGTACCTTACAGGTAAGCTAATCTTAATTTTAGATGTATGCAACTATGCATTATAGCACATCCCAAAAGTTAAGAGTGATGCTTACCTCTTTGTATGTTCAGGAATGGCTGCAAATCCCATTGTTGTAGCAAAGGCAAACCAATTGTTTCCTGAAATTAACTTTGGCTTCATGACTTGGATTCAAGGCAGCATTGTACCGTCTCTTTTCTGTGCTCTCTGCATCCCTCTAATTATTCGCTGGAGTTTAGGCCTGAATACGGACACTCCGACAAGGGGAAAGCATGCAAGAGGAGGCGAAAATGTGATTCAACATGCTCAGATAGAATTGCACAAAATGGGCCCTGTTTCTGTCAAAGAATGGGTACGTATCAATGCATCAGGTAGAGGTAAATGTGCTAATAGTTTACACAGCAACTCTGTGTTGTGCTGTTGGGATGTCTTGGTTTGTGGGTAACATCAGAAATGACGCACTTGGACGCTACACTAGTTGCATTACTTGGTATTGCTTCTCTCTTACATATGGGTACCATTACATGGAAGGATGTATCTGGTAATACGAATGCAGTAAGTCATTGATGCGTCATGCCAAGTTGGCCTATGAAACTCACCATACTCTTCTCTTAGTGGGACACACTCTTTTGGCTGGGAGGATTTGTTACTATCGCTCAGCAGCTCTCAGAAGCAGGAGCATCCTCGTTTCTTGGACATAAGATTTCTTTTGCTATCCAACATTTCAATTTGCCCCCTGTCCCTAGTCTTGCCATCTCCTACTTTCTGACAACATTCATGTTCTCTTCGCTGAGTGCTCATACTGTCGCTTTCGTAGCTACATTTCTGGATGCTGGCCACGCATTGGGTGCTCAACCCATGATATTGACTGCCTTCTTATCGTATTTTGGTGCACTGGGAGGCTGCATGACCAACTTTTCTACTGGCACGGCGGCCATGTACTACGTACCTGGCTATGTTGCAAGATCAAAGTGGTTCATCGTGGGCTTCCAAATGGCCTTGTTCTACCTGATTGTCTATTTCACTGTTGGCCTTGCTTGGTGGGCGTTCTTGGGTTGGTCTCAGTAAAGCCTTTGTAGCAATTTTGTATATAATCTTAATTTTGCTTGTTTTCTTGGCCTTCTTTCTCTCCTTTAATCCATTGCATATACAGTAATACACTTTTGCAACTGTCATCACAAATACAATGATCAGTGTTTGTCTGGTACAAAGTGATGTGTGCGTATGCATTCATCCATCGTCTATCAAGAGTGCATACATGTCTTTTCCATAGACGGGCATTCATAGACTAGATGCTCTGAGTCAATCATATTTTTAGTATCATCATGATAACGCTTGATATTTTCTTACCTAGGCATTTACAGATCTGCATAAATATTACCAGAAACATGATTAAATAAACAGAGCAGGATTTGTACAATATGACCTCCAACCCTCGGCTACTACCACTACATCTCAACATGGATTGCGTGATTGCGCAAACAGCATTCAAATTGCTGCTGCTGCTGCTGTTGTGAAAATCATAGCGCATAGTCAACAGCAACAAGATCAAATCAATGCCATGCTAAAGCACATCATCGTTGCCACCATTACACTACAGAAGTATCGTTAGAAATACAAGCTGCACTGCTCATTTCAAGTACAAATATCATATCGCATGTAGAGACATAGCTTTACAGTCGACCGCTTGAAAAAACATATACAAAAGAATGTGTTATTATGTCAAAATGTAAGACTGAGTCTGCCAAAGGATTACAATTTGGTTTCGTTAAACTGTACTCGCTTAGTTATTTGGTAACCAATGTAACGACTAAAAGCGTCTTTATATGCTTGATAACCCCTCAAAGTGAGCATATAACCTTCCTGATATGAAGCCTTTAGCATCAACATGAGACGCGAAAAAGCTGTTCCTCCCCCTTCCCCTTCTTCGTGAGATGCGCATCATAGTTTAGCACGTTTGCCAAACTACAGTGAAGCAAAATATTAACAGACAATATTGAATACAACGTTTCCCAACTTTGCATCTATCGATCCATTACTTGGAACTACTGGTAATTAACAGGTTTTCATATGGAGCTCATTAGTCAAAATTGGCTTATCATTTCTTATTTTCAACAACAACACTTTGCTAGATCACGACGAAGCTAGTTATAACCAAGCAGTTTTCAATACAGCGTTTCAAAATATTGCATCCATTGATCTATTACTCGTAACCACCTGTAGACAACAGGTTCTCATAGGAACATGCTACTTTCAAAGCTCTAGCATCAACATTTCAAAATTCGAGTTGGGATGGCCCCAATCTCGAAATCGAAATTACTTTTGTTAGGGCGTCTTTCTATCGCAGGTAGCAGCCCAACATCAATGCCGCAAGTGATACAACTGCAACTGTCTGACAGATTCATTGGGCTCATACAGGCAATTCGTCTGCAAAGATATTGTGAAATCAAATAAATCTATCATAGCCTTATGCATTTATGGCCGAGGAAAAGGTATACCACATCTTAAAGCATATAGCGTTGCACTACAGTTTTCAACAATTAGAACGGTTCTCCGGTAGTGGATTGGCCAGAGTAATACTTTTTTAGCAACAATACAAACACCACTACTGTCCTGGAGTAGTATTTATTATGAAGCTTTCCTCACAAAATAGTGAAATTGTTAAAGAATATTCCTTGCATAAAACTTTTTTATATGCCAGATCGAATAATTGCATCTTGCCTTATCTCTGAATAAAGAAGAACTTAAATTGTATCCATTTAGATACCCTTTTACTACAAACACAAAATCATATTTATTGATAGATCAATAGTAGGAAATCAACAAGTTGTAACCCTTCGCCACTTCAACTTCTGAGCCAATCAGATTGCTTAAAAACTCCGCTGACCTAAAAAAAATTTGCGAGGGTTTCCCCCTGTTTTGATGTGAGGCAAAATTTTAAGCGCCGCTATATATAGCAATATAGCTGTTACTATCATCAAATCTCCCTCAGGTGCTAGAGCATGCCTTACTTACACCATCTAGCTTTTAGATTCTGGCATTGAGACCCTCAATCATCACTAAAGTAAGTAGCGATAACCAAGTGGAGGCGGCCTATCTACCTCCTAGCCTCGGATAAAGTCTTGTTGAGCTTCAGGGATAGGCACATCCACACAACGTAAAAAAGGTATGCTTCAAAGAAACATAACAATAATAAAAATAATGAAGAAACGAACATACTACTATAGGAATGTAGTAGTATGCAGGCAAAAAAGAGACACTCACACGAAGCGAGTCAAAAAAAAAGCATATCAAACACAACCTCAAAGATGTCCAACAAAGCTCGTTGCTGTTGCAAGAAAAACGCATACATGAGCAACGCGCATGGTAGTAATAGTCGGATGTAAAGCAACATGGCACAAATACGCACAACTGCAAAAGCAACAATGGTATTATAAGTTTGCAATACAACATAACGACTAATATTGTTTCATGTAAAGCTACAGAGGAAACACTACCAACAAAAGAAAAAGAAGAAAAAAGCGCAACAAGGCAAACATCATGAATGCATTATCACGAGAAAGGAAGCCATGATATAAATGTTCAAAGAAGTTTTATATCATTGCGACCAGAGGAAAGAAGCTACTTACCACTTACCACATCCACAGATAGACCAGAGAATACGAAGCCACCGGAGATACACCAGAGAACGAACATACACCACAGATAGTAGACCAAAGGAAACCAGAATAGCGGCAGCAGCACCATCAGCAGCATTACCATGAGCAACAGCAGCAGCAGTATCATCAGAAATACCAGCAGCAGCAACACCAGCAGCAACACTATCAGCAACACTATCAGCAACAACAGCAGCAACAACAACAGTGTGAAAATACCAAAGAACGAGTGACACCAGAGACCAGGCAAAGATTAACAAAGCAGCCACCAGAGATAGAAACCAAAGAAGCAGCTACCAGACATATTAAACCAAAGAAGCAAACAACAGAAACAGACGAGAAGTAATGGCAGCAACACCCACGTCTAACAGGAAGAAGAATAACCAAACCTAACAAACAAATACAATTGGTGTTAATTCTACGCCTTGCAGTGCTCGTTATCGAATTGTACCTACTATATTCCACTTCAAAGAAGCAGTATCAAGCATTTTTAACAGTGCAAGACCTTGTTATCAGAAGCCAGAGTGTTATTTTCATTCAAAAGGATTCCAAAACCAGTATGGTTTGATACTACATGCGTTGTGCCAAAGGGAAAAAAAACGAGGGCATGGAAAGATGAGAGGGCACCCTATCCGACGTCACGTCCAGTAGATTTAGTCTCAGCCTTGTACCGCAGCAGCCGTAAATGCGGCAATTTAGTTTGAAATTGTGCAGTGGTATTTTCGTGTTCAAACTGGTCTTGATCTCACATCCTTCTAACCTTTTTGCTGAATTTGACTATGAAAACTGTCGTTGTCACACTAAACTTTCTAATACGTCTTTAAAGAACTAAAAAAGCTGCATCGAATGGTGCTGATTACATTCAGTTTTAGACCGAAAATAATGAGCAATTTGCGAAAATATGAAAACAGGTTTTCTGCGAATATATCAAAATTTAGCATATACAAGTCTCATAGAAAGAGCTTCCAATGTTGCATTTCATCCTTACAATCAATTTGATCTAATATATATTGTAGAAAAAGCCTTCATTTTTGAGGTGAAAAACGCGATCGTTTGATTTTCAAGAATTTTCCCTTGCTAATACTCATGGAAAAACGAGGATTTTTATGAATTTGCAACCACCCAAAAAAAAATTGAGATAAAGCATCAGGAAGTAAAGCGTGGCCAAGAGGAGCCGTTTGGTGCTTTTCCAAGCGCTTAAAACGCGTTGTGGCATGAGTTCTTCGTGCTTGAAAATGGCTAGTGTGGAGTCTGAGGCTTGATAGACAAAAATTCACGGAGAAAAAAAGAATAAAAAAACAGTAATGTCAACTTGATAAAGGTATATTTTATTATCAAACTGACAGGTGTAAAGTAAACTGAAGTCTCTCTACTGGCCAGGTAGATGATCCTTCTTATATACTATAACAATGGATAAAAGTTCTATTAATTAGATTAACAAATAAGTCAACTCAGATCAACTAATGTCTAATCATGCTAAAAGACAACTCCAGCAAGCTAATCATGATTTAGTTCTGTCTGGATGAATATTTAGACTCTTATCCAAAGTACCCTGATCTATCCTTTCTATAAGGATAACATCGATCTAGTAGCATGTATCCGATAGGTACAGTCTATTTAGTCTATATCGGTAGTACATATCTAAGTGTATATCACTGAGCATACATCTTTAGCATGTATCTGGATATATGGTATGTCTATAGCATATTGTATGCATGTCTACAGCATGTCTCATATATAATACAAGTCTGTAGTACATAAAGTATCTGTAGCTAGTATCTCGGATATATGCATGTGTCTTATAGCGTGGATCATGAAGTGCACATCTGAAGCAACAAGCTCATATTGCATTGATCTTGGTGCTTATCCAAAGACGGCCGATTTTGGCCAATTTTGCACGAAAAAAAACTGATCTTATCTCAAAAAAAGACGCATTATAGTCAATTAAGACAGAGACCATTCGATAGCTTTACTTTGAATCTGTCAGGTTGTGAGGGCTTTTGGCTTTCAATGTACGTTCCCTTCATGATTTTTTCTCAGAATCGTGTATTTTATGAACTTTAAGCAGAGAAGTGGTCCAATTATTGACGATAGAGTCATATTAGCCACGTAACTTGATGCAGAATAAAAATTTGTTTAGAATGATACCAATCTTGATAGTGTATTTACAATTTATATTCAAATAAGAAGCCTATGTTTTCATACTATATTTTGGAGGTTTTTTAAGAGAAATGATTACTGAAGCTGCACTACCCCACTTATAGCATTATCAATTGTGCAGACCCAAAAGCATCTATGGTTTAAAATCTCAGCTGAAGTCGTAGTATTAGCTCTCGCGGATTTGCAGTGCCCATTAGGTCGACCCTAACCAAAACCGTCCAAAATCGATCGGATCAAGGCTAGCGTTTGCTACAATGGGGCATATGAAATCCTTGCAGTGTATTGCTATCAGCCATTCTACGCCCAAAATTATTTACCAGAGTTGAGCGCCGCATGGACGTCTCGGTGCTATTATTAAAGAAAGACGTGTGCTTGCCACTACTGTAACCTCCATTTTGAGGGTCAAAAAACCAATTTTTACAAGGAAGCATCGTAGAAGCCAAAACGAGGTTTCATTTTGTAGAGCAAACCATGGGAAACCACATTTAGCTACTGATAGAGAAGAAGCCTAGTTGAATTGGCAGTTGTACCTATAATGGCGTCGAAACACTGATTTTTCTATAGTGGTTTCGTTATATCTCATTCACTTACTTATTTGATAATCAATATAATAGCAACTAAAAGTATATGTTTAGCAAGCTCTTAACTTGGTATATAATGGTCCTAATATAAAGGGTTTACCATCAACCTAGACTTTGAAATAGCTGTTCTTCCCTTTTCGTAAAATGCGCAACACAGTTTTAAACCTTTGCCATACCACAACAAAGCAAGTTAGCACCAAGTGGTTTTGAATATAACACTTTCCAACATCTGATCCATCGACCTGTTACGCTTAAGTGCTCGTAATTAACAGGTTTTGTATTATGGGGTCACAGCGAAATCTAAATTCGAATTGGAATACACACTAAAAGATTGTGCGCCTCTGATGAAAACAAGACCTGGTTAGCCTCCATATTGCCTCTCGGATAGATCTTGTATACTTAAAGCCATTGATCGTTGAGTACGACCGATCTATATTATAGTAGAAATCAGAATTAGATATGATGTAGGAAATACCATAAAGTACAAGTTGTTAACGGTTGCCAACATCTGTATGCTTCATAAATTCTGGAGCTATTTGCCTTTTTATATTTTCTAATGGCTGTGCTAGGATAAATGAAATAGCCTCTTCTGAGTTCGGTTGCAAAGAGGCTTTATGCATGTGGTGATTATTTATTTCTAGATTTGCAAAATGTAAAAAGTTTGGCTATGACAATAGTTAAACTAGCTGCTACATATTCATATGTGATACCCGGAATTAAATAATTTTCAATGTATGTTCGCTTCATTCAAGGTAAATAAGCCCAGGAAGTGCTAGCTTATATTATTTTTGGTAAGGGTAATGACAATTTATTCAAATCACAGGATTTTTTGCTTCAGAGGTTATGCTAAAGTTCTTTTTATAGTTTCGATATGTAGTTTGTTGATGGAAAAGAAATTATCGCTCAGAATCATGAAATCTACACGATAGCTAGCACTTTCACCAATGACGATTACAGCTCATTATTATCTTCCTCTTCATAGTTTAAAAAGGCCATCTGGTCCTCGTTGTCAACGTAAATGCGACCTTGCATCTCTTTAACCTTCCCTATGGTCAACCGATACACCCAAATATCCACTGTAATCATTGCAACTTTGCGAGCTTCAGGAGGTAAGGTAGCATTAGTCAATGCCGCTAATTGTGATCCAATCCAAACCTCCAAGCTTGTTTTTAAGGGTGCAAATAACGTTGCTAAACAATAGGTTTTATAGCTGACCGAATCACAGAATGATAAAACAGAGCTAGATACTTGCCAAGGAAGAGGGCACAAACGTATCAAAAGGGCCATTTTGAGACCTCCTTTACTGGTGGCTTTTGACATGGCATCAAATGTCTTTTGTACCTTGGTTGACACCTTTTGAATCAGTCTACCAAGGCTCAGTTTCCTTACCGACAGAAATGTGAAGAGACAGCCAAAAAAAACGTGCCCACAGCAGCTGGAAGACATCCTTTCAACGAAAAGTCGTAGATGTAGCCGCACTTTGCGATACAGAATGCATGGCCGAGCATAGGAGGGTTGGCGCAGAGACAAATCGGTAGGGCCATTATCAAGGGACTGTACAAAATGGATTGCATATGAGTAGTTGCGGTATGGTTTGTATACCTGATTACATATCGTATCATAATAAACGTTCAGTCCTTAGACACTTTTACAACACTAGTATGGAAACTGAGTTTCTAGGCATCTGTCAAGCCTGGCTCATATATGATTAATGATTTTACAATCAATCAGCAAAAACGTCAGATATTTCTACCCTCTTTCCTCTGCTCAATGCTGTCAATGTTTTCTTTAAACGACGTCTAGGAGCCTCAGAGATTTCACTACTTACTGCAGACATCTTACGCAGCCCATGAATCGTCAATGTTCAGATTAACGTTATTAAATATAAAATGCAAGAAAATAGCATAATGAACGATAGTGTTATGAGTTGCCATCTACTTTCCATACGCTTCAAGGGCGTATATTACGGTATTGCCCTATGAAAAGGGCATTGAGTTTGCCAGCTGGCCCCACCAGCCAAAATCAATTAAAACCCAGACTCTTTGTCTGTTCCAGATTGACCAAAACTTGATGGTTCTCGACTTGATCGAACTATTTTGTGATATTCGACTATATAAATTGTGGTGTTCACCCGATGTTTCCTAATACATTCTTGAAGTACTTTTCAAGGCGCATCCAATAGTACCAAGTAACATAATTGTCTTGAATAAATTTATCGAGTAATTTGCGAAAATATAAAATGAGGTTTCTGGCCAAAAAGTCGAGATTTCCCATATCAAAGTCTCACAAAGATGATTTTAGGGGTTACGTTAGATCGATAGAAACATTTTGAATTAATATATACCATAGCAAAAGTCTTCATTATCAAGGTTAAAAATGCAATCGTTTGATTTTCAATGAAAACCATGAGGGGTACCTCATGCTTTTTGGTCGATTTTTGTCCATATTTTTTGATCCCCAAAAAGTTGAGCAAAGGTGTCAGAAAGTAACTGCCAGATGAGAGTAATTGTTTGGTGCTATTCTGGCGATCTAAAACGGCCTTGAACGCGAGAAAACGCAGCTCAAATGCGCTCAGATTTTGCTGTATTAGGCACACTCTTGATTAAAAAGGGATACTATCTTTATGATATTTGCACGTATATGAAATAGCTAGTGTATATGGATGTAGAGCATCACATAAGAATCAGATCCACAGATAAGATAAAAGAGTTTTATTTGTAAGTAGAGGTCAACACGAAAGTAGCAGCATTCTGATAAGATACGCAAGAGCAATCAGTAGCACGAGATGCCGCTGCGCAGGTTGGTTCTCACCGAAGCAAAGCAAAGGTAGAGAACCATCCGAAGCATAAACACTCGTAAATTTTAATATATTTTGCATTATACCAATGCAATGCTCCTGTATCTTTTACTTTCCAGAATACCATTCTTGTGATTTTTATAAATGTATACAAATGTGATTGTTTTCAGAAGGAAAACGAGAGAAAGGCAGAGCACTTTTTTGCTAAAGTTATTTTGTAACAGGAGAGAGTTCACTATTGTGGCTATTTTGAGGATTTTGTCGAGAAAAAAGAAAAAAAATTTACACAGAAAAGCTCATGACAGATTGATCGAAATGAACTTTAATCCCATAATAATACCATGAGTTCGAATGCTATTTCTCTCGATCGTTATGATCCTACAGATTCTTTCAGATCTCGCCATCCATGCACACAGCTTTCTAATACTCAAATATGCTTGGAGGAGATGAAGGACGGTGACGTAGATTTGAGCTTGTCTCGCTTTCATATTTTGGCGAAGAGAATAGAAGCCGACCTTTTTCATTTTCTTGGTGTCCATTTTGCTTTCTTTTTTTTTCGCGAAATAACCATTTCTTGTCTTTCTTTGTTTATAAAAAAAAAAAGAGTATGCCGCCTATATTGCCACCTACAGAAGAGATAGAATCAACAAAGACAAATGGATACACCAAACACGAAGAAATAAATGGAAAGCCCTTGAATGCTGTTCAGGAGACCACCAAGACAATGACCAGCAACAACGAAAATGAGGAAAAGGTAGTTTTGCCTGTGGAAATGGCCAGCATGGTGCCTTTGAAGGCATTGATTGGAAAACTGATCCACAAGGCACACGCTGATCTCATCACATTGACTGAAACGTAAGGACACGATGCGCCTATAGTCTTTGTTCAATGTAACTGAGCATCTCCAATTTAGACTACCCTCCATGAGCGAAGTGGAAAAGAAACGACAGATATTGACCTACACGACATTTGTGAGAAAGCAGTTTCTCAAGTTGCTTGTCCTTGTCAAATGGGCCGAAAATGCCAACGACATACAAATGTGTCAGGTAAATCCTCCCTCTTTCAAATGACAATCAGACTTGAACACGAGATGAGCTAACAAAATATCAACAGAATATCATGGCATTTCTAGCAAATCAAAATCAAATATTCACCTCCACCGTCGATTTTCTTCACAAGATTTACACTGAACTACCAGCAGCTAGATTGAGGAATTTCGATATACCTACCGCCGTGGATGTGCTGACCACAGGAACGTACCAACGCATGCCTACAAAGATCAAAGTAATGTGCTGATGTTGATAAATTGGACAGCCAAACTGATGCCTGATCTCTTAGGACATGTTGACACCGACACCGTTGACAGATGAAGAAGTGCTGGAAACCTTCCAAAATATGAATGATGTTATCCGAATGCGCATGTTCACGACCGAAGTATTGCCCTCGCCAATGCGAAAATACCGAATTGGTAAGTACCTTTTGTTGACCGTCAGTAAGCTTACTGTGGCACTCATTTGCTGTATAAACCACAGAAAACGGCAGAATTTACTTTTCAATAAAGAACGAATTCGAGGTGGCATTGACGTTGATGGGACACAGTAACGATCGTCGATGGTGGATTGTGTCGTTGGATGTATTTGTTCAGGCTACTTCAGTGGGTGGGGCATCAGAGGACGTCGATATCTCGCTAAACGACAGCCAAAAGCAACATCTTCGTGTCAATGCACAAAAGCAACTTGTGCCGCCCAATCCAGATGAACCTACTAAACTATTTTTCCCTCTTGTCAACATGTACGATTACCTCCATCTTTGCTGTCTCAACATGCAACTGGAAATCCTATATATCCAAGCAGCCATGCTCTCAAAGACCCGGTGGATGAACCAACTAAAAGTGCAAATGAACCAAGACAGAACAAAACTCACTGTTGTCTATTGGCGTGGTGGTTCACCTGCTTCTCACTGGGCTCGTCCACAAGCAAACTCAAAAGGCATCAAAAGTACAGTTTTGGAAATCAGTGTCAGTCATCCGGATCAGCAACCGCAACCCGAGAATGTAGCTGTTGCAGTTCGTGATGAATTAAAGGGGCTGGTTCAAAAAGCAGGTATTGGTGCCTCGATTGCATTATCTGATCTAAGTGCAAATGAACAACCACGAGTGCTGTCGTCGCTGAAATATCCTAAAAACTGTCTGGACGTGCTTTGGGATGATACTGCCGACCTTCATACCGAGAAAAAATTACTGGATTCTGCAAATTTGAACTTGGAGCAGCTCGTTTTGCATGTCACCAACTACCACGGCAAATGCATTATCGATAGATTTAGAGAACTGCTGATTTCACAAAAGGATTTCTTGGAGGAAAATGGGCTGCATTTGGCAGAGGAGGAAAGTCGAGGTGGCTCTCAGTTTACATTAGTGGATGGTAACGTAGCAACCAAAAGTAGGTCGATGCTACTTGCATGCTGACTATTGAAATGATAGAGCCCTCAGATAGCACACCTTCATTGGTGGTGCGTTATCGTCATCAGAGGTACATCAGCATTGAATGCGATGCTCGCACAGGTCGAGTCAAAGCTTCAGAGGCAGGCGATGGCTGCAGCGAAGGCGATTGTAAGAGCAATGTGGTGGATATTTGTCATTATATACTAATTCTCTATCAATTCTAGTCAAATTAAGAGGGCTAGAAGACAGACTCAACAACGACCCTCAAGATATTGCACGTCATTTATTATGGCTACGATCCGAAGTAGTCGTTCGTGAAGTCATTGCACTTGCTAAACAGCTCAACCTACAGCCTTATCACCCTTCACAAATGAATCTTCGTCCTGAAGACTTGCAGAAGCTATTTGGCGACGTTCTGTCAGATGCTACTGCTTCCGCCACCACCACCACTACCACCACTTCCACCACTACCACCACAGCCTCTACGGGCAGTTCTAAATATCCATCCCATTGTATGTTTCTCCAGTTTTCACAGTTCGAAGACTGGTATTTTATCATTGCAACGGTGAAAAACGAGTTCAAAGCCTGGCTTTGTTGTATAAAGTATGGTTTTGCATAGATGAAGGAAAGGCAGAAGGGGAAAAGTGCAAAAAGACTAATCTCATTTGTAGTAAAACATATGATCAAAACGGTCTTTATCAAGCGATTGTGGATCTGGCGCATTTCGACTGCAATCAAGTTTGGAAAGATCAATTTGCTGATAAATTACCTACTACAAGTAAAAACATAGAAGATGCATACACCTCCACAACAACAACGACAGCAAACGCACATAAACGAAAGATAGAGGTTGGCGAAGGGGATGCACCATCCACCATACACACAGACATGAAGAGACGGCGCGTATCCATGCGAAGGGATGAGAGCGAGGCTGCTTTCTTGCCCAAGATTGACAAGTAAGTAGCTTATTTGAAGGGGATGACTGATTTGCTGACCATGTTGGGTAGTCTTTCTGTTGATTTGCGCTTTCTGGCAAAACTAGACTCGTTATGCAGAGCTTACATTACGAACCGTATGATTGAATTGCAACTGCAATCATTCAAGGGATCTTTAAAATACCACATGCGACCACTGCTGCAATCACTGTCTAGCATGGAGACGCAAGTCATGAACCATCCAGCTGCTGACAAGATGGAAGTTGTGTGTGTATCTCAACGGGACCTGCTTAAAACATGTGCTTATCACTTTGCTGACGACGGCACCAAACGCGAAAACCCCATAGAGACAATACCGTGGATAGAGAAGCTGTTACCTTCGCTGAAAAACGATGTGCTAATTCGATCATTTGGATGGTGGGATTGCGGTCGTGGTGATTGCTATGTTGTTGTGCAGGAGAAGTTTGATTGGAAGCATTTACAGCTGCAAGGAAACGATCTTGGCGACCACATCTCTCTGGACAAATCGACCAATGTCCTGTCCTTTACCTACCCCCATATCGATACTTGCATTGACAGATTTTTGATGGATTGGGAAAGGATCTTTATGATGGCCAATCTGACGAGACAAAGTAAGTGAGCTTATATCATCAGAAACCCTTGACTGACATGTATTCATTCATAGTGTCCTCGCGTTGGTTTGAAAAGTACAGCGAGCAATTGTCAATTAATGCTACAAACCTGCAAGAGCTGTCATTTTCTTATGCTAAAGTGAGTGTTCCTGTAAGCGTTGTCGTTAGAATGTGAATTAACATGGCTTTTCATAGGATTTTATATGCACAATCCAATGGTCATCAACGGGTAAAGGACACCCACGACAATACAATATCGAACTTGGTACGACCGATGATACGAACAAGGCAAAACCTACAGCACTGCCCACCTTGAACTCACGCAATCCACACTGGAGAATCGCTAGTTTCTTGAGGGATGTGTTGAACGACAAGAAGGATTTGATCTATTTCGTACAGGTAAGTGTGTGATATACAGTTTAACTGGAGAGAATGCTAACAACCAGCTAGATTTTGTTTCAAACGCTGCCTCTGATGGCTTGTCTGGAGCGCCTGGAGGTTGAATGTGCTCAAAAGGGTGATATTGGCAAAGTATCGATTATACCACGTGCCTATGATTCAGTGCGCGTTATCTTCTCTGCCATGCACGCCATTGACATTCGATTCACGGACAAGGCGACCATTTGTGTATCAGATGCAGCATACCACCACTTGTACTATTCTTCTCGTACCACATCCGTCGATACATTCATTGCACCACAGCCCTATCTCGCCCAAGCACCACCACAGCAACAACAAGTGACATTGCATGAAGGCATGAAACCCATCAAAGTGGCACAACAGTTCAAGTTCACGCCTATTGATCAATTTGCTGATCTGCTAAAATCCATGGAGACTTGGATCTTTTCATTCGAGTCAAAAGATATGGATCGTTGGTATGTGTCGGGTAAACTTTGGGATCAAAAGACAGAGCCAAGTGCTGTTTCTCTTCAGCATGGCCTCTTGTGTTCTGCTTCTCTTTGCCAAGGCATCTTGAATAAATTGCAAGAGGTTCTGTAGTCGTTGCTTGATGAACTGGAGCCTCTCTTTGAATATCATCGTAAAATAAAATGCCACCTTGATTTGCCTGCTTACATTGGTTTTGATAATTTGCTGTTCATGTTACTGCTGCCCTCCCGCCGAAATACAACGGCCGATAAAATGAATAAAAGGAGTGGCATGAACAATAAAAAGCACTTTGCTTTCTCTCTCTTTCTCTTTTTTTTTTTTTTTTTTTTTTTGTACATAATAGAAAAATGGCACTTCTAGAAGCCATTCCCGAGAGACTAATAGTAGCGTTTGTCGCTATCCTCATCACCTACTTGCAAACAACTGCCAACTTTTATATTCTGGGGCCTGCTCTTGGAGGATGGACCAGTTTCCGAGCACAAAAAATACTTTTGCCAATGAACATATTCCTCGCTTCACTCTATGTCAACTACTATTTAGCATGTACAACTGATCCAGGACACACACCAGAAGGATGGGTAAATGTATTGAAGGATCTAGGCAACAACATGGCTAACACAGCGTATAGGAACCGCCGTTTTCTGTCTTGAATCCAGATGAAGATGCAGTGATCAGAGTTGGCATCACTGGACCGCGTTTCTGCAGAAAATGCGATGCTTACAAACCGCCTCGAGCACATCATTGCAAGCACTGTGGAAAATGCGTACTGAGGATGGATCATCATTGTCCGTGGATTGGAAATTGCGTAGGATTTGGAAATTACAGCCATTTTGTGCGCTTTGTATATTCAGTCATTGGCTGTTGTACGTATGGCTGCTATCTGTTGCTATGGAGACTGCAGCGGATTTTGGATGCCTGGAATAATCCATGGGTAATACACATAAACACGCATAGGTAGACTGATTGATTGACCCAGTCCTTAGGTGATCGTGAAACCAGGCACCTCTGAGGTGGTGATGATTGTCATTGACATCTTACTTGTTGGCATTGTGCTGCTGGCTGTTGGTGTGCTGGCACTCTATCATAGCTACTGTCTTTTCAAGGGACAAACAACGATTGAAGGCTGGGAGAGAACGAAGACAAAGAGGTTGATTAACAGACGAAAGATTGATCCTGTAAGTAGTTTTAGATGTAGATGAGACCATCGATTGACATGTGTGAACGGCGCAGGTTGAATTCCCCTTTGATGTCGGATTTTATAAGAATATATGTTCTGTGTTGGGAGACAATCCATTGCTGTGGGTATGGCCATCTCCACCGAAAGGCGACGGGTTAAAGTATGCTGTCAAGCAAAACACGGGTATAGTAGATCCATGTTGTTTGAAAGATACAAACTAACATGTTGGTTAGATCCATTGATACCGTATAGTTGGCCACCACGAGATCTCAAAGATTTGGGACCATCATTCATTGAACGAATTGAGCAAGAACAAACCTCTGAAGGGCCGAAATTAGTGCGACGAGATTCAGAGGGATACCTTGTGAGGGAAATCACCATGGAAGATAGAATGCGTATGTTGAATGGAGAAACAAATGACATGGAATTTGACAATAGTCGAGAACCCTTGGAGCAGGAAGCACATGAACAATTTTTACAACAGCAACAACAAGAGGTAGATCCTGAGGATTACTACTATGATTCAGCAAGCGTCTCTGATGGCTTCACTGAGGATGAAGAGGAAGAAGAAGAGGATCATATCAATCATGACGAATGGGTAGATGAAGAGTAGAGAAATTCATGCTATACTCCTTTTTGTGTCACACTAAGCGAGTGGTCGCTCATTGAATAAAAACATCAACTATCAGCTTCTGTGCAAACATTTGACAAGGATATTAAAATGTTTTTAACGGGGTCCATTGTTTAAAGAGGGATCCCCGTGTGTATATTATTGTACAGTAGAAAGAAAAATGTTGTATCTATACAAGAAACATATATCATACAGTGGAGAAGGGAGGGTTGTTGATTTTGTGTAAAAGTGGTATGTTTTGATTTTAAATTTAATTGTCGGTAAAGGTGGAAACGAGCAAGGACCATGCACCAGCGACACCAGCACAGACACCAGCAGATACCAAGGCAGCACGAGGGCCAGCAGTCGATTTAAAAATGGCTCCAGAAACAGCACCACCAGCCAAACTGTTGAATACATCGTGTTGTCCACGTTGAGCATCAATCATGGCAGTTGTGCCGTTATAGATCATAGCAATGACACCCAACGAATTGCCAATACCAGGGCCCCGACGTGTGATGGAATTCAGCGTCGTGTTGAGACGTACCTTCATGTTGGGAGCACCCGAACTCTTTTTCAATCCTTCTGCCATACCAAAAGCACCACCCAATGTCAAACCAGCCAGATATGTGGTGCCAGTACCATAACACAAATCATCCGACCAACCTCTGGAAGGAGCAAGCGATGCACCACCCATACCATTTCCTGTTGGCTCTCCTTCCACTTGCAAGAAATCAAGACCTCCTTGTAATGCGACAGGCTGAAGTCGGTTAGCATCGTAAGTGACACTTGACATGAAATCGGGGATCTTTTCAAAGCTGTTGTCTCCAAAGTTCTCTTCTGGTAAACTTCCAGCGGATGAAGGAGAGTAAACATCATCTAATGTGCTCTCTTCATTAGTGCTGTTGTTGTTGCTGAATCCACCAAAAATGCCCATTCTAAAGTGTAAGGTGTGTTGTAATTGAAAAAGAAAGTAAAAGAAATGCACGGAAGGAAAAATCTACTCTTTTTAACCACCCTCCCCTCCTCTTAAACTTTTCCCAATCATCCCCAAAAAGGAGCTTAAAGTGGCTTGTCCTACGTAGCATGGAAAAATGGAAAGGAGATCCCAAGTCTTTCGGTTTATGCTTGTAGGCAGTTGGTTTCTTTTCTTCAGTAGATACTTACAAAAACGGGCACATATAGGGACCCCTCTTAATAGCTGGTAAATTCAGTTATTCGGGCGCTATACTGTGCCAAGCATTGAATGACGAGGACCGTTCTATATGAAGCTTGTAGCGCATTGCAGTGCTGCTCAATGTCCATTACTGATTGAATACATTGCTTAAACCTTTGCCTTTTTTTCTTATACTTGGCAAACTTTTTTTTTTGATCTTATAAAGTGAATAAGATATGCAATACAGAGTCAAGGTATGGCATTATCTGAGGGAAACTGCCAAACACCAATTGCTGTGATAAATTGCATTTGTGATCTGCTTATGCGAGAGGATGGTGCTCATCTCCGTCAGACAGTGGGATGTGGTGAAGTAAAATCTCAACATGCCATATTTGCTTTCACTGTTGTTGATAAGTTGTTGTATTCAACTGATTGATGATGCTTTTATTAATCTCTATCAGCTCAAAGTGCCTCTTTTTTTCAATTAAATACAACTGCTGATTCACTTGGGATAATAACCTATGTGGAGATGGAAAGCTTAAAAGAAGCATGGACGATGTCAACTGCACCAGAAACGCCAGCAACCTCAGCATTGGCCTCTGTCTACTTACTGTGGCAATTAAGAAGCAAGTTTAACTCTGCCAGTGCTTATAATCTTTGCATGCCAACCGTACACTGGCCCTTCGCTCGCTGATCAAGGCCATGGAAAGAACCACTGGGTCTTTCCAGAAAAATGTGTCTAGCCAAACATTAATAATCTACAACATACTTTACTTGAGGGTGATAACTTTATACCTTATAGGGTGCAGCCATTTTTCGTGCCATTGCAGTTCATATATTGAAGCATGGAGAGGGTGCTCGTTCACAGAAGATAGTTGTTGATGAATCGGCTTGTTTGTCAACTAGTAAAATCAGAGGATTCCATCAATAATATATCAAAGGTGAGCTCTTGCACATTTCTGATGATAGTGAATGTTCATTGACACTTTCTTACAATAAATCTTTTATGTTGTGGCGTCCAAAGAAATCTCGCCACTGATGAGACATCCCTAACTCCCAACACCAGGCTTACTATGGCTGTAAAAAAATATGTAACTTTAAAGATAATACTAAATGCATCAGTGTCTTACAATATTTAGCAATGCCTAACATGATGCCTTGATAACAGAAACCGACTATACTTTAGAAAACTGTCAAAAAATCGCAAAAATTATCTCATCAAATATCAGTTGAACAATATACACCAAACACTTGATATAGATACCATTGTATTTTCCTTTGAATTCTTCACAAGTTTCATATAAGTTTGAGGGGATGGTTACTATCAAGAATCAAGTAATTTTAAAGTCGATAGATTTAGGACTCTCATGGACCATCATTCAGAACAGAAAATTTCAATCTCCGTTTAACCTTTGCAAGCGTACACCACACCACAAGCATGCGTTTGACCAAGTATTTTAAAAATCGGAGCGTACGAAAAGGGCTATATTAACTTGCTAGTGTCAAGTTATCAATAGATACTTGACATGTTGGAGAATTTTGCTTTTAAGGTTAGATAGTTGTAGCTTGCTTTGTTCGATAATAATAAGATTTGCAATTTAAAGCATGCATATTCCCCCACTTAAAAATAGCATCTCCAATGTTGATTATCTCATGAAGCAGACATTTCCAATATAATGTTTCCACTTAGAAGTTGCTCCAATATCATTATTCTACAACATATTTTAGTTTTATATGATTCTAATTTTTTCACTTATGAGGACCTGGATGTACAAAATATTTTTTGATTCTGAGGTTTTCGACTTTTGGACGATCAAAAATCGATTTTCTAAATATTGATACTAGAGCCATGAGACTAGCATGTTCTTATGCCAATTTTTTGCCCTCTAAACGATGGTGTAATCGAAATTTGCGTAGGTTGCACAGTTGTTGAGAAAAGAAAGATTTTAATTTTCATTGGTATGCTCACCCTGTAACAAAGTCTCTGAGACCAAACGCAAAAAGGACTCACATTATCAAAGAACATGCTTTACGTGTCAGGTAAGCGACTTTGATTGTACAGAAACTCGATCTTGCTTTTGACAAACACAGCTGCGGCAATTACTTGTTGTGCAGACGAAGATATCATTAAATGTATAAATCTGGATAATTGGCAACCGAAATCACTTGCAACCGCCTAGAAATCAATTATACTACCAAAAGTCATATCGGCAGATGATGAACCGGCTTGTGTGATACTTCCCTCACCGCAAGCAAACGAATTACGCCTTTAGATATGACCACTAAAAGGCGAAACCCGGATGAAGCTATCATTCGCGCTTGCAAGCTTTCAGTGGCAGAGTCAAAGGATGCTTCTAGATACCATTGACCTATATCCCAAGGAAATAGCCATCATAAGTATCAGCGATCTCAACAAGTACCTCAGCAATCTTGCCGACCTTCTCATACCATATTATATTGTAGCTGCCAGCGAATCAGTTGCTATTTAGGTCTTTCAAGTATTTGATTTGATGAATAACTGAGCGCTTCTTATAGCTAACTATACGCAAATTTTACCGATAATTCTTTGAAATGTATACCATTTGTAGTTGAAAAAGGGATGACCTCGTTATGTCTAAATGGTATACGTTGTAAAGTAAAAGCGAGCATTGTTCAGCATGCGCTGTACATCCAATTAAAGGGTCGTAATAGAAATCTGCTATGCTCAGGGCACGGATCAAAACAATGCGATACTGTGTTGAACAAAATACAATGCAGTTTCATGAAGCACAAGAATGGAACTGCGTGGTTGAAGATGAATAGTGTGCGCAAATATAAAGGGTGTTTTTTTTATATGCGTATAGGGCGTTCTTTCTCGTTATTTCAAGCGTAGAAATGACGATAGCCATCCAATATCAGTGTAAAAAGAAAATGAGAAACATAGCTAGTTGTTCACAAGTTTATTATATACAGAATTAAGAGCATATATCTATGACACAGTCGTGTTAATTGTGCTCGTTGTTATGAATATCAGAATAAGCAATTGGATCAGTAAACTTGCGATCATACTCGCCGTATACAAAGGTTGAATCATCAAATGGAGGAGGAGAATCATAGGTAGGCACTTTGAGTGATCCCAGCTTACCTACTGCTTCATTCAAGAGGTCGATTTTAGACTGAAATGTTACCCGTTTTCGCATACGGCCAGCAATACCGCCGGGGGCCGAGAGAACAATGGAGACAAGCAAGGTGTGCTTGATATCAAAGTCGGAATTTGCCAGTGTTGAGTGAACGAGAGATTTCCCTACAAGAATACTGTATCGGATGGTACCTTCCCAAAGCTCGGGCAGTGCAGTTTTAGGTATTTCTGTTTCATTTGTGGCAGCAGTTAAAAGTGATTGCACTGCATAGCTTGTGCGAGTAGACTTTCTAAATACATCCCGTCGCTCTAATATTTGAACATTGACACCTTCCACAGAGACCTCCTCACGAACAGGCATCATACGAAATGTGATGGGCAATTCTGAGCCGAGTGCGATAGACTTCTTGTCCACCAACACTTGATACTCAAGCCAATCAGATGTATGTGTTCGAGAATCAATGAATTCGCATGTATTGCTACCGAAAAAAAGATTGCCAGAGGGTAAGCGCACGATGCACACATCTTGCTTTGCACAACTCTGGGCGGTACTACTACGGCCCACACGCAAGAAGGAATTGCTTTCATATTCCATGACAGCAGTAACATGATAGTTCACCTTGACATCCGAGCAATCAACGGTTTCAGGCAGTTTGGATGGTACTTGCATTTCGAAACCATAGTGTGTAAGACCTGCTTTCAAGATAAGAGGACAGTTGGTGTCAGTTTGCTCCTCGACAGGATACAAGACTAGACAATGGTGAGCTATAGATCTCTTCTGTGCGAATCCGCCAGCACTCGCAGAGCTAGAAATGTAATTCTTGGTTTTCATTTTACCATCAAATCGGACAGAAATGGATTTCACAATTGTTGTGCTTGACAAGTTAATGTTGATGGTTCCCCGGATCACGAGATTAGAGTTAGAAATAGGCTCGACATAGATGGTTGGTTCTAATAGCTGCACAGATATGAATGATTTGAAAGGCATTTTGTTGATTTGATTGTATAGAGAAGTGAAAAAGAGTTAAAGGCAATCAAATCAAGTCTTTATATACCTAACAAGCGGTATCCATGTGAAATCAATCCTCAGGAACAGATAGAAGCGATAATTTGTTATTTTCTATTTATATATTTATATATTTATATATTTCTTTAGAGTTTTTCCAGCTTTAACATTGCTATTGATCCAATTGAGAGGTTAAATAACATTATATTTAAGGGTAGAAGAGCTTCAGATGACTTGAATAGCAGTGGATCAGAATCGATTTTCACTAATACCCTGGGTCGTAATAGTGTTGATTTATAGAAAGATATTGTTTGTATTTCAACAGAATATCAATATGTTGGATCCATTGAGTCGAGATCACCAGAAATGGGCTTGTTGGTGTAACTCGATTCCATCAATGACAGACAAACAAGATGCAGTTGATGACAAACATGCTTAGCAAACAGACCAAACGTCTGTGAGAGATGCAGAATATCCCCAATAGTTGAATACTATAAAGTTTGTAGAAAATCATTGGGCCTTCTTTCAGGTATACCATCTTTCATAGCAATGGTCAGGCAGGTCCCAAGTGTGGTATATGAAGACCGATCTGATCCCGGCCTATGAAGGATCTTGTATAAATCATAAAGATGGGATTTCCAAAGCCTGGAAGGATATTATTAGCTAGTAAAAGGAGAAGGGAACCCCTATTGTCTGCTAGACCTTAAGTATAAGTGCGACAAGAGATGATTGATATCTGCGTATTGAAAGCGAAAGAAATCATCTACAGTAATGAAACCAATTACAAATGCTGAAGTTTTATTAAACGCAAAGCAAGTCTTGATGTAGCATATTGGGTCTAAATACTATCAAAATCAGCAAGTCTATTCACTCTACGTTCTCATCATTGACTAAAGATCTATATCCATTGAGAGCTATTAATTCATATTGTATTATTAATCACTCGAAAAAGAGTCCCATTTGTTGATTTATAACAAGCTTTGTACTCCACCTTCATGCTTGAGCTAAGCTTTGTCGTGGAAGCTAGATAATTGGACACGTTTTCGGCAGGTAAAACGTTGCATTGCAAAAGCATAAATGCTCCTACAATCCAGATCTGCTTTTTCGACTTGAAACCCGGAAGGAAGCGTATACCATCAGCATGCTAGTTCGGAACTGAAGGTTAGATAAAAAACTACAGCACTTATTACTTAGGCAAAAGAATAAAGTTGTCCAAATAGAATAAGAATCCTCTACAATTCTTTCTGGCACTCGGGTTGGAATAATGATTATTATATGATATAAATGTTTATGCTTCGGATGGGCCTCTACCTTTGCTTTGCTTCGGTGAGAACCAACCTGCGCAGCCGCAGCTCGCGCTACCGATTATCCTTGCGTATCTTATCAAAATACTGCTACTTTCTATTTACACATGAAACCCCTTCATATTATCTGCGGATCTGGTTCTGATGTGATGCTCTACATCCATATACACGTAGCTACTTCATACACGGGCGAGCAGCATACTAGTATTTCCCCTTTCTAGTCTTTAGTGTACCTGATACAGCAAAAACTGAGTGCATTTGAGCTGCGTTTTCTTGCGTTTGAGCCCGTTTTAGATGGTCAGAATAGCACCAAACAATTGCTCTCTTCTGGCAGTTACTTATTGCCACCATTACTCAACGTTTTGGGGATCAAAAAAATATGGACAAAATTCGATCAAAAAGCATGAGGGGTACCTCATGGTTTTCATCGAAAATCAAACGATCGCGTTTTTGACAACTAAAATGAAGACTTTTACTATGGCATATAGTACATCGAAGCGTCTGTCTCGATCAAAAGCAACCCCTGAAACTTTGTTTACGAGATGTTCAAATGTAAAATCTCAACATTTTGGCCAAAAACCTCATTTAGTATTTTTTATTATAGCTCAATATGCTTATTCAAAACACTTGCTTTGAATGGTACTATTAGATGTGGGACGAAAAGTACTCTTAAGATGTATTAAGAAGCATGGGATGATAATCACAATTTACATAGTCAAACTTTGCAAAATAGATCAAACAGGTCGGTTTTAATCAAAATTTGGCCAATCTTGACACGAGAGAAGTAATCGGAGATTAAAATAAGTTTTGGCATGGCTGCCAACATGTCTTTCTGATGAATACAATACATATCTTTGAAGCTATAAGGAAAGGAACTGTAAGTTGAAAAGTACTATAACTTGGTATTTCAAATATATTTTGTTTTTGTTGCGTAATTTTGTTTTTAGTACCTAGGCTTACTCGTTGCATATGGCTTATCTAAATGCGTATCTTAATATGAAGTGTAAGATAGGCGCTCCAAGTCTTTCAATATATAATTGCATGTTCTAATCCTAATTTTTATGACAAACTAGTGGCTTTTTGTGGCTATTTGACTGAAATTATTGATGCTGATGTCAATCATTATGTAAAATGCAAGGCTAGCAAACAATTTGGGCTTTTTGAATAAGCCATAGTGTTTATCTGATTCATTCAAGTGATTAAGTCAACTACATGTCCTGTTTTATAGTAATTTCTTAGCATTATAGAAGTATCATTGTGTGATCTTCTAGCGGGTCTCCTGTAGTTTTCCGTAGTTGCTGCCATGAATGCCTTGCATCACACCACGTAGTTGCAAATTGGAATTTCCCACTTCTTCAGCTTGGCCTGCAGAGCCAATCAGGATTGGCTTATAAAGTAGCAGTAGTGAAATGTAAATGTTGGCTTGATCGTTTTATTCTTTTTGTTTCCTTTATCTTCGCTCTTTATTTTTTTATAATTCATCCATTCAATTCAACAACATGTATGCTAATAGAACTGCAGGCTCAACAGCTTTGAAACGTCTCATGACTGAATACAGAGGTACTCATCGCTTGCATACGTCGTGTTCATTTCGAATCGAAGTTCTGACCAACATGAACTACATAGAGTTGACATTGAACGCACCTGAGGGCATCACTGCAGGTATGTTTCTTTAGAAAGAGCTTGCTCAGACATTCAACGCTAACATAATCATGTAGGCCCTGTTGATGAAAATAACTTTTTTGAGTGGGAAGCCCTTATTGCGTAAACAAAGCGAATACTACAACAAGTTGATACATGTAGTAAACTTTCTTCTATATAGTGGACCTGAAGGTACTCCTTTCGAAGGAGGATTGTTCCCAGCAACGCTTACTTTTCCCAAAGACTATCCTCTAAGCCCACCCACCATGAGATTCACCTGCGATTTCTTTCACCCCAATGTATACCAAAATGGCACTGTGTGTATCTCTATTCTACATCCTCCTGGAGATGATCCCAACATGTATGAAAGTAGTTCAGAGCGATGGAGTCCTGTTCAAAGTGTTGAAAAGATCCTGTTGAGTGTTGTTAGCATGTTGGCAGGTAAGCAGAGATCAGCCGTGGGCAGTGTGAACAGTGATTGATCAATCTGTGTTGGTAGAACCCAATGATGAAAGTGGTGCTAATATCGATGCATGTGTAAGTTGGCCCTTTGTATTTATTGGAATATTGTGATTTGTATAACCTAAACGTGAATTTTTAGAAAATTTGGAGAACAGATCGTGAACGTTATAACGAGATTGTAGCTGAAAATGCAAGAAAGACATTGGGATTGTAAAGAAGAGGACCATACACGCATATAAAACTAGAATAATCAAACAAATTTAATAAAAATAGAAAAAAAAAGCTATACATGTTGCTGTTGCTGTTGCTGCTGCAATTGATGTTGTCCAAAGCCAGCGTTTACGTCCATTACACCACCATTGTTGATAGCAGCAGCGACATTTTGGGGGGTATTTTCGTTTGTTGTAGGTGCGTCGTCCTTCTTTTCCGCGGGCAGGATCAAACCAGTATCCCTCAGCGTTTGTCGATTTGCAGGTATTTGATACACATTGGTCAACAAGTCGTAATTCGTTGGGTTGGCACGACGATACGCAAACAAGGATGAGTTGAATTGTCTAGCTGAAACAGCAGCATTATGCAAATAGTTCAAATCCGTGATATGGGCGTCCTGTGGTGTAGGCTTGTGAGCCAAGTTGTTTCTTCCGATCTCGATCAAAGGCAATAAAGGTGTTGGTTTGTCTGTCAAATCTTTGGCGGTCTGTTCCTCTTCTGACTGGATGTCCTCCTCCTCATCTACTTCATCGGTATAATAGTAATCGTCTCTGCCTTTACGTCCTTTACGCACAATGCGATGTCCAAACTGTTTGTATACAGAACGAGCTGTTACCACTGAAATTTCACGAGTACGAAATGTTGATCTCAGCATGTTGGAGTCTACCAAGTATCCCTTCTCTGTATTGTCAATGTGTACTTTAATAAGCTTGACGTTCTTCTTGAGAAATACAAAACTATCACGGAATCCTAAAAGTGCTGCAGGGTCTTTTGAAAACATGAATAGTGTGTTGTCTCTGGTTGGCAATGTAAAAGTTGGAACACGATATTCGCGACCTGTGCGTGGCGGATTCTGCATTAGCGTTCACTGGATAACGGTTGCTATGCTTGAAATTTACCTCCTAGTAATCGACCATACTTGTCTACTTTCATTTCTCCAGATGGATCATGATCACTTTCATATCCACTTGGAAGCGCTGGTGGGATATAGTTGTGGGATGATAATGCTGCTGCTGAAGTTGACGCTTGAGGTTTGCTTCGTTCGTTCGTGTAGTGTGTCTTTGGGCGACCTCTCTTTCTAGTGTGCTGCGCTCCTGATGGTTCGTAATGATGAGTCTCTATGTCGCTAGCAATCAACGCATCATCTCCAGATGATAATTCGCTATCTTCATCGACGTAGTTGAGGTCATTGTCTAAACCGCCACTTCTACTTCTAGATCTCTTTCTTTTCGGTGTATGTTCTCTCTTGTGTTGTGCACTACTCGCGTATCCTACATCATGTAGAGCAGTTTGAGCTGCTTGTCATCGACCACTCGCAACTCTTTACAAACCTGATGGCATTTTTATTTAAAATCGCAACGAATTACACAGTAAAAAGTACAAATTCCATTGACTGAATTTCATATCAAAAACATATGAGCAACGGTTTGAAAAGGAGCTTTGGTTGCTACTGGAAAACACGTGGTGGGTAGTTAAGCCATGTCATCGCATCCTACGACCAATTAGAAGAATGTCTGTAAAAATTTTTACGAGGTATATATCCATCAAAATCTTGCAAATGTCTCTTGATCTTTCCTAGTTTTCATTTAAACCAGATAGTGAGGAAGGTTGGTATCTCTGCAAACCTCATTAGAGAAGAAAGAGCATGGATTTAACAGCGCAATGATAGATTCTTTTTCTGCACTACAATTGATATTTGTTGAAAAATAATCGAGTTATCTGAATCCATTTTAAACATGCAAGTCTTTGTCAAGTCTCTTCAGGGTAACACTCTTGCCCTTGATGTCTCTTCCAACTCTTCTGTTGCTGTTGTCAAGTCCATGATCCAAGAGCGTGAGGGTCTCTCTGCCGATGCTCAACTCTTGTCCTTTGCTGGTAAGCCCCTTGTTGATGGTGAGCTCTCTGCTTATGGTATTGGTAACAACAACACCTTGAACTTGAACGCTGAATTGTTGGGTGGTGGTAAGAAGAGAAAGAAGAAGACCTACACTACTCCCAAGAAGATCAAGCACAAGCGTACCAAGGTCAAGTTGGCTATCTTGAAGATGTACAAGGTCGATGAATCTGGCAAGATTACTCGTCTCCGTCGTGAGTGTCCTAACGCCACTTGCGGTGCTGGTGTCTTCATGGCCAAGCACAAGGATCGTCAATACTGTGGTAAATGCCATTTGACCTACGTCTTCCAGAAGGACGAAAGCGCTTAAATCAATGAAAATTGATGAAGGCACCCTCTACCTCCCCCTTTTTTTTTTTATATGAATAAAATTGGTATCGCTCATGTACCTTTTTCTCATTATCATACTATACTTCTTTTTGGTGTATATCTGTGTAAAAAGAGCAGTGAAGAGCAAGCAGCTTTTTTGATGTATCAGAGCTGCTGACAGTGGAGTCCAGGAGACATTTGATCTGATCCTCCAGACTACAATGGCTACCATAATATGTACAGTAAATGCAAAAGAGACACGGCAAGTTACAGTGAATTGAATGGTTGTTTAATATTGATACATGCCATAAATATAATATGTCTCTTGAAGAGCTATTGATGATATCTACTATTATCATTGCAACATTGCGCATTTAGTCGTCTTCTGATATAGGTTCACTCGATGGCAGATTTGATACTTCTTGAGTTTTCAGTAAGGCTTCATGTAATTCTTGCTGCTCCTTCAGCTCCCTCATGTTGAGTGTCTGTTGCTCCTTCTTCTTTCTGCGTTCATCATCACGCAACACGCCAGCTCTTAAATTCTGCAAAACATGATTTATATTCTAGTTGCTGTATACAGTCTTGAATCATACTCTACCTCCTTCTCTTCGTTTTGTATATAGTGCACACCAAATACAGAAGCACAGCAGAATACGATAGATGCTGTCAATGTGGCCTTGGCTGCTTTAGACATGGTTTAACAATGGAGATGAAAATGCGACTGGGGGTTTGAATGGTAAATTCGATGGCTGCTATGAATATTTAAGCTGTATTTTAAAGCAGCGGCCCACTGTTGAAGATAGCTGTGGCTGGAGTGAACATTTACAAAGCAATTACTATAAACTGTGCTCAAGGATCGGTAGTGAAAGGCTTGTTTACGGAACATTGTATATTGTTCATCATTGTCATTTCACGGAGAAATGATCTCATTGCAATATGAGGGCCTCAGGGCTGGCGCAATGCGTTTGGTTGTATGCTATACATCCTTTCATGATTGGTTATCATGGCTTGGTTGTGCTACTATCAATAGTGAGAAATGATGAGAACCTGGAAGTGTCATAAAATATGCAACATGACCCTGCCATTCGACTTGATTGCTTTTCCATGTAAAAATATGTATCAGATATATCACAGATTTAAAAATAACACGAACAATTTCTATTAATACCATTTTGCAGGTGGTTTCTATGTGTTGCAATGAGAAACGTGTAAATAGACAGAAATAACTTTTTGATTTTCAGATTGCACAAAGAAAAAAGTATATAAATCAATCAAGTCTACATTTCATCTGACTCCTTTTTATGTTTCCCATAAGTCAAATGCTAGTCAGTCAACATCATCGCTACAATTCATCTTATACAGCTCGCCCAACTGCTTCCAATTTCTTGACGCAGTTCACAGCTTGGGCTAAAGTGTGGATATCCTCCTCAACATCTCTGGCTGCATTGTCGCCTTCCAGAAAGAGAAAGCTTATTTTGATGGACACAGCCCACTTTCGCGACACAGACATTCGATCCCGAGTCAATTACTATGACCAGGCTCACTCTATCCACAACACAGTTCCTACAATTTCGCAAAGAGCATCACTGTATCGATCAACCTGTCAAAAACTCCGACCTAACCATAGCAAGCTGACTCGTTTGGGTGATATGATTCATGTCAGGCACTTTTGGGATGACCTGGAGAAGCTTGCCTTTCCAGACCTCACAAGTAACACAAACCATCACTATGTTGCTCCATCAAAACGTGTGCCCTTCAATCCTGACAAGCTGGGATCGCTCTATCGTCCTAAACGCTCCAAGAAGCTGCCGCCAATGTATTTCCAACAAAAGCGAAAGCGACCCTCTTTTGGCTCATCTACCATTGTATATACACAGACACCAAATCAACATGTCCAAATTTTACCAATTCATATCACTTGTCGCATCCCACCTCATCGTCGGGTACCACAAGCAATGAGAGGATTGGTACACCAGCACGATGAGCAAGAGGACGACGACGATGATGATGTTCCACTCGGAGCACTGCAACTTTCCTAATTTGATACCATCTCCATATAATCTGTACAAAAAAAAAACCAGCACATATACTTATACATACTTACTACATAAAAGCAACCTCTTAATCTCGGTTCCTGATCTCTTTGATCACAATACAAATAAAACCTAATTCTAATAATAAACAACTTGTAAATATGCCAGCATCAAATCAACGCCTTTACCCCTCTTTGTAACATGCTACAGCCCCGTATGACTTAGACAATGGTTCATTGTTCGTTCATGTCGAAATTGTAATTACAAAAACTAGACTACAAACTAATGAGATGCATCAAACACTCTATCTTTGATTGTTGTGAATATCACTCTTGATTAGCTACGTATATGAAACACATGTTTGAAAAGCAGGATGCCCATCTCCCATGCCCTGCCATAGTCTGGAACCAGTTTTAAACGATCATAGAACAACCTCGGCCTCTGGATTTGTGCCTTAAAGTAGCGTTACTTTGCATATGTCATGTAACCATGAGGAAAGAAAACGCGATCGTCTCCCTTACTCGAACAAGAGTTGGGCGATTCATTGTTCTGGCCTACCTGCATTTAATTACACGCAAAAAAGGGGGCGTAATTCTTTGCTCTACAGATCGATTATGTCGACAACAACGAATTGCACCGTAATGAATATCTCATTTACACCAATGGAAATGCTTATATGCAATCAATGTTCGAGTGATTTGCAAACAAGGGGCATAAAATGAACAGTGTATGTCTTGATGTCGAATATGCGCCTGATATATTGGAATTCAAAAATTGTCCACCAATGGAGATTCTTTTCGAACTACCGTAATGCCTTTTATGTTTTCCATGTACACAGCACCTTCAAATGTTTCTTGGAAGCCGTTTACAAAGGGCATAAGTGGGCCAACCAATATATACTGACATTTACTTCTCATCCTTTCCATTTCGCTTGAGAACCCTTTCATTAATCATATGAAACCGTGTATCTGACTCTTTTGCGGTGCTCCACGACTGTATCAATGAAAAAGCTCATATAAAGGCAGCCAGCCTATTTGCATTACCTCTTACTACTTGGAAGTATGCAAAACACATCAAAATTTGGATGCATTTGAGCCGTGATTTCTCGCGTTAGGAGCCGTTTTAGGCCGCTGGAATAACGCCAAATCATTGCCCTCAACTAGCACTTACTTTTTGATATCATTGCTCAACTTTTTTTGGGATCGTCGAAAATTGAGCTCAAACCATGAGGTACTCCTCATGGTTTTCATTGAAAATGCCCTTCGGGATCGCTGTCAGAGTGGTTTTCGCACCTGAAGCGTTTCAGTCGTGAGCTGCGCAATCGAGACACAAGGTTGCCCGCGCGGAGAGATAGCCATTAAAACTATCTCCACTGAAGTTACAATCTTGAAGTCTATCCGGTCTGGTTTCGCCTGGTAGTTTGTGTTGGGACAAACATCTCCCTCCGTCTACAGTTGTTATGTAGTTATTATCACTCTAGTTTTCTCTTGCAAGCCACCTTGTTCACATACACTTGTCTCGTATTTTGATACACTTAAAGCCTTTATTGGGCGCCAGATTATTAATAAAGTCTTTAATATTATCCACCAAAAAAAAAGTTTTCATCGAAAATCAAACGATCGTGTTTTTCACCTTGAAAATGAAGACTTTTATTATGGTAGATATTGAATCAAAATGTTTCTCTCGATCCAAAGCAACCTATGAAATTATTTTTATGAAGCTTTCATATGCAAAATTTCGACATTTTGGCCAAAAGCCGTATTTCATATTTTTTGGAATTGCTCAACAAGTTCAGTCAAAACATCTATTTTACTTGACACCATTGGAAGCGCCTTGAAAAGTACTTCAAGGATGTATTAGGAAGCGTAGGGTGATCATTACAGCTTATATAGTCGAATACTATAGAATAGATTTAAGAAGTCGACAAAAGACAAAATCTGTCCAATCTTGAGCATAAAAAAATATACTGAGTTTGAATAAATTTTGGTGGTGGCATTGTTGCTGGCTGACCCAAAAAGTTGAGCAAAGGTGTCAGGAAGCAAGTACTAATCGAGAGCAATTATTTAGTGTCACTCCAGTGGTTCAGAAAGGTCTACATATCAAGATATGAAGGCTTGAAAGCTGTCAAATTTGGCTGTGTTTCTTACATTTACTTGTCAATAGGCGCGTTTTTGTTACGATACAAAGGGGTAAGGATATTGTATGCATTCATCTAGATTCAGAGCATGTTATTATATATAAGAATTCAGCTGGAAATATTAGATTGAGTGGTACTGTTGTATCGCTGTATCATAGCACAATGATGGAGCTTATTAGTGAAGTGATGGCGGTTGTAATGCACGCTTGTCATTTCAGACGTGATAGGAAGTTTGCATCTTGTTTAGACATTACCAGAAACACGATTGAACACACGAAGCGGGATTAGTACGACATGGTCTTTAATTCTCGGCTACTACTACATCTCAACATGAATTTTGTACTTGGGCAGACAGAATTCAAAGCGCTGTTGCTGCTGCTGTTGAAACCATAGCTTACAGTCAACAGCAACAAGATCAAATCTGTACCATGCTATATGACTATCAGAAAGGAGAGGTCAAAAGAGGCACCGTCTGTACTCGCTAGATTTCATGAGATTGCAATCATGATTTATAAAGCGTTTCTTACGACACTAACACGCAATTTGAATAGTATTTGACCTTGCATATATGCAAAGCCTGACAGCTAAAATAGCATTACTTGTATTGGTACAAGCTTCCAATCAACTCGTTGAAATTACTGTCAAGTTGAATTTTTTGGTTAATCGCATCCTAATGAAAGTTCTTCAACGATAGATTGTACCTGTTTCGCCCTGGATATCTAGTCTTTCTTGACTTCTGTCGCTTCAAAACATTGGAAGCACCTTGAATTAAAACGTAGTGTCAAGCATATCGCAACGCTTTAAATTGTTTCATTTGTACTAAATTCATGGCGGCTCATCATCTAAATGTCTAAACTCGCTAAATGCTTGATGTCATTAAAGACAAATAGGTACTAAAGAAACTATAGATTCAGATCAGTTAGCACCAAATACAATTGAAACAAACTCTCTCTAGTTTTTGGTAGTGATAGGGAAGCGCGCGTTTCAGCTTGCTTTACCGGTATGATTACGGAAATCTCTGAGTGTTTTCAACATGCTCACTTCTCAGTAGAACAAGATATTTCTCAAATGTATTCTGTCGAGGAGAGCACCTTTATCTCGATCAAATGATTGGTAAACCGATGTGCGGACGAACAAATTTTATACAAAAGAACCTAATTAAAAACCCAAGGGCTTTCTCTTATTACGTCTTTGTGTTCGTTGATCTTACCTCGTTTTTCAAATTTGGCTCAGTTTCCACCATTTGATTGGTACTCTCTTTTGATTTTGTACATGCCATGTGGAATTTTGATGATCATTTGTCCGCTGTCCAATTCTCACTTTCCTGCTCATCTGATGAGATAGTTCTATCTTTGTATACATAATTGTAAGACCATCAATGTATTGATGCTTCTGCATTAGTGAAATTTATCATCGTAATATATATATATATTAATGACATTTAAGTTAGGAAAATTACTTTTAGTGTTCTTCTCACATCAAGATGAAAAGATTAGAAATTAACTTTAAAGGTCCCTTTCATTAAACAAAAAAATAAAGGGTTCAAAGAGAGGTATACAAGCAATAATTTGATTGAGAATGAATCTTTATTTAGGTCTTGGAGGGGAGATGATTCTTTTGATATTCTTCTTTATAGCCTTGTGAACAACACTATATCCAAATTTGATCTTCCATCCAATAGCAAGTCAAGGAGATGCTACGTCGCTTGACAGTTTGTGTACCTGAATATCCAAATAATTCAAAATGATGTGCGTTGTTTTCTGCCCTCATTCAAAAACCCCCATTCATGAAGACAATGCCATTGGATTACGTAGATTTATAATGAAATTCTCATATGAATGTTGAAACTTTAGAACTCTATGATCCCTATTTTTAAAAAAAATATCCAATGCGGGACCGCTTGCATCATTATTAGAGCAACGCGGGTACATGCAAGTAGCATTTTAAATGGTCAGTGTAACGCAATGCCACTTTCCTTTTTGACTGGATTTAGATGTATCATATTTGTCAAACATTTTTTCCATCTCTTCATTCAGATGCCGTGTGTGCATACTACATATATACTCAATGCAATTTCAATCAAAATTCATGCAATCAATTATAGTCAAAATATCCATCTGACTATCTGGAAAAATCATGAGTTATGCGGCTAATGTAATTTGATTCATTCAGGGGTAATGTTTGCAAAATCGTACTCCGAAAGCAGAGTGTGTGCTTGCCAATTTATGTTGAATGAGCTAGTGTGTTCTGGACATCTGGTCTCCTTATCATTATATTCTTCATGGCTCGTGCATTTTTGTGAAGAAAAATAACATTGAAAAGTCAAAAATGCAATAATATGATTATATAGATATGTGTCGTTTTTATTGTATTACAATATGGCAACAATAAAAAACGTGGCAGTGACCTACGCTTTGTATCTCGAACGGATTTCATTTCTTGCAGACTTACATTAATTAATTGGTCTTAATTTTTTACCATGTTTAAACGCCAAATCTAAATTGACAACAAAATAGATATTTCACGATGCAAAAGCACATTTAAGGCAATTTCAATGCCTGGAGAATGAAATTGAAATAGGTAGAATAATTTGACATCCAAACGAAGAGTTTTATCTGATAAAACCAAAACGACATTCACCACTTACTTGAAACCAAAGTACATCTCCAGGAAAAAAACAAGCAAGAGATACAAGTAAAAGTGGAGAATCGAGCGAGAATATGTAAAAGGTGGTATTTTCTTGTGGTACAGGCCATATTTCTCAACTTGGAAATCGGTATCTCCTTGATATTTATCAAATTTTCGAATATAAATATGATGTAAAACCTTTAACTTCTCTCCACAAAAAAAACTCTCTTTCTTCTTTCTCTTTTCCTTTTTTTTTCAAACGATTTTCTTTCTGCTATTATATTTTTAAGCATCAAATCATAAGAACTGCCAAATACAATTTGTAATTGCAATAAATAATATCCTCCCTAAGCCCAAACATACAAGTACAAATCAAATTACCAACCAACACATCTATTTATACAAAAGTTCCTCTAATACGTTATGGACATTCGAAATCTACTAAACGACCCTGTAATCGAAGAAAAGCCCTTCAGCTGTACCTGGGCCGAATGTTCGAAGTCGTTTTCTCGTCGTTCCGATCTCTCAAGACACATCCGCATTCACACCGGAGAACGTCCTTATCATTGCAAGTGGCCAACATGTGGAAAGCAGTTTATCCAGAGATCAGCATTGACAGTTCACTATCGTACTCATACTGGAGAGCGCCCTCATGTTTGTGAATATCCAATGTGCGGCAAATCATTCAGCGATGTAAGTTTTTGATTGTCTTTATAAAGTAGGCAGCTTATTAACAATTCATATAAATATCAGAGCTCCTCTTTGGCCAGGCATCGCCGTACTCATACGGGTAAAAGACCGTACGTGTGTTTATTCATGGATTGCGGCAAATCATTCACTCGTAAAACCACCTTGTCAAGACATCAAAGATGTCATGATCCGAAATGGAAGTCCTACGAGTAAGTCTTTAACCAAATTACTCTACTGAGAAGAAAATCTAACCTTTCTTTATAGTATGAACGCTGCATCAACAGCTAAAATGCCCTCTACTACCACTGCTACCGCTCCTACTACTATCACTACTACCTTGGCAGTAATAGGACAGCAATCTCCGCTTAGTTCTCCCACTTCGAGTAGCTATGATTCTGATGTAGAGTCTCCATTACCATCACCCACCGAGAGCTTTCAACAAACAAGAAGCGGCAGCCATGATTTTATCATGTACAAGCCTTTTCCTCCTGCTAATTCAGCATGTATGATGGCAGATAAACCAATCTATCGTATTCCTGATTATACCCAGCAATCTACTCCTGCTTACTTTCATCAAGAGCAATCTTATAGATATAGTAGCAGCAATAGAAACAGTATAAATCATCAATACATTTTGTAACAGTGCACTGGTAGTTTGGCTTACTTGCCCTCCTCAACGGTTCAATCAAACATTGCTCCTTCAAGTGTCTTTATGCCTAGCTTTGATTCCCTATTCATATCAACAATTTTATGATTTCTTTATTCCTATTTTCTTTTCTTTAGTATACACACCCTTTTGTATGATTTCATTCAACTATAGTCAACTTCTATGCTTCTTTTTTATTTATGATTGTATTCCCTATATGCCCTCTCTTAAGACTCAATAAAGCAAGCTTAACTGTACCTAATCAACACACATGGACATCTCATTCCGATTAAATATTAGAGTAGCACTGTCGGATGTCAATAGTAGCGATGCAGAGTAACGAACAAATGACACATCCCTGTGGCATTTAATACACTTATATGCAGGATGCTTAATATTTCATTGAAGAGGTTACTTGTCCATTTACTCTTCCTCTCATCTAAAGTAACAATACGGGGCATGGTTTGATGTACACTCATTCGAAAAAAAAAGCTTAACACATCCCTTGAATGTTTGGCCCTAAACTAATTGAATTGTTGAGACCCAAGTGTACGAGAGTTTATAACGTTACCTAAAGATGACCCATGTTCACATAAGTCTATAGCTTGTTGCCTTAAACCAATGTGATCAAACAGGTAATTAATGAGAATGATCTGTCTTTTCATTTGTATCACACATATTTAAGTTATGTATAAAATTGTCCAAATGTGTATCATGATAGCTCAAAATTGAGATTTTGATTACTCTCTCAAATTAGATATGACTCGAGCAAAATATTTGGCGAAAGATGTCATAAAATGCATTTGTTTACATATCAGGATATGCAAATGCATGAGCTCATTTATATAGCATACAAATGCCAATAGCTATCTTTTTGACAAAACCTACGTAAACCACTATGCCTCTATAAGAAATTCTTCTAAGCTTATTTGTAAAGTACCGTTCTTAGCTAAAATCAGCAGTGTAACGTCGGTGGTTGTGCATTGATATATGGCTAGGTTGCTTTGAGGACGATGAGATCTTCTAAATGTAGCCATGATCTACATCAACTGAGGAATATGGGGTGGGCAATGATACCCATCCTGCTTATCTTCAATCTGTATTCCTAGCAATGAGAACCAGATGATTTCTTAAAGACTGCATATCATGACGAGATTTTCCATGTATTTTGAATAAATGGCGTGGGGAGCATGGCTGTCTGTATGAGACATTAAACACTGTGTGAGCATCCGAAACTTTAAAAAAAAAAACTCTTCCATTCAAATCAAATGGCTCGTTTGTGCAAGTGGCTTTGAGGTTAATAAAAATAACTTAAAGATTGAAGCTACAGGGATCTATAATTTACTCAAGTACAGCCAATGCAATCGAGATTAACATCAATAAACATTTGGAATTAGTTTGTAAAACAATCAAGGTAGCCAACACATGATTGACACAAACCACATCAGCTCATCTTTGATTTAGTGTGCGAATCAGGCTTGTAACAATAACATCTCAAGTGATATACGGCCAACAAGACACCTCCATAGCTGCTCGGTAGAGGTTTCCGATCCCAAATGTGTTCTACACGCTTGCGTACTGACAACCTTAATTGCGCCTAAATTTTTAGATCTTTCCACTTTGTTGGGTCATCATCATTGCATAAGCTGAAGGATGAGTGCCAAAAATTGCCCTTGAGTTGATGGATAAGGCTAACGCAATGAAATGAAACGGGAAACATTACCGATCCAAAAAGTTAACGTTGATAATGTGAGAGCAGTTTTGATCAGATCATCTACATCATATCATTATGAGCGATTTGAGCTCCCGTAAAATTGACAGGCCACAGGGGCAGCTCAAAAAATAAAGACGAATCAAATAAGCCTCAAATATTTTCTTTTTTTTTTTTTTCAAAAAATTTAAAAATGTAGACTAGCCTTCGAGCTCAATGGCAGATGGATTAAACTACACATCGAATAGATACGACCGTCTTTTTATTTCGTTCTTATACCCAAGAAGACTATATTTTTGAATCAATGATCGAAATCATTTCAAAAATACAAACGTCTCTCAGAGCATTTGTTATTTAAGATCGAATTAAAGAGAAACCATCATTTGCAGACTTTTTTCTCAAATTTATAGGCCAAGTTTGCCAACAGTCCTACAATGTGACCTAGAAAATAGCCATGATGGAAAATTTTTTCGCTTCCATGTGCTGGGTAGTGGTATATAATCTGAGGATTTCATGGTATTCTGTCCTGTTTTTCTTTTTTCTTCAGAAAGAGAGGTGGCAAGCTTATGTATACGGGCAAACATACTAAAAGACTCTTGTTCTTTAATCTTACCCGTGGGAAGGTCTGAGGAAAACCGCTAAATGTCTTTGCTGGATAACCTGTGAAAATGGGGGCAGTGCTACCAGAAAATATATCATCTTGGACCGTTAGTACCGTTGAAGGAGCTTGCAAGAGCTTCTGATGGGTTGGTTCGAGTTTGTTTACTGTAATGGCCTGTGGGTGGTAATGCTATGAAGTGCAATACATGAGACCGGTTCTACTGGTAACTCAATTCAGACTACTCTGTCTCCTCTCTCTCTCTTTTTAATCTATTTTTCTTTCAATCATATGATTAAGGAAAATAGTTTATTTATATAAATTAGAATGAAAAATTACAATGGTTGGTAGCTGGTTTTGACGAGGATGCTTATGCGTGGACGCCTGTAGATGGTAGGCGAGGCTTTAGGTTCCTTAGAATATAGCCTGCAGGTTGACACATCCAATAAATCGACCATCTGTGGTTGTTCCTTGGTGTAATGTATAGACTCTCTAAATAGTGTATCTTCACTATATATACTGCAAAGCATTCAAAAAAAGTAGACAAACCGATCATATTCTTTCAATGTTTTAAAGAATTGTGTGCCGTACAAGGCGAATAAAACCACCGGCAAAGCCGGCAATGGGAAGGGGGTTTGGGAAAAGAACATAACGCATCTAATCTAACACTTGGTAGCATTGATCTATATGAGGGCTTGATCGCAGCGAAGCAAAGGTACAATCTATGACAACTAAGCACCCAATCTACCATTTGATAGCATTGTTCTATACGAGGACTTAATTGTAGCGAAGCGAATATGCAAAACCATAATATGTAAGCAGCAAATTCGGGTTTTCATTTCCATTGTTAATAAGCTTACCAACAACATAGTGCATCAAAACTTGTATGAATTAGCTATACCAGAATCTGTATGCCTCCTATTCGAATTAGGAGTTGCACAGGCTATATAACTGCCCCTCCAGAGGATTTCAGCTACCAAAGTTATGATTCATGCCGTGTAAATAAAAGCTACGCAGCAAAAGCATAACCAAATATGACAGCTTTCAAGCCTTCATATCTTGACATGTAGACATTTCTGAGCCACTGGAGTGACACTAAATAATTGCTCTCGATTAGTACTTATTTCCTGACACCTTTGCTCAACTTTTTGGGTCAGCCAGCAACAATGCCACCACCAAAATTTATTCAAACTCAGTATATTTTTTTATGCTCAAGATTGGACAGATTTCGTCTTTTGTCGACTTCTTAAATCTATTCTATAGTATTCGACTATATAAACTGTAATGATCACCCTACGCTTCCTAATACATCCTTGAAGTACTTTTCAAGGCGCTTCCAATGGTGTCAAGTAAAATAGATGTTTTGACTGAACTTGTTGAGCAATTCCAAAAAATATAAAATACAGCTTTTGGCCAAAATGTCGAAATTTTGCATATGAAAGCTTCATAAAAATGATTTCATAGGTTGCTTTGGATCGAGAGAAACATTTTGATTCAATATCTACCATAATAAAAGTCTTCATTTTCAAGGTGAAAAACACGATCGTTTGATTTTCGATGAAAACCGTGAGGAGTACCTCATGCTTTTTGGTCGATTTTCGGTCATGTTTTTTTGATCCCCAAAAAGCTGAGCAAAGGTGTCAGGAAATAAGTACTAATCGAGAGCAATTATTTAGTGTCACTCCAGTGGCTCAGAAATGTCTACATGTCAAGATATGAAGGCTTGAAAGCTGTCATATTTGGTTATGCTTTTGCTGCGTAGCTTTTATTTACACGGCATGAATCATAACTTTGGTAGCTGAAATCTTCTGGAGGGGCAGTTATACAGCCTGTGCAACTCCTAATTCGAATAGGAGGCATACAGATTCTGGTATAGCTAATTCATACAAGTTTTGATGCACTATGTTGTTGGTAAGCTTATTAACAATGGAAATGAAAACCCGAATTTGCTGCTTACATATTATGGTTTTGCATATTCGCTTTGCTACGGTAAAGCCTACTCAAGGCCAATGTTACCAAATGTTGCCTTGAAACCAAAAACCACTCAATTCACAGCCAAATAGCAGGCAAGAAATTGTCTGAATTAGATGCGTTATGTTCTTGGGAGAGGATTTTTTAATCTCTGATTGGCTGCGACGACGCTTTTGTGTTCTAGTTTTCCAGTATATATGTTAAAGATTTCCAGTAAATATAATGGCGACGATGACGATAGAGCTGTAAATGCTTGGGCACGAAAATACTAAATCTTATCATGATGGCGGTGGTATTGTAGAAGATGGTATTAGACCAGTTTATGACCTAATGTGCCCTGAAACTAGTTATGCGGATCAAGCTTTTATTATCACTATTCCCATGAAATCGTCATCATCTTATTCGTTTACAGATGGCACTAGTGCTCGGAAAAAGTTCATCTCAATCAAGTCAAACTCTAGTAATTGCTGCTCGGATATCCTTCTTACGGTAAAACATGAAATGCCGCCAAGGGTTCAAAGAGTATATTGATGGGTTGCTAGAGAAACCAGCAGCCAAGATAAGATAATGCAGGAACAAAACGATTTACATGAACATCGCCAGGACGAAGAAAAGCAAAGAGATAAGTATAAGTTGCCTGGCAAATCTTGCCGACGAGCTATATCTCGTACTACAGATATAAGCATACGGGGCAAACCCGATATAAGCAGATGATTACAACATCTTACTCAAAGAATATCAGCCACGCTTGATATTTGTAAAAACATAAAAGAGTAGCATGGCTTCATTTCATCAATACATTGCTCAGATTACAAAAACCTATCTAGGACAACATTGATTTCGAGGATGCTGTCATACCAACAATTCAGGTAATATTCCACCAAAGTAAATAACATAAACATTGAGTCTCATGACAGACATGTAAATACACAAAGTTCAATCTATTTGGAAAGCTATAAAGTGGTAGATGGATCCATTGCTTCTAGACAGCCACAATACATAGCTCGCGTATCAAGAAAACGGCATGCTGGTCATCGTGCCTTTTGTAGATATGATAAGAGGGTTTCATTTCAATTAGCTGTGCCAATCGGTGAATCCCTAGAATTTCAGACATCGGCCAGCAAGTGCGATCATTGAAAAGACTGATGATGATGCCACATACTTATTGCTCGCCTTTTAGTAAAACTACAATGCTATCTCAAAATTGAATTGATCACCGAGAGTACCTCAAATACAAATGAACCCATCTTTCAGGATAAATTCCATCCATACCACCATACTGCTTCATAGATGGAGGCTATTTATTTTGATTGCCAAATACCAATTCATGTATTTGGTTGTTCTAACAGATCTTACAGCACTATATTTGGTGGTCCGCATACATTTGCCCTACAATAAAACCTAAAAAACTTGTTTGGGATTGATTGGCTCTAGATCCATAAGTAATGGAGTGATATCCAGTGTTGCAGTGTTACAATGAACGAAAAGACCCCATCTATTTTTTATTGCTATCATTGCGTCTCTCTCAATTCCTGTGCTATAGGAAGACTGACTGTTATATTCACGTGCGCGCATACAGACCAGCTCCATTCAAACCTTCATTTCTTGTCTGTGATCCATCAATTTAATCATGGAGGCAACTTGACATTTATATATTTCTTCTCTTCTTTTTCTCCTCCCTCTTTACTTATTTTTTCAACAAAATAACACAACATCGAGGATGGATTACGAGATACGTCGTAGAGACACAAAGACCACTATTGAGGATGATACCAGTAGCGATACCATGTCATCTTCCTCAGTCAACGATGAATACCTCGGCGACATTAAAAAAGACATGCGGTACTCTTATGGAAAAACCCCTGATGGCAAAGGTATGTACTTTGGTTTCCCTCTCAAGAGCTTCAAAGAAGGCTCACCCTTTCTCTCTTTTTTTTTTTTAAAAAAAATAGTTTTTCGAGTACCTCTCACCCGTGAGATGGTTGCTAATCTGTTGAATCCCAAGCAAAAGAAGGGAGTCTTTGACTGGATCACACTAGGCACCATGGCGTTTCAGATTAGCCTCTTCTTCTTGTTGCCATCCTGGATTAAGCGTCCATTGTTCATCTTTATCTTCTTCTTCTGGCGCTTGGCGTACAATGCTGGATTAGGTGTCTTGCTTAAATATCAATCTGATAGTCGAGGCCTCGTTCGCTTGGCTAAAAAGTACCATCTCTTTGATCGTGAGGCAAACCCCAGAGCATACCATTGGCTTCAACGCCAATTGAGCATCAAGATGGGCGATGATTATGATTTTGCTGTAAGTTCTATCTAGCATAATGCCACAGAACACACACTAATTATTTATATAGACGGCTCCTATTGAATATAACACTTGGATGTTGTACAGACAATTAGTAGACTTGATCTTGATGAACGACTTTACTACCTATGTCTGCTTTGCCCTGTCTTGGTTCAACACATCGCCACAATCGTCCATCTTTTTGGGCGACACTCTGAGATGGTTGGGCGGTATCTTTTTAATTGTGTTCAACATCTGGGTCAAGATTGATGCGCAAAGAGTCGTCAAAGACTTTGCTTGGTGTAAGTGATTTCTTTGTTTACTTGCTTTGTGGTGTAACTTGAACTTATAGTAACAATTTATATGTGCAATTTCCATAGATTGGGGTGATTTCTTCTTTTTAATCGAGCAATCGCTTACATTTGACGGTGTGTTCGAGATGGCTCCTCATCCCATGTACTCCATTGGTTATTTTGGATATTACGGCATCTCTCTGTTGTGTGCAAGCTATACAGTTTTGTTTGTCAGTATTGCTGCTCATGCTCTTCAATTTGCATTTCTCATTTTGGTTGAAACACCTCGTAAGTGTGTCTTGATGCGATACTTACATGATGGCATAACTCACGCATCGTTTTGTTAGACATTGATAAAATCTACAACCCACCACCTGCTTTGAAGCGTCCTTCCTCTTCCTTGTCCACCACCCACGATGCTACTAGCACCACTACTTCCACCATCTATAGTTACACCAGAGATCTCATTGTCTTTAAAAACTTTGACCTGTTCAGAGCCACTGACTTCGTTGCTGCCATGTTGGTGGCGTACGCCATCATCACCCCTCTCTTGATTCCCGGCAAGATTGGTATCGCCATTTCGATTGTACAAGCATTCTTTTGGCGTGCGATCCATTCTCTTGGCAACGGTGCTATCCTTCGCTCTCAATCCAACAACAAGTTCTTTACACGCCATTTCATTAAATGGGGTGGCAGCGTGCACGAAGCATTTCAAAACTGGAAGAGGTAAGCGTGCATATACACATCATGTACATTGGGTTTTGGCTAATCGAGTCGAGATGGTGTTAGTATCTACAACCTCACATTATGTATGACCTATGTTACCTTCTTTATTGCTTGCTGGAAAACATACACATTGCCTGATAATTGGGCTTACGGTACCACCTTGCTCAGACACACTCTTGGCCTCACCTTTGTCTCTCTTCATATCTGGACATCTGTCTCTATCCACCAAGTCATTGGTGATTTCGGTTGGTTCTATGGCGACTTCTTCATGGACGATCATCAATCTGAATTACTGTATACTGGTATCTACAGATTCTTGAACAACCCTGAAAAGATCATGGGCCACGCTGCCTTCTGGGGTATGACACTAATTGCTAACAATGGCACCATCTTTGCCTTGGCCTTGTTCTCTCAGATCTGTAACGTCTTGTTTCTTCAATATGTGGAAGAGTAAGTAATGCGTAGATGTGGTTTATGGAGCAACACTAACACTCGACTAGTCCTCACATGCGTAAACTGTATGGAGATCAAATCCGTAAAGAAGCAGGCTTGACAAAGACACTCAAATCAGCCGCTATTGCTATTCCTAAAACCATTCCCGAGAAACTACAACAAGAAATTGCCAAACTCATTCGCGAAAATCAAGACAGCACTCACAATGTGGAGCGTATCGTCAAGGAAACTGTCGAGAAAGTGGAAAAGGCAGTGGAGGAAACCAAGGATGCCGTTGGAGACATTGTGGATGCAGCACGTCCTCGTTTGCAAGAAGTTTTGTCAGAGACCAAGCAGCTGCTCGAAACATCTCGTTCGCGCGTTATTCCATTAACAGCAAGCGATATTAGCACATTTGATTTATCCAAATACGCTGTCAAGTTGACCAGCAACAGCACCAAGAGCAATGTATTCGAAATGGGCCAGCCCATCACTGTAGAATGGACAGCACCTGAAAACCATGGTCCTCAAGATTGGATTGGTATCTTTGAAGTCGGTGCCAACAAGAGCAAACACATCACCAACATTAGTTCTCGTGGTTTATGGCATTGGACTAATGCTGCTAAACATGGTGAATCTGGTGATACCATCTTCCCCCCTGAAACACCTGCTTTGACTCAAGGTATAGTTACTTTTGGCGCATCTCAGCTACCTTGGAAGGTGGGCAAGTATGAGTTTAGATATCAACATGACAACAAGCACAATGTGATGGCCGTGTCTACTCCCTTTGAAATCAAGGCTCCTGTTGCTCCCTCTATCATTGATTTGGATACGACCAAGCAACGTGTTCTTAGATGGGTGCAACATACACTGGGCAATAACAAGGACATCATTCCTTTTACTGCTGAAGAAGAGTACGTGGGTATGGGTGAAGTCGAATCCAAGCATTTGGCCAAATGTATCAAGCTTGCTTACAAGGTGGAATTCGCCTGGGAAGTGGTTGCCACAGACAAGTGTGTAGCTCGTCTCGCTAAAAGAGTAAGTGCTATTATTTGGTTGGCTTATAGCCTTGATTCACTGACATTATTTTCATAGATTCTGGATGCTAGAGAAGCTCTTTCACCCTTCACCTCTGAGTCATCACGTAGACTGTCCTCTGCCTCTCTGCATTTGGCATCCAACGCATGTGCTGCTACTCCCTTGATGGCTAAAGTCGCTGGTGATGCCATGTAATAAAATCTTGTAATTATCTCACCCTTTCCCTTTGTTTATGTCCACCATGTTGGACCTAGTAAATAGTCCCCTTTTCCGATACAACAAAATAAAAAGCTTCTTTATTCAGAACTGTCAACGCTTCCTAATTTCCAGCTTTTTTGCTAGATTTTCTCTGTGTGGATATTGTCAGGTATGCTATTGTTGCTCATTCCAGGACACTTACCTTCTTGCTTCTTGCTGCTGACGTCAACTTTTTAGGCATGGTATCCTCAAGTAAAACAGGCTCAGCATGTGATTTTCGTGCTCTCGTATTGGCAGCAATGGCATTCTCATCCACAAATACAGGAAATGGACTTGATTCGCGAGATGCAGGTGTAGCACTTCTCTTTCTGGTAGCAACATGAGCGGTAGCGGTTTTCTTGATGATGACACTAGGTTCATGCTTGTGTAATTGGGTGGTAGTAATCTTCTCCTGTTCATAACCAATCTTCCAGGGAACTTTGGAAACGAGAATGCTGATCAAGGATACCAAAAAGAAGCCGAGGGATGCAATCGCAGGTTTTTGTAGTAATCTGGCGGTTGAATACTCGTAAGAGATCTACAAGATACACATGAGTGTGAATTTAAGAGTGGCAAAACGCTATGAACTCACCAAGATAGGACGCTCGTGCTCTGAAATGACATTCTCCTTGTGGAATACGACAGCAGGGCGACCCGTTGAGTCAAAATAAGTGTAATACTTGGCTTGCTCAATCTTGTCCATATCAAATGTGGATGGTGGGGTCACTTCAATACGGCTGTATACCTTGGGATCAGCTTTCAACAACCGGCATTACGTACACCACGATACTTACCTCGCTCCTTCAGGCAAGACCACCATGAGCTCCACTTGATCCGCTGTCATATCCCTGACATTGTTCACAAAATCGAGTTTGAGCATGTATTTCCCCTTGACAAGGTGTACAAAATCCTTCAAAGCTGCGTCATAACCAAAGTAAAACGTAGTGCCCCAACCTCCAAACAGAGGGAATCGCGGAATGATTTCTAGCACTGACTTTGTCTTTTCTCGTCTGAAATGTGATGTAGATACATTACCAACTTCATCACGAAAGTAAACACCTTCTGCAGAAGTGGGCAAATCAAAAACCAAGCTTGTGAGGACATTAGTTTGATCCAGAACATGAGAAGTCAATTGATATTGTAGTCGACTGAATTTCTTGTCCAATCTAGTGTTGTGCCGTATAAGTCGCTAGAGTCTCTTTCAAATGCTATCAGCACTTACTCTGCACCATCATGTCGAGCAGCGTAAGTTTCCTCCACGGATATCTTTCCTCCCCAATGAGATACTTGCACATGTCGTTTCAAATCAGTGATCGTGACAATGGGGCTCTTGTATTCATAGTGAAAGCTACAAGCACTGGCATGCAAAGGCGGAATGTCGCTGAATGGGCCATACACAATGCTGTTTTGTGTTTGTTGTCCTTGATGGTGGGGCTCACCGCCTTTGAATGACACGATATTTGCTGTAGGAAAGCTAGATACCCAAAACTATTACTAAAACGTCCTTGTTTTAAACTGGTAAAAAAGCTTACGTGAATGTGGTCTTGATATCGCTGGTATGGTATGGTGATAACATAAAGATATTATTGGCATAGATGACATGCTGCTTGGATACTTGCGGTATTCTTGCGGGCAGAGGATAAATCTGATGGGTGTACGTAAGCTTGACGCCTAGTTTCACCTGGTTGTTGTATTCAAGAGGCTCGTGTAGTTGAATCTCGTAAACGTAAAGTTGTCTGTGCATGTGCACAAGTTATACATTTGAAACGACTAGTGACCCAGGCAAATCGCACTTACTGTTCCTGATCAAACCCAGCAAACGCCATGGCCAATGCATCCTTTGATTTGTGCTTGAGAAATGCTTCCATGGACGCAACATTGTCATGGAGCACAGCAGGCAACACGAAATGATAGGTTCGTGTGGGCTCTGAGCCGAGATAATTTGCCCTGATGCCAACTTCCTCCTTGATTACGCTGGTGCTCATATCAATAACGCGTATAATGCGATCATTGTCATAGTCCTTTGAGACAGCAGACGCATTGAACGCACTTATACAGCTTACGGCAGCTAAAAGCAGCAGTGTGGCCCACACCACAACAAGACGCATTTTATAAGAAATAGCAAGAGAAAAAGGAACAGGAATTAATTTATTAGTGTTTGATTTTATCGTTGCATAATGTTTGTTTTTGCTCTATTTGGTGATACACAATGACGAGTAAAAAATGTACAGAAATTATAGGTAGTATGGTAGTGTATATGCGAGAATGAGGTATATTATATACACAGGGATAAAGTAGTAGTGATGATACAGAGTAAGAGTGGATGCCAATACTGTGGTATTGCCGCGGGCGAGGAGGATGATTTGGATTGATTTGTGGATGTGGACCCCCCAGTGGATGTGGTGTATGATGAAGTGGGCATTCGAGCAGGACCCGCTGTAACAACGGAAAGCGACGGTGAAGGATTGGAATCAGTGCCGACCAGGCCCTGTGGAGGTGTCCAGTAGCTGAGAGAAGGTCTGTCGGTATTGTTGTTGTTCTTGACCTTGTAACCTAATGTCGCCATCACCTTGAGCAGTTTAGGACCAACAGGGCCCTGAGGAAACACTTGATCCAGCTGAGTAATGCCGACACCTGCATTTGCCAGATACACCATCAGATATTCAGTTGTATTCAAGTATTGAGATTGATCAACGTGACACAAAGAGGAGCCCGATGAGAATGGGTTGACTGATGTTTCAAGGAATAGCAGTGGTTCATTATCGATTACTGCCAAGACATCTAAAAAAGTCACCGTTTTTGTGTACAATCGTTTGGAAAATGTATATTCGTCCGAATTATACCATGCGTTGGCTAAATCGACCATATTGCGAAAGGTAGTATTGGAGCTACTGAAATGGTTGAGTTGCTGTGTGATGCTTGCAAAAGAGGTGTAATTATTGGTGGTGTTGCTTTTGTAATGTATATATTTATCAAAGGGAAATTCGACAAAGCCCCAAAATGGTTGATTGGAGCTGTAGTCTGACATGAGTTGGTGATTACTGGTCTGTGCTAGTAATGTGGGTGTGATAAAATGCTCTAATTTGCCACTATCGAAAAGCGGCAAAATCGCCTCATAGAAATCGTCGCTCCAGGATGTCATGAAACCGAGGCCGTGGATCAATTCATGAATCACATTTCGTAAAAAATCAGTTTGTGAGCTTTGAATGGGATCGTCGTTGTTCTAGAGCGTCATACAGGGCTAGATCAATATACGAAAACACACTTACAAAGTTACTCAAGCGACTTACCACAAAATACCAATTGATTTCGTTATTAAATTGTGCTTCAATGTCGTATTGCGTCCAAGATGGTTTCACACTCATGTTTGTATATTGTTTGAGTAGTGGTTGCGGATACAAGCGAGTCATTTTATCAGTGTTATCCGTCATGACATAGGATATCGATGGATATGCTTGACCAATAGAGGCATATTTCGCATCATGATGGCAATCTTGGTACTCTTGACAGAAACTGACATAGGATGCATTGATGACCAAAGGCGTTTCGAACTGAAATACATCAGAAATAATATCCGTTGCCTTGAATAATGTTGCGCTCACACCTTGGCATTCAGACGCACTTGCCTTACAAGTCAAGTCAAATGTCAAGTTGTTTTGCTGTGTGGAAGTGTCCATCTTGTTGGATAAAGCTGCTGCTGCTATAGGTCGATTCTTGTTGATTTTGCATGTGTCTAGCGCACTGTATCCACCATGTCTTGATGTATGTTTGACGCAATAGAGACATGTCACCGTATGAGCATACAACAGACATACTGTTATCACAATGGATAGAAATATCATTTCTTTTTCAGGTAAAAGAAGGGAGAGAAAGAGAAGAAAAGCGAAGGAAAGGAAAATTAAAAAAATGAGGGGGGTGATAATAATGATTGAAAATTAAAAGCTTAAGCTGTATAATGATGATATCCTTTTTGTGTTTGACGAGTGTGCACGCAAGTTACATTGCCCGAATCACCGCTAATCCGTTCTATTCTATTCATCAATTTTTAGTGTCCTGCCAAGACTTTTTTTTTGTACATACATAAAACCTGTTGTCATTTTAAAACATGGCATCATGTCAAACAAAGCAAAGCAGGGAGACCACGGTAGATCAGAGATCAACAAAACTGTGTGTCAAGAAAAAGGAAATGCGTCGCCATGGCAACCGAGGTATTTTATTGAATAGACATGTCAGGTTTAAATAATGTACAAATGCAACCCCTTCTCTTGCTCTTTAGGACAAGGGATATTTATAATTGTTGCAGCAGATGATGGTGCAAATAATTTATCATAGTTTTTCCACAGCCGATTCACCACCATTTGCAGCGTTAAAAAAAGCAACAATACCATAACTAAATGCAGCGGCTACTGCACCAATCGCCAATGTCTGTATGGCTCCGATCAACGCTTGTTTTGGTCGCAGATAGATGCTCTTGAGATAGCCAAAGCAAAAGAGTGTCAGTGATGTGACCAGACAAGATGTGTACAGGGCATTTGATGTATTTTGAATAAAGACATAGGGCAACAGAGGAATCAAGCCACCAAATAGATAGGATAAGCCAATGGTAAGAGCAGAGATCTACATTTCATTATTTTAGCACGAATTTTTTTTAGTGTACAAGAGAGAGAGAGAGGCTTACCCAGCTTCGATTGGGATCAGGTAATTCTAGATTCAATTCAAACTTCATCATGAAATCCACAAATTTCTCTGAATTTTGTCTAAAGCGCACCATCATGGGTTCCATGGATTCACGATCCAAGCCATAGGGTTCAAACAGCTCAATGATTTCCTCCTCTTCTTCATCTGGATACAACTCGACTTCCCTTGCCTCTCGCTCACGCTCTGTATGGTAATGATCTGCCTCTGATTTAGCAGCCAAGTAACCGCCTAATCCCATGGAAATAGCACCAGATACCAGCTCTGCTAATCCACCGTAGATTACAATGCGACTATCACCTAAACTCGAGAGACCAGCGGCAAGAGCAAAAGGAACAGTTAAGCCGTCAGATAGACCCAATATACAATCACGCACAAGTTCTGGTCGTTCGAAATGCTCTTCAACGTGCTCTTTGACGCCTTTGAGAAGTGTGCGATGAGGAATTCTTTCTTTTTCTTCATCCAATGTCATGGAGGAACCACTGCTGCCACTGCTACTAAGCCTGTATTCCTCATCTCTTGCTTCATCTATGCTATGATGATGATGGTGGTATTTGGGCAGTAATTGATAATCTTCTGTGTGAGATTTCATGCGTAATGTAGTAGAATGAGAAAAAGAAAAGAGAGATAGTTTGTGCCATCAACATATAACAGCGCGGTATTTTATATATATATTCAGTTTTCGATCAAATCATAATGGATCATTAATGTGCATGTTATAGTGTGCCATCAAATTATATATTTCTAAAACTAGCGCTATTTACCTTTTCCTCATCATACTAATCAATCTGTTCATTACTGCCCATGCGTTACACAAACAGTGCGCTTATCTGGGGGTGAATTATGTTCATCCTGAATGCTACATCCTTGGAGTGGCATTTGCCCACACGTGCACACTTCAGAGAGATACCGTCGAATGTCTATTAGCTCTTGTTTCTTGCTTGAAGCTAGTAACAATACCCTTTTAGAGACGAAGAGAGGGAATAACCTTGTTTGGTAAGTTAATCATTACAAACAGGTAATATAAACAATCATGTCCTAATTACAGTGTTACTGCAACCAGGGCAATCAAGCCAATCATGCAAATAACCATTAGCATACATCCTTCTATACCGTATACAACAAAAAATAGGGTGATACATGTTATGCCAAAATGCATTAGTGAACTTTTTAGTTGCATTGTTGGTTTCTGTAATTGCCGCATCTTTTACTTATTAGATGAATCACATTCTGCAATTGTTACAAGCAGAGCAATTATTAAGCATGTCACCCGATTGTTATTACAAGAGCTTGTAAAAAGAGATGCAATTTCAGGGCATTTTGTCTAAAAAAGTATGCCATTAATAGTGAATTTATGCGAGGCAAAAATGTCTGTGCTTTGGGAACGAGATTGGCCTTGCTTATTTATCAAAGTAGCCAAAGACCATGCTACATGTCTACCCGACGCTTGCCGATATTAAAGCGGAAACCTCCCCTTTATAACATGTACTGGTATTACTGCTGCAGATTGCACCAGTGATATCCATCGTTTTATCCTGGTATATATCTTTGAAGCCATGTAACATCATGGTTTGCCTTGATCGAGGGATGCGTTACACTGACAGTATGCTTATCTCGTCTTTTTTACCCTTAAAAACAGATGGTGTCATTTCAGATATATTGTTGATGCACACGTGTGCATGTCTTCAAAATATACAAGAGTTCACTCGATTTCATTGCCAGTAGCCTACTATAGTCATTATATGATTACCAAGGATTGTAAGCGTCATTTTAATGGCCATCAAACCAATCATGCTAACATAGAGCAGCATTCACCATCTAACGCCTACCACACCGAATGATCGGGTAGTATACATCGTGCTACATAGACAGAACGCATGGATGGTTTTTTATATTAGCATTCGCATTATCCAATGTCAATTTTTGATATAAATACGAGCTGTTGGTGTTCACCCTGATTAACCTCATCCACTCACCCATTACATTCACTTTTTCAATGTTAAACTCGTTGTCCATCTCGACAGCTATTACCATATTGGTCATGGCTACCTGCTCAGTTGTTGTTGATGCTGCTCCTACAGCTCACGCTACCAAAGTTTCTGCTGCTGATGCTACGAGTGCCACTCGTGTTCCTGGTTTGGAAAAGATCAAGCATGTTGTTTATTTCATGCAGGTAAGCGTTATTCAGACACAATTGATTCAACAGTGTATCTCATCAATAACTTATAGGAAAACCGCTCCTTTGATAACTATTACGGTACCATGTCTGGTGTTCGTGGTTTCGCTGATCCCAACATTGGCATCCAGGACAACGGTCTCAACTTGCTCTACCAGCCTTGCTCCAAGAGCACTGATGTCAAGAACGGCACCAAGTATCTTTTGCCTTATCATCTTGAAGGTAAACGTGCTGGTTGTACTGCCGGTGGCTCCAACGATTGGCTTGCCAACCACAAGGCTTTGAACAATGGCAAGAACAATAACTGGCCTGATGGCAACTCACCCAACTCCATGGGCTATCTCAACAGATCCCAGATTCCTTTCCTTTACAGTCTTGCTGACGAATTCACTATTGCAGACATGTACTTTCAATCTGTCACTGGCCCTACTAATCCTAATCGTGTTGTCTGGATGTCTGGTACCAACAGAGGTGGTCCCAACGACCTTGTGCTTGAAGACAACACAGAGAGTACTCCCCTTGAATGGACCACTTACCCTGAAATGTTGACCAAGGCCAATACCACTTGGCAAGTGTATCAAGACAAGGATAACTTTGATGACAACCCATTGGCTTGGTTCAAGCACTGGCAAAGCCTGCCTGCTGGTGCCGAGAAGAACAAGGGCGTTGGGTTCCTTGGTCTGCAAGCTTTTTACGATGCTGCTGCTGCTGGTACTTTGCCTGCCTTTTCCATTATTGTGGGCCCTACTGAATTGTCAGAGCATCCCAACAATACTCCTTTGGCTGGTTCGTGGCTTCAACAACAAGTAGTCAATGCTGTCATGAAGGGTAAAAACTGGAAGGATACTGCCTTGTTTATCAATTACGATGAGTCTGGAGGCTACTTTGATCATGTCATTCCTCCTCAAGCACCTAGCAGCGAATGGGTTACTGACAAGTTTGACGGTAATAAGGTGCCTATTGGTTTTGGTCCTCGTGTGCCTATGGTCATTGTCTCTCCCTGGACTCGCGGTGGTAATGTCTTTAGTGAAGTCTCAGACCATACCTCCACACTCAAGTTTATGGAAGAATGGGTTGGTAAGGACAATGCCACTGGCAAATACCTCGCTCCTGCCGACAACATCTCTCCTTGGGCTCGTTCTACCTCTTCCAACTTGATCAATGCTTTTGATTTCGAGAACCCTGATTACTCTATCCCTACTTTTGAGGCTGTTCCCAAACCCGCTCAAGTCCTTGGTAAATGGGCTCCTACCGAGATGTGTGAACTCATCATCACTTCTCCCAAGACAAGTCCTCCATACGGTAAGCAAGTATACCCTACTGTGGAAGCAGGTGCTCGTCTCATTCGTGGTGCTGTCACTGAGGGCCGTAAGCTCGCCTTCCAAACCGCTGACGGCATGGTTCTCCATTTGTCCACGGACTCCAAGAAGATGGAAGTTCAAAAGCTTCAAAAGCGTGATGGCAAGCCTACTTTTGCAAAGAATGCCCTGTTCACTTTGATCAAGACGGGCAATGACAAGCAATTCAAGATACAATCTGTTGCAAACCCTTCTGTCTGTTTGAATGTCTGGGGAAGCGGTCTTGATCTCGGTGAATGTAAGGGCACCTCTTGGTACTTCCAACTGCATGATGGCCATCATCATGTGCGTGATGTTGGTACTGATAGCTATTTGACTGTCAAGACTGACAATGTCAATCTCTCCAACAGCCATGAGACGCATTATAAAGTATACTCTGTTACAGAGTAGCTCTAATTTATTTTTATAAAACAACCTTGTTTAAACCAGTAATGATATTTTCTCTTGTGCCTAGTGCACCTTTATCTAATAAATCATTGACTAACAGTCTACTGTTCTTGACACAATCTGGTACACTGACGCCCAAGTAACTTGCGCCTGTCACACTCAATAAGTGGCTGTATTTCTGCTTGATGTCTTGATGTAATTCGCCTAGCCTGGATTCATGTCCTACAATGTATTGAGGGATGCACTCTTGCAGCACGTTCGCCATGCTGAATTTCGGCTTTTGCTGAATGCCTAAATACGCGCTCAATGCTTTGCTGGCTGTCTCCAATGCACTTGCTGGATCCACTTGACTTGGTTGAACACCACCAAAAGTCGAGTTCCACATGTGTCCACCCATCATTACTGTCATCTTGACCAACTTACTATTTCGTTCGTTTTCTTGGCCGTGCATGGCATTGGAATCAAACACAACGCCCAAAATACCAGGCACAGGTAACTGATATGCTGAATCGGGATGTGGCGTCAGGAATCCAAATCCATTATACTTCAGATCTGCGTCCTCTTTTTCGAAAGCAAAATTGACGACCGCCACATTGACAGATGGGTTTGCGCTGAGATGGACGAGTGCGTTGTGCTTGGTTAATAAAGGATCCAGCTTTCGTGAGGGTATAGTAGAAATGACATGATCCACAGTAACCGAGGCTTCTTCGGAATAGATTTTCATGCGGTTACCATCAGCCGTTTTATCCATCTTCTTGACCTGTTTATCAGTGATCAGGGTGACATTGGGTTGCTGTTGAAGCCATTGCTTGAGTTGCGTTGTTAGAGTCTCTGTTCCGTTCTTGAACCCAAATACGCTAGTAGTTTTAGCCATGTTGGGGTCTGCTAACTCATTCAAGATAGCTTGCTCTGCTGGGGGGATTGGAGCGGATGGTTTGGATGACAGCATGCTCTTGACAACACTCCCATTGGCTTGCTCTGCATCGTACAGCATGCGCATAGTGGATTTCACCGAGAGTTGCTTTGCATCACCTGCATAGATACCATGTGTGATTGCACCTACTAAATTCAGTGCAATGTGATCGTTGAATCGACGTGCAATAAAGGAATACAACGACTCATCTTGACCAGATCCAGGCTGGACAAACGGCTCGGATAGAATGGATTTGATTACACTCTTAAAGACGGGCGGTTGTTTGAGTAATAGCGACGACAATGAGTTGGGCAATGTATTGACTTGATCATTGTAGTAAATGTATCGATTCTTTGCTGAAGGATCCGATTTACTTACAAATAGCATGTCGTTATGCAATTGTAAGTCGTTGGCCTATATTCACTTGTTAGTATCTCGTAATTCGCTCATTTCGACAGGTCTGTTTACCATGCCAAGTATAGCAGCTCCACCAGCACCCACAGGTCTTAAGCTTCTAGGCCCAACTTCAAATAATACATTGTCATCGGTTGGTTTTGTAAGGAAAGGAAGAGAGGCGTGAAATCCGGGTAACACTCTTTGACTTTTTATCCAGCCTCCAACTCGTTTGGATCCCTCTATAAGCAAAATCTTGGTTTTGGGTGATGATTTTGAGAGATAGTAAGCTGCTGATAGGCCAGATATACCTCCACCTAGTATCGCCACTGATTGCTGTTGTGCCATTTTGCTGTTGACGAAGAAAGAAATGCGAATCTTGTCGTGCAACCCCACAATTGTCATGATTTAAATGCTTTAAACAGAGTCACTCAAAGGCTCCTCTAGGTGTACGTTGCTCGACAATAATGAGAATAAAGATGATGGGATAAAATGCTCCAATCTAGTATCAGCTTGAATGACAACTTTCGATATTGAGCTCTTTAAATGAGAAAGGCACTTCAAAAGAATTGAACTCTTGTAAGGTGCTATTCTTTAACATCAGGCTCTAAATGTAAAAAACAATTTTCGATGTTGATGCTTGAATCATACAAAATAGAGTTTGAAGGTATTGATGCTAGAGCTTTGAAAGTATCATACTACTAGGGCCAAATTTTGCTAGAAACCAAAACCAAAACCAAAAAAAATGACGATGGTGTAATTAGCTTTTAAATTGGATAGATTATCGCTGACACATAGAAGAATTTCGAAATAAGCCAATTTTGAGTGATAAGCTTATATAAAAGTCTCTTAATTGAAAGTGATTACCCGTGATTGATCGATGGACCTGATGTTGAAGAATGCTGTATTTAGAACCGCTTATTGATTATTTGACAAACAATGCAGCAACTGAAAATCAGCTCATATGTTTAGCAACCCCTCGGAGTGGGTATATAGTCGTCTTGATATGAAGTCTCTAACATCAACATGGGGCTAGAAAGAGCTGTTCCTCCCTCTTTTGGCAGAATACGCAACAAGCCTTTGACCCTTTGCCAAACCACCACAACGAAGCAAGTTATCAATAACAAGCAAGGAAAGTGTAGCGAAACCAAGATTTTAAAAATAGTAGTGTTTGTGTTGAGGATATAGATCATCATATCTGAGAGGTAAATGTACTATACATCGTATAATACATGAGAACGACTGAGCAGGATCAGAGATGCACAGTATATTGGGATCGCTTTATTTAAACATTGCAAGGGAACATAAGAGGTGCCATCAAATAGCTAATCTACATCCTGGTTCCTAAAATGTAATAGCCTATGACCTTTCGTCCCTGAAAGCGGGTTTCAATTCTGACAGATGTTCTCCCGTCAAATCTACTAGTAAGAACATTCTATCCTGAATCATCTCTGTTGTTTACTCATGACTGGTGATCTATGAGCTCTTACGCAGCGCATCCTCAAGGTTTGGTTATAGGAACATGCTACGCTCGAAGTTCTAACATCAACATTTTAAAACATTTTCGATGACCCAAATGCTTAAATTGATACCAATTTTATATATTCAAAATACGATATGAGCAAAAGATAGCAGCTCATGAAATGAAAACATGTTGGAAATCAATGATAAACGACGCATGTTGGGCAAGGAGACATTGATATTTTCAAAACCTGTTACCTAATGTACTGCTGTACCGATATAACCTCCCACATAACATGTTGTATTCACACATCTAACTGTTCCTGAATCACAAGATCGTAGATTGAATTCAGTAATAAACTATGCACATATGGAGCATATGTAAATAAACTGTATCAACATGTAAACGATAACCATGATATTCACATAAGCTAAGTTTCAGTGAGCTATTCTCTATATGTCAAAAGATAGCAGATAAGGAATGTAAGTAATTAACGTTGCCAAGAGCAACTAAAGATATTTAGACTGATCATCTATATCTGAAATAATTACCATTTAGCATAAGTGAGGATTGACACTAAAACTTAGCATGAGAACACCATTCTAGACGGGTGTGTAAGCAATCCATAAATCATACATATAAATAGCAGTAGACATTCACTCTTCCCTCTCCTCTTCATCTGATTTTACGAAAATAAACTTATTGCAGTGAAATCAGGTTTAAATAGATTTCACAAAAAAAATAAAGCAATAGTAAAATACAATAGAAATCAACTGTATTTTATTTTGTGTATAAAATGAACTGAAGATCCTGGAATTGAGTAAAAAAAGAAGAGTATTTGTGGAATTTGAGGCTTGATAGACTAAAATTCACGGAAAAAAAAGAATAAAAAAAAACAGTAATGTCAACTTGATAAAGGTATATTTTATTATCAAACTGACAGGTGTAAAGTAAAACTGAAGTCTCTCTACTGGCCAGGTAGATGATCCTTCTTATATACTATAACAATGGATAAAAGTTCTATTAATTAGATTGACAAATAAGTCAACTCAGATCAACTAATGTCTAATCATGCTAAAAGACAACTCCAGCAAGCTAATCATGATTTAGCTCTGTCTGGATGAATAATTAGACTCTCATCCGAAGTACCCTGATCTATCCTTTCCATAAGGATAATTAATATCGATCTAGTAGCATGTATCCGATAGGTACAGTCTTCTTAGTCTATATTAATAGTACATATCTGAGTGTATATCGCTAAGCATACATCTTTAGCATGTATCTGGATATATGGCATGTCTATAGCATATCGTATGCATGTCTATAGCATGTCTCATATATAGTACAAGTCTGTAGTACATAAAGTATCTGTAGCTAGTATCACGGATATAAGCATGTGTCTTATAGCGTGGATCATGAAGTGCACATCTGAAGCAACAAGCTCATATTGCATTAATCTTGGTGCCTATCCAGATATGGTAAACATCCGTAGTCAATGTCGGAATACAAGTATAAGTCTATAGTGCCATCCATGTCCGTGGTGCCATCTATAGCCTATATCTTATATAGTATGAATCTTATAGTACTAGCGTATCTGAAGTCCATATCTTCTCATGATCATAGTATAAATCGATATCGTACATCTAATCCAGTGTACATACAGTTTATATCTAAATCTGGTAACTGGATGAACTGTCGGAATGCAGATCATAGTGGATGTATTCCACATTTGCCCCCACCAGTTTCAACGCATGTTGACTAATTCAAAGAATTATGTAAACGATCAATGATCTGTATTTCGCATTCGCTGACAAAGATATAACGCAATGTGATAGTCTAAAGGTGCTACTGCAATTTGCATGTTGCCCTGATATATCCCATGACAAACATCACTTTACTGTTCTGCAACGTTGAGTCTCTTAGAGCCTCTCAAACGCTTGTCAGAATCATCACGCTTACGCTTTGATTTGGAGGAAGCAGTGTCACTATTTAGTGCCTGTCTTCTCTTCTCAAGCAGCTCGTATTCCTTGATCTTTGCCCAGTACTTACGAATGGTTTGAGGGTTGTTGAACGATGCAGCAGTTTCCCAGGAGTTGACAGCTTCTCCAAATGTCTTCCATTTTACCAAATACTCTCTATTGTGTTCAGGACCACGATGCGCTCTGATCTCGTCAACCTCATATACTTCTTGTTCGATGATAGACTCGTCGATTGCTACCAGCTTCAATTCAGATGGCACATAGTCGCGATGTAGTAGTTCATTCATATCGTCTTTCAACACATATGTAGATCTTTTCTTTTGAACAACTTGATAAGGTCCATCATAAGCGGCCTCAAGTTTGCTTTCTCTATGCGGAAGTCTTACCATAACCCAATCACCAACTTTGAAGTGTGTAATCTTGTGATGCTTATTGAATCGCGTTGCTTGCTCTTCAATAATGCGTTGTGTTCTTTGGTTAATAGCTGGAAAGACAACCTGGTTCATAATCTCTGCCTTCTTGCGTAGCTCACCGAGAGTCATTGGCTTCTTTGGTAAGTTGTCCTTGATCTTAGGATCATCGTAGTCTACGAATCTATTCAATGGTCTAGCAAACATCAATTGAAAAGGTGCACTCTCAGTGCGATACCTAATTTTTGTGTTTATAGCCAGTTGAGTTCCAGGTAGAACCGAGTCCCAGTCATAGATGTGTTCACTGACCATCTTACGAAGTGCATTAAGAATATTTTTAACACCTGATTCGGATGCACCATTGCCCCTAGCGTGGAAAGCCGTAGAGTATCTTTGATTGATGCCAAGTGCTTTACCGATCTCGCTCATCAAAGCACTCTTGAATTCACGTCCATTATCAGATTGTAGTATTTGTACTACGCCAAAGTCTCCAAAGATGGTAGTCAGAGCTCTAGCGACAGTATCGGTTTGTTTGTTGGGCAATGCACGAGTTATAATAAATCTGGTGCAAATGTCGCATACAACTAATATATATATATTGCCATTGTTGGTTGGAGTTAACGGACCAAGAAAGTCAATGCCTATATGATCAAATGGACCATACGCTACAACGTTTCTCAGTTCATGGTAACCCTTTTGAACTACATTATGTCTTGCACATTCCATACATGATTGACAAATTGCCTTTGCATCATCATATAGACCTGTCCAATGAATACCTTCTTCATGTAGTTTCTTGACAATACTAGCGGCACCAAAGTGTCCAAATTCATGAGTTTCACGAAGCAGTTGGTCTCTCTCATTGTCAGGTGGTGCAATGTAAGCAACGCTTTCATAATTGCCCTCCTTGATCTTCATAGCAAGTACATTCAAGTGCTTGTCTTTGTTATAGACTACTTTGTTCTTGGTTGGATAATGCTTTGTTTGCTTATTGTTGTCAATGAATCGTTTCTTGGAGCCTTTGCTTCTCATGATATTCTTTTGTAATTTAGCAATTTTCTTATCACTGTCTCCCGCCAGCTCTGTATGATCTTCTAAAGGTTCATACAAGCGACTAAGTTTGTCAGGTAAGATGTTGTCTAAGCCCTTGATATGAGTGAATTGCAGTTGGGGATACTCGTTTAAAATCTCCATGTAATTTTGAATGACTCTAGTAGGACATTTACATGTGTAGATATAAATCAGAGCTCGATGATCTGTCATAACCTCAATCTCAGGATGCCCGTACAATAAGGGTCGCAAACGAACTAAACCGAATAACACGGCATACAGTTCTCGTCTCAGGACAGGCCAGTTCTGTTGGGATTTGGTCAGAGATTTGCTCAACATCGCCACATAGACTGTGCGTCCTTGATCGTCGCGCTGCGTCAAAATGACTGCAACTGCATATAAGCTAGCATCACATTCAAGATAAAATTTCTTATTCATGTCTGGTGCAGTCAGTAAAGCTTCAGATAACAAGACCTTCTTGATAATCTCAAGTCGTTTGGTGTG